GTTCAAGCAGCTCTGTGGTAGACTTTGATACAAATCTATCATGTTAACCCAAACCTGTGAAAAATGTGCAATTTTTTATTATGTGCAATAAATTTTTATCTTGTTTGATCCCGTTTGATCGTTGATCCAACATCGAAAAAAAATTATGAAAAGAAATTGGGGCGATCTAGGCCTATATTATGAAAGAACGTATATATACGTTTCTTTAATTGAATTGGACTTTTTTTTTTTGTGAAGAAAATAAGAGAGAGAGGGAGGGAGCAAGAGAGACGTTAAAAAGTTGACCCTTGGAGCTGCGAATGGAAATTTTCACTTTTTTTCGACACGTTATACAATAAATTGCTTATAATATATTTTCTTATCGAAATCAACCTCCTCTCATCCTTAACTCATAGTTGTTTACTAGTGCTACAATATTTAAAACAAAAATAATATATAAAATATATAATTAAAACAAAATAAAAGAAAAACTAGGTCAGTAGAACGCTTTAGTGTTCTTTGCATTTTTGATATTTTTTCATAACCTTTAGAAGAGAAGCTCGTGTATTCTCATGCTGAACATTTCAATTTTCTTCTTATTATTCCTTTTTTTTCATGATAAGTTGTATAAGAATGCACCAGCGTATGTCTCCAAAAGAAAATTCATTTCAAGCTTTACTGAAAGAGACATAAGAAATAAAATTGTAAAATCAAAATTTGTATTTTTGGGTGTATGAGTGGGGTCTTTAAAAAATTGAGCTTTCGTAACATATTCATATTATTATTGTTATTTTATTACTACAAATAAATATTTTTTTGGGTAGGTTCTGTAAATATCTCAACTTTTCACTTTCGTTTTCACGACTCATGGGAACATATTGTAATGGGTGAGAATGTAAGAAATAAGAAGAAACGGTTGGATTCTATAAAAGAATATCCAGCTATTCAAAAGATTCGGTACCTCGCCGATTTTAATTTTATTATTTAAACACATGGCCTGTTTATCCCCCATATACAGACTCACAATAAAAAAAATTGAGTAGCACACACGCTTGATTTTCGCTCTCTCGCAAATAAAAAAAAATATTACGAAAATTTGCTTTGCTATGGCTGTGTGAAGCATAAGTCTCTTGAATTAAAACGAAAAAAAAAAAATGAAAATTAAGTAGGTCGCCACACTTTCACTTATTTTTTTTCTTACCCATACATCTACAATATTGTCATAATATATCGTAATCTTATAGCCATGTAGATATACATAAAGTGAGAGAATAGCTTTTTTTATGTTTGTGTAGCATATCCAAAAATATTTTTTCTTGCACAAGCTAACTGGAAGTTTTCATCGAAAACGTTTCTTTTAAGACAAATATAAGTTTATAAGTACATGCCCGAAAAGACATAAATTTACTATGTTGTAACTGCGTTTTTTAATTTTTTTTCTTCTTTTTGCCTTTTTGCATCATTCGCCTTTTTGGTGTGTTTCTTATTTCTTTTTTACTCTCGTCAATATTATTATAATATTAATAAAAGAAGAAAAAAAAATTATTTTCACTTTCAAGTTGTTCATTTAAAAACATCACATACAAACATTTTTAATTTTTTTTTGTGTGTTATTCGCCTCGTATATGAGTATGGTGAATAAATGTCAGTAACATAATGAATAAAATGAAATCGAAAGTGATGAATACACAAGAATGTGTCATTCAAATCATTATTTCGTATTCATTTAAATTTTTTTGGACTTCTTTTTCTTTGTTTCTTGTAAAGATCTTGTTGAATTAATTGCTCGTCAATTGGCGACTGATATGAAAACATTACTGCATCATATTCTCTTCTAGAGGTTCTACAATCTCGATTAGTCATGCGACTCTTTTTAGCTTTTTGATTGAGCTGCATGATTATTACTATTATTATTATTATGTTACGAAAGTCATACTACGCACAATTTTCACGTCATTACTACAATATTGTTAGAGATCCGGCTTAAATAGACGAAATATTAGGAAATTTACAATTTAAGTACGAACCTGTATTGTTCATTTACATGAGCTTGGCTTGTAAACTTGTTCACTTTTTTGATTTAGGAAATTATCGAGTATTTGCAACTTTAAAGGCGTTTAGAAATTAGATTTTGGATTTCTTTTCGTTTTCAATTTTCGGGACTTTCCATTAATGAAATGGTACACTCATGAGTGCATTATGGTAGGGTATGAACATGATTAATGGCTGTTGAAATGAAAATGTGTATGAATATTTTGGTATGCTTGAATCTTTATGTTAGAGTTGCTCAAAATTACGAAATAATCATCTGATGATTCGACTAGTTTTTAGGATCTAAATTATAAAACTACTATTGGACGGTAGAAGAGGTCTCTGAAATTATTGCAAACACCAAAACTGTTTGATTTGAATTGCTTAGAGATTAAAAGGATTATTTTAAAATTACATAAGTTTGAGAATCCAGCTCAATCCTTTTTAAACCAAAAAATAAGCATACTGTAAAAATTATTGGGTAATACAAGGGTTCGTCCATTTATGACGTCAATCATAGACATGTTTTAACTCATTTTGAACACCAGTTATCCGGTATGAATTTATAACAAAAGAATGGAGGGTCAAAATAATTTAATATTTTGCTAGACGACATTTGTCAACGACCCTGAATAGTTCAACCGCAAAATTCACAAAAAAAAATTGGTATTAAGAAATTCGATCAACGTACAAGATGACAAGTGTTGGTAATATAGAGGATTTCACTGACCTACTACAATGAAAATATTAAAGTCGTGTCTATCTTTTGGCAGATTATTGTATTTTGTGACGATGTAATCGCGATAATTTTTTTGAGTTTTATGAGCTTTTAAAAATTGAGTGTAATAATGGAGGTGATTAAAATAATTTTAAGACGGAGATATGAAGTTTAAATGCCAAAGGAACCCCTAAAATCCGAGATTTTTCTCTCATCCTTTTCGATAATTTTTACTCAATTACAGAAAAATTTTCTGTTCTTATTCTCATCTGCTATCAGACAAAAATCTATGAAGGAACGACATTTTCTCTCTCAATTTCTTTTGCCTTATATCAAATAAATTTGTTTTCAAATTGTTTGTTCAATGTTTTTTATGTATTAAATCAATCTATAGTTATAAATATAGAGATATACACAGAGATATTTTTTTACGAAATTTACCAAGTTTTACATCATCGAACATTTTTTTTCTTCTCTCATGCATTTTTTTTTGTTGTGCGATCTACGATTGCGACGACGACCTAACCAAATAAAAAAAATTGAGCGTGGAAAGATATACTAAGGAAAATGGAAATATAGGTTAGTAATGATTTTTCAGTAAGTCATTGTAGATTTCTCTCTCATCGCGTCTCTCGTATTTCTACGATGTACGTACATGCGACAATCACTAGTATTGGTGCCGAACACTCTCATTTCTCTCTCAATATTGTACTATACGAAATATATATTTTATTTTACTACACCCGATTACAGAACTTAAGTTTTTAAAAGTTAAATAGTTTTCTTCATTCTCTCAGCTTTATTATTTTCCATTATTATTCATTTTTTTGTTGTTGCTGCTGCTAGTTGTTATTTTCATTTCAGGCTACATACATAAAATAAAAAAAAATAAAATTGTGTGTAGTGTACACTCCACACGAGTGAATTGGATTTTTCGAAAAAAAATATTTTTCGACTTTTATTCAGTTTTCAAATTTTGCCAGTGAATGTCGCATGTTTCGGTCATTCTCACAAAAAAATATTTAATATTGTTTTTATAATTTCATAATTTCGTATTAAATAAAATAACAACGAAAGGAAAACTTTTTGCGTTTTTTATACCCAAAAAAAAAAATTAAAATAAAATAAAGACGAGTGTGTACTTTCATATATCGATATTTTTCATACGAAAAAAATAGAAAAAATATAGATTTTGAATATGCCGGGATGTGCTAAGGACTTTTCATAGTTCAAAAAAAAAGTTATTACGCAAATAAAAAAAAAACAAAAAAATTTGGTGCTCAATTTTTTTCTTGAAGAAGAAACAAAAAATCCTTATAAAAAATTTATAAAAAAAAATTGTGATACAGAGAAAAAGGAATAAAATAGAAAAGGAACAAACTTGAATAGGAAGTGCTATTTGATATCAAATATTAAGTCTTTAATTCGGCATACAGTGTTTGATAACAAAAAAAAATTTATTTTGAGAGAAGAGAAAAAAATTGCAAATTTAAAGTTGAACAAAAAAAAACACAAACATGAATATTAAACTTTATATTGAGAGTGGATGAAAAAGAGACCATAATTGACACAATAAGTGCAAGAAAAAAAATAATTCATTAGAATAATTGAATAGCAAGGATAATATGAAATTGCACAAAAGGAAATAAGTTTTATGTTCCGTCCTATACATTCAGACACAAGTTTCATTCATGACTAAGAGTGGATGTAAAAAAAAATCTGACATAAAAATTTAATTAAATTATTATATCGACATCACAGAATTATTACAAAAAAAAAGTTATATACACAGAGAAAAGTTAAAATAAAAAAGTAAAGGAAATGTTATTAGACATGGAGCAACATTCGGCTTCATTAATGTTAAGTGTATCACCTTTTGCAATTCTCAATGAGGGAACGGGCCAATCATCGATAGGACATTTAAATAATAATAGCTCTTCAAATAACAGCTCTACAAGTAACAATAGTTCAAGCATGCAAGTGCCTCCGCCACATTACAATTCGTACAATCCGAGTGGTGCCACTAATTTGGCACAACATTTAAATAATAATAATAATAATAATAATAGTAGCAACAATAATAATAATAATACGACGTTAAATAATAATAATAATAACGGCAACAATAATAATAATAATAATAATAATTCAACATCATTGCCACCCCCAACAACAAATAATTCAAATCAGCATCAGCAACAATCGTCAAATAATCAAACTTCCAACAATTATTACATGTACAGTTTCGATTCTCAATATATGTTTTCAACAGGTTATCACGGTGATAATAATTCGGCTAATAATCAACAAAATTATATATCACTCCTACCAACAGTCGGCAATGGAATTGCCTCATGTGATCAGACAGATCTTCGTGATCTAATCGAAGAGAGTTGTCCTGTGTGCGGTGATAAAGTGTCAGGATATCATTATGGCTTGCTCACATGTGAGTCGTGCAAAGGATTTTTCAAACGCACTGTACAGAATAAGAAAGTTTATACATGTGTTGCCGAAAGAAGTTGTCATATTGATAAAACACAAAGGAAACGCTGTCCTTATTGCCGGTTTCAAAAGTGCTTGGAAGTTGGAATGAAACTTGAAGGTGAGTGTCATTAATTTTGTGTGCTGATAGTTTGGATATGCCTTTTCATATGAGCTAACCGTCAGATTTTGAATTCTTGAATTAATAACTAAGCATTGTAAGCAATAGAAGGTGATTAAAACATAGTTTAGTAGTAATTTACACAGAAGGACATTCAAATTTAATGAAAAACTTTGTGAAAAATCGATAAGTTTTATATTATCAGAAAAAAATATGTTAAGTAGATTCTAAACATGATCAAAGTACATATGAGAAGATATCCAACACATCAGTTTGTGTATGTTCGTCAACAATAATAAATCATCATAAATATGCACATCCTAGTAAATAAATTTTGTAGAACGAAAAAAAAGAAGGAAAAAATTCTTTGGAAAACAATGAAATCATAAAATAGTCAATAGCAGCACATACGAAGTGGAAACAGAGAGAGAAATGTAAGAAGTAGAAATTCTTGGTATGTGCTGAATATATTTTTAACTTTCGAAAATAGCGCAATATAAAAACATTTATTGTAGGATCCTTCATAAAAGTTAATTATTGTTTAAGAGAAAAATTTACCTTACTTTTTTCCATGTCCTTATTCACTTTCTTCTTTCTCCCTCCGATCATCTTGTGACCTGAGTTCGTATGCAAAATTTATTTACAGTTTATGATGGCCAATAAAATTCTTTCTTATGAGTAAATAATTTTCGACAACAACTAAACAAACATAAGAAGTTATTGCACACAATTCTTGTTTGTTTGTTTTCTCTTCTCTGCTTCTTGTTCTTCCTAATTTTATAATCATAGAAACAAATTGCTCTCTTATAAGACTGGAGATTTTTTTTCTTTCTTATATGACTTGAAGGTGCCTTAATTCACACGTCTCTCTTTAAAGAAAATTTGGTAATCATGTTGGTGTGACTTTATAGACTTACACAATTTGACATTGAGTTAATTTGGAAATTACAACATACAGCTCAGACCTGATGATGAGTAATCATTTTCTCTAAATTTAGAAAAATTCTTACCGCGAGACTTAAAGGTTGCAAAAACATTTCTCGGAGCAATTCTCATGGATTTGATTAGTACTTGATTTCAATACACGCTTATCATGTCCTTTTTCAAAGTAAAGGAAAATTCTAGAAGAACTTATTTTTCCCGCCTTTTTTGCTGCTCAAATTTTCTAGGTAAATCTATTCTAATTATCATAATGAAAAGCTTTACTCAGTTCCAATTCCTGACAACATCAAAGATTCCTTGTTCTAAAGAGCCATCTTCAATCATATCTATGATAATTTTCTTCCGTACTTTATTGCATAACATTTTCTCCAATATATCTCTGAGCGTTCCTTTAAACGACATAGATAAGCAGATTATAGTTACAGTACATATTTTTGAAGAAACTTCCTTTAATTGCATGAGCATTACTTTGTAAATTGTGTTAAAATATAGAGCAAGGATCACAGCATTAATTTTCATATTGAAGACTTTAATTAGCATATATTGAAATTTAATTGCGGTATTCGTCTATCTATGTGCTCTATATTTTAATCTAGTGCATCTTTAAGAACAGAAGCGACTCTCAGTTGGATAAATATATTGACTTCAATTGAGTTATATTTTGACAGCATAACCTTAATTTTTATGTCACTGGGTCATAAAATGTCTATCTTGAAAATTTCATATCCAACTGATCTTCCTAGAAGCGATAATCTATACAGTCAAAAGAGTCCGAATGTTATTGAATAGACAGTCAAAGGAACCTACATGTGAGATATATTAAGAACATTTTTTAGGATAGTATTAAAATGGTTGGGTAGGTGGCTAAGCTAGGACTTAAAATACCCAAAAGTTGTCTCAAAAGCATGACAATACAGTGTCATGCAAAGCAATTTTCATCAAAGTATTGCAACAACTACAAAATCACTCAAAACTGTGGCACGTGTATATGTTATCATAAAATAATTTTGCGTTAATTACTATGAAAAATTTATTAATTGCGCATTATGTCTATGTGCGGTATGCAAAAGAACATGAAGAAAATGTTATTGTTAAACTTTTGTTTTTTTTATAGAGCACAAGTTTGATGGATATAGAATAAACTAGGCATAAATCTTTTATTAAGATCTTATTCAAGAAAGCTTCGATATGAATAATTTTTGTAGCATGAAGAACAGAACTTTAAGTACTTTTCTGTTGGCATCTTAAGCTTAACAATATAAATAGGAACTTTAAAGCTTTTTTTTGTAAACGAGGAAAATCCTCTGAAAATTAAGTGGAAGTAAACTTACTGACATGTGTCAAAAAATAAGACTGGTGGTGATGTGCTAGCTGTTCGATAATCCACAACATTTGCATTTTTTGACAGAAAGTATTTTAGATTCAGTTCAATTTTAATCGAATTGGAGCTATTGAAAATTGGTATACCTGGTTTTCAGCAGATGATCTTATGACAAAAAGTATCACACGTTGAATCAAATGTGCTTATTAAAAATTATGACAAACATGGTTGAAAACCCCAAAATTTCTAAATCTCAATCCAAAAACTGATAAATCGATTAAGTGTACAAGAAAGAAGTCTGCAAGTTGAGACTCAATTATGACGTTGTTGCTGACGTTTAGCAATTGGAATGCTAGCTATTTCCTATTGTCTGAGATGCAATGAATTTTATAACTTCTGATTGTCTCGTTAAATTTGACTATGAATATTAATTGAGCTTGGATATTTTTAGGATTCATTATTCCTCTACACTCCAAAGCTCCCAAAAAGCCAAAAGGTTCGAATGTTAAGTAACAATGACACGTAACTCTTTCGAACATTTCGGCACCTGGTAGCCGCATGAATTTTTATGCTGGTTAAATTCAAAATTCCACAGACATTTCCAATAAATTATCAAAAGTAAATTTCATTTATTATCAAAAATTAATCCACAATTAAGTGACTGAAATTCAAGACTTGTGACACATTAAAATAGCAGCCCCGGAGAGCACAAGTCGGATAATCGAGACGAAATCCTACGCAAGGAAGATATCACGGCGACTTTAGGGCAAATTTTTCGTCATGACGAGAAATTCGCCCTTAGATCGTAACCACGTCGCCCTAGCGTAGGATTTCATCTCGATTATCCGACTTGTGCTACTCGGGAGCAATACAAATAAATAAAATCCAAGACAGTAGTACAATTAAAAGGCATAAATTCAATCTACAAGAATTCATTTTAAAATTCCTTTTAAAATTACATAAATTAAAATATTTCTCTGTGTAATTCATCCCTGTGAAATGGCAATCATAGCTCCATTCCCATGACAACTCTGTGGCTATTAAAGACTCATAAAACTAAAGTAAAGTTAATAGCATTACCAAAGATTGGTAAATTACAAGTAAAGTTAAAAAAATTACTGCATTTTTCTCTCTTCTGTGGATGTAAAGTAATAAAAAAATTTTCTATTATTTATGTATCTCGTTCGTACTCGCAAATATGCATTAAATACATGTCGGGTTTATGAGGCAATGTGCATATTATCCTTGTTAAATGACCAATTTACTTATGACTGGCGAGTTCAGAGGGCTTGGTTGGCTGTAAATTTAATTACTGGTTTCAGTTTGCTTTGTCAAAAACTTAATTTTAGTGATTGATTGCTTGCCTAAGGATCATTCATAAATGACGTCTAGCTTTTTAGGAAAGGGGCATAGGAGCATTTGCAAAAGGAACTCATAAGTCATGATTCACAGGATCGAGTTCATTATACAACGCAGTCAATTCAAACCCACACTTCCAGCACCTGAATCAAGTGTACTTCACTGATCAACACGTCCATTTCTTACTCAACAGTCTTCATACCAACAAATTAATTCAATCATGATTGATTTCTTAAGCGTAAAAAATTCTGTCTAGGATTATCATCGACGAAAATTTCATATGCAACTACCTCAGTCAAGCATTAATGTAATCTTAAGCTATTACAAGTTTAAACACAATATAGTAAGATGCTGTAATCGGCGAGCCGAAAACCTTAAAAAAATAATCTCATATACTGAAAAAAAAAAACTTATTAAATTTCAAGCCCAAAGAAACGAATATTGCATTCATACATACAGTCATATATGTAGACATTCAGTTAAAGTAATTTTACTTTCAATTTTTATATATTGGTTAACTTAAAAAAAGTAATTTCCAAATTTAAAAGCATGAAAAAAAAAATTGCTTGCAACAGAGAGAAGCGAACAGCACACAGAAAAAAAATATGAAAAAAGACCTACAGAAAGGGAAAAGCGACAGCATCGTTCTCTCTTCTTCCTTCCGTTGAGTTGAAGCCATCGCTGCAAGTATGGTTGTCTCATTTGATTGACCTACTTTACAAACATTATTTTCATTTCGTCGTAACTGTACGTGCTCGCTTTTTCTGTGTATATGTATAAATATATATTTATATATTTATATATTTATATATATATATATACATAAATTTTATAAGTATAAAAAAATATTATATCATACTCAAAAATTTATAATTGCGAAATAATTTTCAAAAAAAAAAGTATCGATGCCATGATGCCCTTATTGAAAAAATTATTGAGACTTTATTTTCGACATTGCTGCTGTTGTCCTGAAAAGAAAATTTTATTACACGCCCAACAACTTATTACTCACATGTTCCTTCATACTTTTCATTCTTCATGCTGTTCTTTAATACCTACTTCAATTTATTTTCATACATGAGCGTTTGCATTAAAATAATAATGAAAAATCCTCGAAATAAAATAAAAAATCACTAATGGAAATGTTTTAAATGAGAGAGAAGAAAAAAAACTACGAATTTGAATTGAAGAAAAAAATTAAAGCTTCGTAAATCTGTTGACCTAGTTTTCAATTTCATTTTGCAATTTATGACATACACAAGGTTTTTAAGCTCTTTTTTCAAGCTACATGTGTGCATGTATACTCTTTCAAAATCATTTTCATTTTTTTTTTATTTTTGAGGTAAAATGCAGACAAAAAAAATAAATATTTTAAAATTAACAAACAACGAAAAAATTAAAATTTTTATCAAAACGATTAGAATTAAAAGCAACAAAAAAATAAGTTGTTAAAAAAATTATTTTTGTATTTATATTTACATTAAATTTATAACTCACGTATATTATTATGTTTTTGTGTCAAGGATCGTTTTCAAGTAATTCATTAATTAGTGGCTGTATGTAGTTGTAGCGCGCTTGTTCGCTTGCTTGCTTACGCTCATACTATGAAGCTATTTTATTTTCTATTTAATAATAATAATAAAACAAACGTAAATTTTCATTGAAAAAGAGTCAAAGAAAAATGAGTATAAAAATGCTAGAGCGATATTGTTGTGCATTTGCAATTTTTTCGCTATTTATCTTAATGGATTTTTCTAGATTGAGATGTAAAATCCTCGGGATTTCGCTAATGTTTTTGAAAATTGAATGGATTTTGTTTTAAAATAATTAAAGTTATTGAGAGCTGAATTTCAATAGATATTGCTGATTTCAGCACATTTATCTGAACTCAGCTAGCTTTACCAAATTGACTGAATTCAGCTAGCTTTAATAAACTGTCTGAATTCAGCTAGCTTTTCTAAATTGACTGAATTCAGCTAGCTTTTCCAAACTGTCTGAATTCAGCTAGCTTTTCTAAATTGTCTGAATTCAGCTTGAGCTTCAAATGTTAAAAAGATTCAATTCAATTATAATTTTACTTATAAAATTAAATTGAAGAAATTCTGACCCAGTCAGGCAATGAGTGTTCTGTCAGCAACGTACACAATATGATTTCTCGATACTCTTAACAGACAGCTTCTTATGCAGAAAACACGAAGTAAAACATCCAATTAAGGAAAATCACAAAAAATATCTGAAAAATTTTCCCAATGATTTTGCGGACCATAAAAACAATTACCAACATAATCCAGCTTATATCCTTATATTGTATTCAAAAATTGTTTCAATTTTAAGTTCACTTAAACCTTAAAACTTTATCACGTGACAATCTTTCGCCTTTATGCCTTCATTTTTCATTTCTTTAACACACAAAAAAAGTCTTCTGTCTGGCTTTCCCCTCTACTTTTTCTCTCATACTTTTACTCGTCTGCAATGATTATGTAACGCGCTTCAGAAAGCCGACATGCTATTTAACCAAACGTGAAGAGAAAGAGAGAAAGAGAAAAAGTAAAATAAAAAATATAATAATTGACGCGTCGCGTTCAATACAATACATTACATGCAAAAAATAAAACTACTTGCACTTTCTTTAACATGCTTTTGCTAAAAAAATCATTCGAGATTTACAGAAGGCAGCGAGATTATAAAATGATAATTATGGTCGGAAATTATCGCATCTACTTATTATATATAAATGGAATTGATTTTCATTCAGACTTTGGAAATAATAAAAAAAAAAGCAGAGTATGAATTTTAATTAGTTTACGATATGCTTCTTTTATTGCTTACACAAAGGATAAAATATATATCGACTGTCGGACAGATAAATAATTTAATGACTTGCTATAAATTTTAATTTTAAGGAATTATGTAAGAAATTTTGAGGATCCAGGTTGGATCGCTGATGATCGTAAGATTAAAGTTGCATACTTAAGCTGTTCAAGCAGTCAATTTCAATTTATTAATTTTAAAATAATACTCCTTGACCAAGAGTTGGCCAAATACCCCAAATCTCAAGTACGACTGCATTTATTTAGATTAAGAAGATCAGACATGCAAATATTGGCACTAAACTATGTGTAGTTTGATGATTGATCAGTAACAAACAAAATTTACCTTGGGTACGTAATGAATTTACCTTGAATTTCTACACTTTGTTGTAAATCGCAAAAATATTTACAATTTAATACTTTACTATTTAGATAATGCCGATTATCAATGACCTAGTATTATTTCTAATATTCATCTTTTTATAGCTGAGAACATTCTTTTAAAACATGCATTGAATAATTTTATAAATCTGACTTTGTAAGGTTCGATTATTTTGTCAGAGAAATCCATCTTTGTGAATATTCCATGAATTAAGCATGAATTAGGAATCTTTTCCATATCTTGACCTAAAAACACTGCTTAAAATCCATTATCAACTTCCCAAAAAATTAGTAATGATAATTGATGATAATTGCCACTAAAATTAATCAGTTCTAATTTCCATCGATAAGAGTAAAAAAAGTGTGTCACGAAAATTCCCAAGAATTAGGTCAGTAAACCAACTTTTATTACTCACCGGTCGGAAAACGCATCTAATTAAAAATCCAGTTCAGTATGACGTAAAAACTATGATCTTGAAAATTTTCACAACAACAACAACTTTATGGCATCGCATCATTAATTCGAGGACTTTTGAAATTTTAAACTCGCTAATTTATATTTATTTTTTCGCAATGCATTTCTAAACGTCCCTCAAAATTTGCAAATTAATATTTCATTAAATCCACACCAATATTGATTCTACTAACATTAATCAAGTCGCTGTTGTTGCTATTTCTCATCACAATCTCCTCGACTGTATTTTTTTTTTGCATGATAGAAATCAAAGTATTTCAAGGATATTTTTCTAATAGAAAAATTTAGGTCATGATCATTAGATAGAGAAGGCGTCACAACGAACATAGAGAGAAGAAAAAAAAAGCTAGTGAATGAAGAAATGATTTTTTTTTTCATGTTTAATGGAATTCATATATTCACATATTACAACATACCACCGAAAAAGCAAAGAAGAAGAAATAATAATAATAATACCTAAACGGAAAGAATGGATATAAAAGTTTATTTTTTCTCTATTTGTCTATGAATCGTTGTTTTTTTAACACCAACACACAAAGCTTGAGCTATATACACATTATGGCGTGTAGCTTTTTTTTTCTTTATTGAATGAAAGAAAAGAGAAATGAGAGAAGCAAGGCAGAGAAGTAGAGAAATGTCGAATTATGTAATAGAAAACAAGAATAGTATTATAAATGGAAATAGTGGTGAAAGCCTTGACTTAAACTTGGCCTACTTAGTAGACTCGCTTATGTTATAGATATTTCAATGAAAGTAAAAGTGATATTAAATCATCTTGTTGTGCTAGTTCCGATGAATCGTGTACTAAATTTCACTTTTTTTTTCTTTTCCATTACTTCATAGCTGTAAGAGCCGATAGAATGCGTGGCGGTAGAAATAAGTTTGGTCCAATGTACAAGCGAGATCGAGCAAGGAAACTGCAAATATTGAGGCAGCGTCAATTAGCATTACAAGCCTTACGTGGCTCAATAAGTGGAACTTCTTCAAATACAGGACCATTAAGCGAAGGCGCTCAATCACAATTATCACCATCAAATTATCCACCGTACACTAATATGCACATTAAACAAGAAATTCAAATACCACAGGTATACCCTATAAGACTTAAGTTCATTTTAAGCCATTTGTTTTACTAATGTCTATTCCCACTTATTTATGCAAATCAGGTATCATCACTTACATCCTCACCCGATTCATCTCCAAGCCCTCTTTTAGGACACATTAACATTAGTCAAAATCACGCTCCTTCAACAACGTTACCCAATAATGGAACATCAACCTACACTACAACAACCACAAATGCAAATATACAAAATACAATGGCTGATTCAAAGATATGGATGGCTAATTCAACAACTGCATCACCACATTCACTTAGTCCAAAAGCTTTCAATTTCGATGGAATCAATCCATCAAGTACGGCAGAATCTAGAAATACATCTGAAACTCTAAGGTGATTTACCCGAAATTAATTATGCAAAATAGAGAAAAAAATATTAATGATTTTAAAAACTTGACATTTAACAGAGTCTCACCTATGATACGCGAATTTGTGCAGTCGGTCGATGATCGAGAGTGGCAGTCATCGCTATTTTCATTACTTCAAAGTCAAACATATAACCAGTGCGAGGTTGACTTGTTTGAGCTCATGTGTAAAGTCTTAGACCAAAATCTATTTTCACAAGTCGATTGGGCCCGAAATACGATCTTCTTTAAAGATTTGAAGGTGAGTAGCTTAAAAGTCAGTCAAGCAAAATTCAATTTTGTACTCAATACAATTTTCTCTTTTTCACACACATTATTACTTTTAGGTTGATGACCAAATGAAGCTTTTGCAGAATTCGTGGTCCGATATGCTAGTACTTGATCATTTACATCAAAGATTACACAATAATCTGCCTGATGAAACAACATTACACAATGGACAGAAGTTTGATTTACTAAGTTTAGGACTTCTTGGTGTGCCGTCTTTGATTGATCACTTTAATGAATTGCAAAATAAATTACAAGAGTTAAAATTCGATGTTGGCGACTATATTTGTATGAAATTCTTATTATTACTTAATCCAGGTAAGCATCAACTTCTTTTGAAGGGGGGGGGGGGGGGGGGGGTTAATTTATGAAACAATTTCAGTCATGTTACCAAAACATGACTCTAAACTTAAAGGGTTCCAATTTACCCTTACAATTATTCAAAGTTGTTAATTGAAGCTTGTTGAAACTCTGCTGGTAGCTATTCAACCACCATGGGGTTTTTTTTTGTGTTGATCAATACTCATAAACATTCATACACGAGCAATCTGTTTGCCGCCCATACAAACAAACTCATATTTTGATAAATTTGCAACGTTTGGGTATTCAATGAGATGTTTATTTAAGAGAAATCTGCATACTGGAAAATAAATTCTGTAAATCTCATGTTTTGTTGAAATTGAAAGGTTTAAAAAGATCTTTGAGAGATAAATATGAATTATTTTTGATGGATTTGAAAGTTTTAAGGGTCTTAGAGTCTATTTTGTCAAGCTTATCGAGTAAATAATGACTGGAATTGGAAATAAGCATGTGAACTATCAAAATGTTTCTAATAATTTGTATTATTCTATTTAACAGCAGAGGTGCGAGGTATAACTAACCGAAAAACAGTTATCGAGGGCTATGAAAGTGTACAAGCAGCATTATTAGACTACACCCTTACATGCTATCCATCAGTAACGGTAAGACATTAAACTCACATTTTTAATCAACTGAAAAATAATAAATGACTTATTTTTGAATTTACAGGATAAGTTCAGCAAATTGCTCAGTATTATACCTGAAATTCATGCTATAGCAGTGCGTGGTGAAGAACATCTTTACATCAAGCATTGTGCTGGTAGTGCACCGTCACAAACATTATTAATGGAGATGCTTCATGCTAAACGAAAATAATTTAATTTTAAACAAAAAACAAATGAGCGTAAATTAATAATGAAAATGTTTATTTCATAATAACACATTTCCAATAAGTGTGTAAAGAAAATTATAAAAAAGAAAAAAATTCAAAAAAAAAACTAAAGATATTGAGAGGATTTGATTTGCTGATTCTGTGATGAGGCATGATAAGGTAATAAATCTTTGATTTGTTGGACTTTTTGTTTTTAAAGCTTCTATTCTTTTCCTTCCTTCTTTCTTTCTTTCTTTCTTTCCTTTTCAACTCTCTTTCGCATTGTAGGCTAGCGATTATAACTTTAAAAATTAAAAGGATTTTAGGATAAATAAATGAAAGAATTGAACATGCGTCACCCCATCCGTATCAAATCTTTTTAGGAATCTAAATTTAAAAAAAAAAAAATTAAAAATCTGTCTACTTACGCAATGCCTAATTAAATAATTTAACAAAAGAAATGTATAACAAACCACTATTTACACACTCACATACGTTATTTGAAGAGAAAAATCCACAAAAAATAGAAAATGCGTTTTAAACAATGTTTTTCCATACAACAATTTAGTATGGAAGTAAAAGAAATTGTTTTGTTTAACAAAGAAATGCAGGCGAGTATCCCAAGCATCCAAATAAAAAATGCACGTCCAACATGTTATGTGGACAAATCTTTATTTATTATTGTTACGATCTCAAAGTAGCTTTTTGGAATTATAAGACGAAATATGAAAGCAAATTATTATAAACAGTGTTACCAATTACCACAAATGATTTTAATGCAAATGATATAATTTTGTTTAATCCACAAGCAAATCCCAAGAGAAAAAAAAGAGATTCAAAATTTTTATGTTTCAAATTAGTGCAATAAAATGGAATGGAATTAAAGAGAAATTCTAAGCAGGTTCAATTTAAAATTACAAGATAGATACAAAATGCAGATTAAAAGTGACCACACACAAAGAAAATATGTTACCAGGTGTGAATTTTGTGAGCTGTTCTGGTTTTTGCACTAGCTTTTGGCTATGGGAGTAGATTATTACCCGAATGGACATTTGGGAGATTATGTGTATTTAAGGCACTGAAATTAGTCGTGAATCTATAGATTACATGCTATAGAACTAATATCCATCTAGTGTCTGTGATTTGAGACAAAAATCTTATAGATTTGTCTATGTCATTTTCACCTTGACCTTCTTGGCAGCAAAGGCGTGTCCTAGTAAGAAAATGTAGGGCAAAACATATTAATGGACGCAATTTTTCTAAATGAAAACACAAAGATTAATTTCAAGTCAAAGATAAAAGAGCAAAAATCAGAATAGACTGGAAATAACACACCAAAATAGATACTTTATTACCTTAAATAAGTTTTGTTCTCAAATATTTTGTATAGCACTCAATAACAAGTAAAATTGAAAAATTCTTTCATGAATGAATGAGAAATTGAATTGAACGAAACTCCAAAACGACGACGATGATGATGATGATTTTAAGAATTATTTATGTCTTTTTAAACTTTTTCTTTTCCTCTTCTTGGCACTTTTCTTTCCTTTTTAATAATTTTCCACTTTATTTTTTTCAATTTAATTAACATTCACTTTATCCTAGAATTTTTGTTAATTCTTTTGGGATTTTGGGCATAAACTGCTTATTTCTATAAGTTAAATTTTAAAGAAAATGTTGAACCTGCATTTGAAGAATTGATTTTGGCACACTAATCAGTAATGTCTGAAAATTAAACTAGATGTCTCAATCCGTGTAAAAATGTAGTAAGGTTTACCAATTTTGTATTTAAGATGTGAAATTATTGTGGATTTTGATGAGTAAAGTTTGGATTTTGATTTTTTCATTTCGTGTCTGAAACTTATGAAAATCAAAATCCAAAATTTACTCAACAAATTTTATAAAATTCACATAAAAAATCAACGAAAAAATAAAAAATCGTCAAAACCTAATATTGATTAAAATTTTCAAGACCAATATGAAAGTACACACTTTAACGCAATTGGAAAATGAATCAATTTTTATAATGAATCAAATACTTAAAAAGGAATGTATTATTTATTTATTGTTTTAAAGAAATGACAAACTCTATCCTATAAACTGCACGTAGAAGCGAGTACGAAAATTGGCATAAATTGGCAACTTTTGACGATGCTTCGCTTTCATTGTTAATACATAAAATTATCATAAATGTGTAAAAATCTAACGAACAATTTTAAAACACGCGGTAACGTTGAAATAATATTTATAAATAAATGTAAAATCGTCAACAACTAGAGACATTAGTCGTTGCTCCATTTCGAATATCAAGCAACAAAAAAAAAATTATTAAATCCATTTTAGGATACAAAATTGGTAGGCCTTATTTGATTATGAATTTATTCATGAGTTTTCTGGTATGTGAATTTGATTCCTTTGGATTAAAAGATCCCAAGAAATCAAGAGTCACACCAAGATACTCAACCATCAAATCACATCACAACATTCACAATTTTGATATCATTTAGAGTCAAATATTTTGTTTCTATGTCTAACAAGCATGAGGATACTTATCTTATGGAGTATCATGTTCACTATTCTTACTCAAAGATGAGCACATCCTCAGTTTTGTTGGTTCAAATGTATAGATTTTGCCGATCGTTATGATAATTTATATGAATCATGTTAATTCTTCACATACACAAAAAATGTGTTTTATTTCTTTATAAATCTTTTTTAACAAACAAAATTTTAGACATGTATCATAAATAATTATATAATAATTATTAAGTTTTTAAAAAAAGAGAAATGGAATACAACAAAAACAAAAATGAAAGAGTACCTTTATTTCGTCATATACATATGATAATATATTATATTAAAGAGAAAAAACTTTGTGTTCATTATTATGAATCAATTTAATTGAATGAGTAATATGAAATAATTAATGTGATGTATTTAAAAATGAAAAGCCTTTTGGCCTAACCAAGAGGATGAATCTAAATATGAAAACATCTTTTGTTATTGTTACCTATTTCAAAGAAAATATGTGGAAGGTGGAGGGTGTTCGAGTGCAAAAGAGATGATCAAACTGGAGATAACACTGAATTCAGCAGGTAAAGTAGAAATCAGCCAATTTAGGAAACTGAACTTAATTCAGCTATTTAAGCTGACTATTGCCAATTCAGCAAGTTGAGTTGAATTCAGCAAGATTAGCTGATTTCAAAATCTTTTATTCAAATCTCTAAAACCACCTCCTGATCATCCCTTTTGCCTGGTACGAGAGAGTATGAAAAGTATAAAATTTATTTGAGTTTTGCACGATTTATTTTATGTTCAAAAACTAAAGAACCGTCCCCCGGTAATGTCAAGATACTGTAATTTAAATTTACTTTATTTGGTTCTTCTCACATCTCCTATTACTACTTATTGCTGCAAATATTCTATTTAAAGAATAACACACAAAAAGAACATACATTCCATATCATTTTCTTCTTTCTACCATACGATGAGAGAATATATGTGTCTATTTCTATCAAAAAAAATAAATAAAATTTAACTTTAGTTTTTCTCTTAATTTTACTTACTTAAAGATTTTTTTTTTGTATTTTAAATTAACACAACACAACACACACAGATTCTTGTAAATAAAATGAAAAATAAAACTATATTTAAAAGTGTAATATACGTAAAAATAAGCTAGGATCATACGAAACCGAAATGCAAAATTTAGACACAAAAAAAGAGAAAATTCAGTTTACAATTTTTAAAAAATTGCTTGAATTCAAGAAATAAAATGCAAAACTGGATTTTTTTTTGTAGATCTTAATTTTTTATGATTTTTTTTAAAAAAATGGTGGAGGATTGTTAAAATATAAGAATTGAAAGTTGGGATACATTATGGTATATTAAAAATGTTGTTAAAAATTGATTTGGATAAAATTTTATTTCATATTTATTTAAAAAAAAATTTCTAATAGTTCTTGAGTTGAAAATTAAGGTGCTAAAAGCTTTCAATAGAAAAAAATGAAGAAAATAATACAAAAAAAGTTATTAATATTTCACATTTTAAATATAAATAATAAAACAAAGAACGAAAGAAAAACAAATATGAATAAAAAAAATAAAACCAATTAGACAAGGCACATAAAAAAACATAAAAAAATATATCTTTCATGTCCACGTGGAAGTTCAAAAGAAGAGAAAATATGAAAATATTATGAAAGGTACCTACCAATTGTTTTCAATAATTTTTAATTCTTTCTTAGAAATACGAGAATAAATGTATATTGAATTATAATTTTTAATTTTTATTAATGATTGATATTTAGTTTCATTATATAATTTGAAAAATGTTCAGTTTTATTAATTAAAAAAGTGAAATAAAAATTGAAAAAACATTCGTTTTTGTTTTTTATTATTTTTTATGATTTTCTTTTTTTTTTGTTAATTTTTTACTGTAGGTTTATTATTAAGTCAATATTAAGAATAACATTCAAGCTCGTTTTGAGTAAAGACTAAGATTACACCCTCCAGAAGTTATTTGGCATTATTTTTATCACTATTTTATAATTATTCAAAATTTAAGGTACCCAAAAGATACAGAAAAAAAAACAAAACGCCTAGTCTAGAATTGAACTTATGGTCGAGATATCATCAATCAAGCTATTGATCAGTGTTGTATTAGAAAAAAATGAAGCTTTATTTTCACTCAAAAATTCTTATTCTAACTCTTGTTTGTCGTTTTGTTATGAATTAATGTAAATGTTAGAGAATGGAAATCCACAATAGAAACATCTATGAATCTGAAAAGTACAAAAAGCATGTGAATGAGTATGAAAAAGATATTATAAAAATAAGTCAAAAATGGAGAATATTTTTATAAGAAATGCATCGATATCTGCTGATGGGAGGATGAGAATGTATTAGGGAAAAAAAATTAATTTTTGCACTGTCTCACACTCACTCATATAATGATATATTTTATAATTTTTAAAAAAAATCGTTGGATATTGTGTAGAAGATGAAAAGCTATTATATATAATTATATTATATTACATTGTCGGTATGTACAAGTGTTCAATTCACATAAAAATGAGAGTTACTTTCAAAAGGACAAGCTGAATTTATTATGATGATGATATATTTGATGAAAGGATGAAAATAATGATTTAAAATAGATGTTAAAAAAAATATTGCATAAATCGATGTATGCAAAAGAGAAAAAAAAAACTCAATTATGTTTGATGAACTATTAACTGGAAAAACTAATAACAAATATATTTTCGGAAAAAAAATAAAAATAAATGATAAATTCAAAATGGAACCTTTGTTTTGATTTCCTCATTTTTAAACCATTTAAATGTCTTGTTGGAATAAGATCGATCTACAACCAAATTATTTTGCTCCATACTAAAACTTGTCTATTGAACTCACACCTTTTTCAGGATAAAATCATCAAGTTTAACAAAAGTTTGGAACCTAGATGCTTCTTAGTTGCATACTAGTTTATATCTGGAAATTCAGGATAATATATCAAAGTCAATGCTGTTTCCTTATTCCTTATAAATTCTTTATTTAAAATAATATACATTTAAAAAATTAATAACATAAAATCAAACAATTATTAATAAACTGCATAGTCGATTAAACCTGACACTTTGGTGTTTAAACTATTCGTCTTAAGGAATGTCTTAAAGAAATTAATTTTGAGGTCCAATTTCCTAGTAAAATATTTAATATGCTTCATACCAAATAAACAGTTCTACATCTATTGTGTATATAATTTTTGATCGTCATTATTTGTTCGAAAAAGAACTAAATCATCGTTAGCTGCTGTGATGGAATGAATAATTCCTTAAAATTATGGGAGTGGCCATGGAAGACCAGAGAAGTCAATATTTCCTCCTGTTGATTATTAATAAAGACATCAATAAGTTAAATATAATAAGTGTAATAAATATTTACCTAAACCAGCATCAGCTTCTAGTAAGTTCATCAAAACAGCCATTGAAGCATCATCATTACCGTCTGCAGTTGAGACTTCACTGGTACCTAAATTCACAAAATTTAAATCAACATCAATTGACGTCATTAACCTTCACTTTTCTTACCATTTTCTATATTCATAGTTGAATTTGTTCGCGAGTGATTGAATGTGGAAAAATTTGAGTAAGTTCCATTCAACCTTGTTGGCATTTCAGAAGATACCGATGAATTATCCATACTCATTGTGGCTGCTTGATGACTTTCAGTAACTAATGAAATAGTTTGTGCCAATGTTGGGTCAGGATCGGAGCTACTAGAGTCAGGTGAAGCATCACCCAATCGTCTTTGATAGTCTAACACCTGCTCCGCAATTTGTCGTCCAATTTTACTTGCTTCGATATGTGTATTTATCATTCGTGTCATTTCTCGTCCGTTTGCTATGAATAAGTGTTATTGTGCCTTTAAAAAATCATCATAAAATAGGAATTACTTACTTTGGTTCAAAAAATCATAATTATTGTTCTCATTATTGTCATTGTTCCTACTTTGATTGCCATTCTCATAATTGCGCAAGTCAGAAAGGATGACGTTATTTTTTGCGATGAGAAATTCAATGTCCTGGAAAATTAATCTATGTTTTTTTCAACTTTTTTATGAGCTTATTATTTCACTTACCCTTGTCCAAGGATTTTTAAAAGACTTCCATTCACTTTGAACATTAATAAAACCATTATCCTTTGTCCGCATTCCATAAATCGGTGTTGTCACTTTCTCCGAAGTAGTTAAAGCAATTTTATGAGACTCAGCCAGTGCTGCAATATCGCGATGATTAAAATATTCATACATGCTTGTACCAAGTAATTCTTGAGGCAAAAAACCCAATACTAATGTGGCTCGCTGATCAACAAATAGAAACTTTCCGTCATTTGCATGTCTCGAAATAAATTGAACATTTCGCAAGACTGGATTTCCCCTGTTGCTATTATTTGTAACATTTGGCTTCATATTTATGCAAAATCCATCATTATTATAGTCTATTAATCTTCCGACCGCAACAAGACATGAAAGTGATAAGCATTCACCTTCAGTCTCTGATTCTTGTTCTGATGTCTCAATACCTATTTTTGCTGGAGCCCATGATTTTAAATATCCAATACTCTGAATTGTTACAAACTTTTTATCAGCCATTTGCTTTTTATTACGACGATGGCATGTAGATGCATTGTTTGTGTCTGTCTCTTCTTTCACTTGCACTGAAGATTTGCATTTCATGCGACAAAAGAATGAACGTCTTGCACCGGGAAAGAATGATCGAGTTACTGCTGGAACATCGGAATGTTTTACAGGCAGCATTGCTAGAAATTATCAAGTGATATTTATAGGGATTTTAAAGACAAATTATTCATCATGTCTCTTACTTTTTGCATCGATTAGTCTCTCACGTGGACTTAAATCAGACGAACTCAGTTGTTCCTTTACTTTTGCTATGTCTGAAGGTTTTTTAAATAAATCATTAGAATTTTAAATGATATAAATGATAGACATCACCTTTTGGATGTAGAATGTCAAACCAACTTTGACCTAAAAGCTCTCCTTGTGTGTAATTTAAAATTTCTGATACCGATTCAGAAACATAAAGAATTCTGGAAACAATAAAGTCGCGTTTAAGGATATAAAAGTAAAGACAATGACTTACCTTCCTCTGTCACATCCAACGACAAAAAGAAACCCTTCTGCAGCTTGTAAAATCAACATTTTAAGTTCCTGATCAGACAAAAAGCTTGGCTTGAAATCAGTTGTGTAGGAATGTACAGCACCTCGAATGGTCTTCAAGTGCTGAACTGCCATCCTTAAAACAGTCAATTTGTCTAGCTTTCGCGACATTGCATGGCACATTGGGATCATGGCAGACAACTCAGAGATAAAGTTATTCATTTTATCCCTTCGTCGCTTCTCAATTTCAGAATGATTGGCTCTTTAGAGGATGAAAACTTTTTAATTATGAAAGTTATAGAAACATTAATCAAGAACTTACTTTTTGTTATCGTCTGTTGTTCTAATTGATTTCGCATCATCTTCCTCGATGTCGCTAACTTCTCTGAAAGAATGGAAGAGATTATTAAAATCTTCTGTATAAATAAGCGCAATTGTTATGAACTTTGAATTTGTTTGACATAAATAGGTTTTAAAGAATTAAAGGAAGGTTTTTATAAATAAATGGAATCTTATATAATGTGTGTGACTGAAGTACGACGGCATAATTCCCAAAAATGGAACCTGCTATATCCAGCCACAGGAAGTAGGACACAATTATTTTTTTGTTGGACGCAATTGGACGTAATATGGACTTAATTCTGGCAAAGTTTCAAAGTGATTGAACACTTCATGCCGTCGTGCTTCAGTCGGACTATAATGTTTGGATGAAGTTTTGATTACGATACAAGTTGTATTTGGTGGTAACTGGTGAAGATTAGGTTGTATCCTACACAGATATCATTTACAGCAAGATAACAAGATAATACTTGAGATCAACGCAAGTTATAATCCACGATTTTGCAAAAGAAGAAACCTTTTCATTACAACCAAAATAAGTAGATTTTTACTAGAAACGGCTAGAAACAAAAGTTCCATGAACTTTTATTAAATATTGACTGACAATTTCCGGTTTATCACCAGATCTGAGTTTATTGCTATTTATTCACCAATATACCGTCGTCGTAATAAACATGAAGCTGTTATGGTTTCTTGACTTTACAGTGAATCATTATTTTCTTAAAAAAATAATTAAAATGCAAGCGCATTCACATATCAAAGAGGTGTCATTTACCTTGCAGAGAAATGTAAATAATTGAGTCTTTCAAAATTGAATGCTTTGTATTGGCTTTTTGTCAGTAGATTTTGTGGAACATGCGAGATGAAATTTAATTCATAAAGACTTGCGTAATGCTGTAAATTGTAATTAACTTCAGAATTGTATAAGAAATTTTTTTTTAAAATCTCAGGAACTGAATAAGGCTTCCCTGACGTTTAACTCTATAGAAAAGAATTTCACCCTTTCAGTTATTAAGAAAATTTTCACACTTTTGTTTCAATTTAATTTTGTAAGATTTCTTTTGAATTTTTTGTTATGGAAATTTCACCAAGAAGCTCTAGAATTTTTCTTATGCTTGATTTTTATTTTAGAATCTGATGCTATTCAAAAAATATTACTTTTTTTAAGTGAACTCTTTTTCTTACTAATTTAAGATGGTTTAAGTTGGACAAGATTGATTCAGAATGATCGAAAACAGACCGTGTAATCTGATTAACAAGGACGAACCTTAGCTCTTGAACTTATTGCATTATAGAAAATTGCTATATTTATAATAGAAACCTTTTCAATATACTTTGAAAATTAATTGTTACGTAATTTACTTGTGATTATCATAATTTGAAACAAGGTTTAAACAAAGTTGCAGCCAGCCAGTTACAGACATCAATAATATTATAACCGTGAGTTTTGATTAGATTTTAATACTTTTCTAGTTATCAATAATTAATGGCACAACAGCTCAAGATATCTTGCATGAGATAAATTGCTTGCTTTTCTATTTCATTGACATTTTTGGGATAAGAATGACTAAAACTCATTCATGTTTTAAATACTTACGAAAAAGAGAACTTGCGCTTTCTTGATCCCTTATTGTACTGATCGTACTGCATATTGTCAATATTTCCAGAACCTGAGGAATCCATTAGATTAGTTGTTGTATCTGATCGCATGAAATTATTTCCAATTGTCATGTCTTGATATAAACTTGTTATACTGCATGAGTGGGGATATTTGATAAAAAATTATTCGAGTGCAAAACCCAAAAAATTTTTGAAATGATTTTACTTTGATTTTTGAGTGTTTAAATCGTAATAGACGTTGTATCCTTGCTCTTGTTCATCCTGATGATTTGGAACTAGGATGTGTTGTTGATCAGTCAAGTATTGGTGCTGATTTTGGTCTTGTTCATTAGTTTTTGCTTCACCAAGGTCTGCTAAATGATGAGTTTTAAGCTCTTCTAATGTAACAAACTCTTTCTCATCGTCCGATACCGACAACAAGCGTGAATAGGGCAAATCTATTGGGTCAAATAGAATATTAATTTTATTTCAGATTTTTTTAAAAATTTATTGTCAAGAAACTTCCCACTCATGTCCTTAATTCTAATATTAATAAGTCTAATATTTTTATTCTGATTCACTAAATTCAAAAAAATCACAAAATATCAATTTTTCCTTTAATTAAATTAACTAGAATATTTATTTTCACTTCTACCTGAATAACCACTAACGATAGAGGATCGAACGGAACTAACACGATTTGTAATTGTGACAATTTCATTTATATACAATTTTTTTTTCCCGAAAGACCCAACTTGATATCATCTACAATATTGTTGTTGCCAACAATCATTTCCATTTAATTTGAGATTCTGAATTTCTTGAATATTTTTGTATAAAAAGATCGTCAGCTTCGGCTTCATTCTCCTACTTTTATTTTCTTCTTATTCATATCAGCAACAGCATTTTTCATGTGCGTGATGAGCAATTTTAAATAACACAACATGAACATAAATGATATTCCGATGTAGGAACTGAAATGGTTGGGCTGTTTTGCGCATGCATTTGATTTTCATTCAACAAATGTTGTTGGAAATGTTTATGATGTGAACTGCTGTGAAATTTTCTCCTCTCTTTATTTCTCTTCAATGCTAAATGGCTTGTGAAAACCGACTAGGATTTTCATACAACGCAACAAGTTTTCGACATGCATTGAGGGGTGGTTCTCTCTCATTTTTTTACGTAATCAAATAGGATTGAAATGATTGGAGAAGGTGGATCACAGATAATTTCTTTTTCTCTTTATTTAATATTGTTATGCAACGATTTATTAAAGGGATTTTGTGTTGTGATTTTAATTAACAATCAATTCAATCCTTTTTTAATGAATTCGAGTTCAATTTTAATTAAATGGTGATTTTGTCAGGATTATTTTTTTAAAAATTAGTGGAATCATTTATTTAATGCAAGAATTCAAGGATTTGATTGACAATTCGCAGTTAATATTCAAATTTTATCTTTTGAGGTTTTAATTTTAAAACGTCAAAATTTATCACTTTTTTGATATATTTGAAACGAGAATTCTAAATTATCTGCTGTGCTCACATTTTTTTGACTATTTGAAATCATTAAAAGGTTTAATGAGCTACTGATTAGGTTGCATTCTAAAGTTAAAAACCTCAAGAGTAAAATTTTAAAAAAATTCTCAGAACTTCGCGCCAAATTCTTTAAATTACTTTATTTCTGTTTATTCATTTAAAATCAAATCCAAATTTTCCTTCAATAATAGCTTTATGTGTCAATTAAATCAATAATTAGACTTAGGAGCACACTTTTCTCACTTTTCTACATATTTTTCACAACTTCATTCATTCACTCAATTAAAAATGCCGCAAACTTTTTATTTTCAATTTGTTGATTCTTATTTTTGCAAATTATAGACTAAACACCACTAAACTTGTATGCATTTGATTGTTTTGAATCAGCACTTTTGCTATATACCTATGACTTTATACATGCAATAAAAATATAATATTTCGGAGCAAGTGTATCGAATTGCCTGTGGAAAATATATTTCATTAATTAGATTTTTTCTTATGACTGTATTTGTTGAATAAGTGAGTGACGTAATAATTTGAGAAACCATATCAATTGTCTTTAGAATTAAGTTAAGAATAAATTGCCATTCTACAGTCACCCTTCTAATTTCCCCAGTACAACACGTCATTATAATTATACATAGCTAGTTATCTCGATGGAAATGAATACAATTATTCCTATTTCTTGGAGATATAAGAAACTGTCTTTGTGATGGAATGGAACAGAAATTTTATATCATCCAATTAGTCAATTGACACCTGTGATAATTTCAATTATTTTTTTTTTCTTGTTCGGAAATAAAAATCATCTGAGTTCTCATTCCCTACTTCCAGTGACTATACATCTTTTATTTTTTTTGTGTATACAAATAAAAAATATTTAAGATGTTGTTTTGGATGAATGTAAATTTAATAAATGGGTGAATTGTATTGATAAGCTGTCTAATAAAATCTAAGGGTCGCTCTCTCTTACCGCTTATACAGATCAACCCTCTCATAATTGTCAAAAACATTCGTACTTGAACAAACAAATAATGTTGTGCAATTGATACGCAAATATTCATAAAGTTAAACTCGAGAAACTTCCTACACTTTTTTATTGCTAGAAAATAAGCAAATCGATTCCGGAGCATCTGGCAGACTCGAGAATTCTGCAGAATTCTGGAACACAGTTGTGCAGAATAATTCTGCAGAATTATCCAGAATTCTGGAGAATTATTTATCAGAATTCTGGAGAATTTTTTGAAAAATGTCACGCGACACATTTGCAACATAATTTCAGAAAACAGAATTTTTTAACAGAATTCTGGAGAATTCTGGACAAATAATTCTGGAGAATTCTGTAATAGTTTTTATATAAATTGTCAAAAACACCCTATACTATTTAGCATTAGCTATTTAGCTACAACTGTAGATGACAGATGAACTTACTTCGTTACGTAAAAATCAAATTAAAGCTGTAATTTACAGATGGTGTTTATAGCTTAGCTGCTGAGCAGTCCTTACAGTTGATGTAATTTCACGTGAATTCCGCTGGTTTTGACTATGACATTTCCTTTTACAAAAAAATTGAATAGAAAACAAGGTACAGTAGCATGCAAAAGTTTGAAAACGATTGATAATTAATAACTTTAAATGCTTTCTAGCATATAAACATAAAATTAGCATTATATTTTTTATTTGAATGCAGCATTCAGTTTTTGGTTCTATTCCGAATGACACAAGTCGGTAAATTAATCAAAAATCCAGCATCAACCTGGTGTGACTTTGGCATGGTGCTAGATTTAAATCGAAGCCATTCGTAAGTATTTCCTAGGTTGTTTACTATCATTGTTTAGGTTTTTGTTTCCAGTTTTTATTCTTGTGTTATTTTATTTATATTTTAAATGTTAACATCCAGAGTGAAAAATTTGATTTTTATAAAACTGTAAACTCAACTGTAAGTACTGCTCAGCAGCTAAGCTAAAAACACCATCTGTAAATTACAGCTGTAATTTGATGTTTACGTAACGAAGTAAGTTCATCTGTCATCTACAGTTGTAGCTAAATAGCTAATGCTAAATAGTATAGGGAGTTTTTGACAATTTATTTAAAAACTATTACAGAATTCTCCAGAATTATTTGTCCAGAATTCTCCAGAATTCTACAGAATTCTTTTAAAAAATTCTGTTTTCTGAAATTATGTTGCGAATGTGTCGCGTGACATTTTTCAAAAAATTCTCCAGAATTCTGATAAATAATTCTCCAGAATTCTGGATAATTCTGCACAACTGTGTTCCAGAATTCTGCAGAATTCTCGAGTCTGCCAGATGCACTTCACCCAAAAGTTTTCTATCAGAATAAAAAAAAGATGAAATTTTCTCAAAAAAATAAATTGAGTTCATAAAAATTCAAATTAAAATCAACTTAAACCCTAATCATCCAGTAAATAAAGCTACAATAATAATGAAGGAAACTGCATCGTGCAATATCAAGGTCACGGTTATCTAAATTTTCTGTATAAACTAAACTACTCACAAGTATAGCTTCCTACAGTTTCCAACCTCTCAAGATTTCCAAACGAATATCTGTTGATACTCAAATTATGAAAAATTAAAATTAATAAAGTTTAAAAAAATTAATTCACAAACTAGCTTGAGCAAAAACTAGTAAATGAATAATTATTATTACAAAAAAAAATACTTATTTCAGTTAAATCAACGGCATAATAATGATTACACAATCATATACTACATATTTTTTTAATACGTCAAAATTGCTATTGTGCATCAAAAAATGCATATGTAGTGAGAATGCAGCCAGTCAGAATAGAAGCTTTCAGACAGAATATAAATAAGACTTGCATAGATGTGACTTATTTTGAATGTGGGAGACAATTTTCTTATTTAGAGAAACTCATCTATAAAAGGTGTAAATTTTTAAATGCTTACCATTAAGAAGGAGAATTTTTAAGATTTAATGGATGTAGTTTGAAACTTGAAATTGCAGATTAAGTAATTAAAATGTTTTTTGATTGTTTGTGAAGAAAAGAATTTAATTGAGTGACATATCAGCATTATTTTATTCAATAACAATGAGAGAAAGATGATGAAAGTGTTGTTCGTGGTCGTTAATTCACGTGGTACTTGAGTTCTTCGTGTCAAAAATTTTAAAATAATTTTAATCAACGTATTTGAAAAATTCAAAATCTTTGAGCAATGTTAACGGAAATTTCAAAAAGTTGAGCAAAAGTCTATTAACCCATAGAATTTGCTTAAAACACGGTTATTCCTTAATTTAGCTAAGGGGCCGTTCACTTATTACGTTTGCATTTTAGGGGGGAGGGGGGGGGAAGTTCACGAAAAAAATTTGTCTACAAATTCACACCAAAAACATTTTTTTTAAATTTTCCACCATTTTATCAAAATAAAATAAATTATGAACGTTGAGGGTGGGAGGGAGGGTGAAAAAAGTCGTTTTTTTGCGTAACGTAATAAGTGAACGGCCCCTAACTTAGAAATAATAAATCACAATCCCATAAATCAATATTAAGGAGTTGATATATTTTTGAAATTTCAAATGTCAACGTTTAAAAATAATTCAAAATCAGGGAATATCAACCGCATTTTAATTCAGTCACAGCCCCCTGTACTTTTTATTGTAAACATAATTTTTCGTTGGTCGTGTAATATAATTAATTCTACTCCGCAATTATGAGTTTTTCGCGGTTTTCACAAATTTTCAAATGGAGATCAAATTATCAATCAAATAAAATGAAAGTGATATTAAAGAATCAGTTGCTGTTTTACTTTTGGACATCGAGAATACAACAAAGTCAAAAAATCTATAATTTTTATATGAAAAAATGGCAAGAAAGAAATTTTATAAATTTATTTAAGCAGTTTAAAAGTAATCTGGTAAGATTAGATGGATGACAACCTGAAATTCAAAACTATGAGGCAAGAAATGATCATTTTAGGTAAATAGAAGACAGCTTTACACATTAAGCTTCACGGTTCCGCTACTTTACTCAATCGATGACTGGGAAAAGAAAAGGATTTACCTGGATAACGATGCTATAAAGTATTTTAATGAATTTGACCATATAGAACGTCTTAAAGATCCCAAACTATTCGAAAACATATCTACGGAATGTTACTACAAAAATGGAGAGAATCCGGATGACGATGTTTGGGAATTTTACGTCCAAAAGGATAACATGATAACATGGAGAAAAGAACAAGCTATTGGGCAATATGCTTATAAAGGTGAGTCTAAAGCTGTCATTCAAGGAATGTCGATTTTAATTGAGTAATTTGAAACCACTTGATTTATTCCTTCATAGTCGGAGTAATTGCATAATACCTAATTTTCTTCTTACTCAAACGTGTGTGACTTAATATCAAAAGGCTGATTATTTTTTAAAAATCATCCAGAAAACATTTTTATCTGCATGCACACGACTTATGAATGAGATATTTTTAACAGAAAGTTCAATGCTGTTTTTCCTTTTTTATTTATACAGTGTATGTCAAATACGATGATATTACGGCAGAAGATTTCCTACACGTGCAGATGGATATTGATTATAGAAGAGAATGGGATCGTATGTTTATGTTAATTTTGAATAAATTTATTTTTGCATTACTGATTAAATGATTGCTTTCGTTATTTTAGACACAGCCGTGACTCTGGAAGTTATTGACACTGACCCATATGATGATCAGCAAGTTATATAGTGAGTTATTAGACACAGGGTGTGTTAACGGATTTTTAATATTTGAAATTTATGCTTTACTAATATTCAAAAATTTTAAAAAGTAACGGTTTTTTTTAATAAGCACACCCTGACCCAATATGTACAGCAAATTCAAAGACTTGACTATTCATCGTTTTTATTGCAGCTGGGAAATGCTTTGGCCAAAATTGTTTTCAAATCGAGATTATGTATTCATGCGAAAGTGTTTTATTGATCGTAAGAACAATGTTATATTAATCTGCTGCAAGTCAGTTGATCATCCAAAATTTCCTGTTAATCCTCATTTGCAACGTGTAAATGATTATTGGAGCTACATGGTTATAAAGCCAACAACATCATTCAATCAAAAAGGATTTGAATTTAGTCTTACTTATTATGATAATCCGGGAATTCGAATCCCAAAATACATCACAAATTATGTTTCTCAACGACAACTACCTGAATTTATCAAGCAACTTTACAATGCAACAGTTAAATATGCTGAAAAGAAATTACAAAAGAATATGAAGGATCCAGGCTTCGAATATCCCTCAGATACGAGGCTTGATGATTTCGAAAATGAGGAAGAGATGGAAGATAACGTGAATCAAGTGAAGCCGTGTGTACGAGTCGTAGAAGAGAAAGAAAGCGAAGAGGAAAATGTAGTAGAAATTGATAATAGAAAGTCATGGTGGAACTATCTGATTCCATTTTCGTACATGCAATAATGAAGGAAATTAAAAAATAACTAAAAGTAAGCAGTTAATGTTATTGAATCAATAATTTTAAAACGTTCAGATAGTTCGTTCAATTAGTAGCTCAGCTAAAAATAATTCTAATAAAGAAGATTGTTCTTTAAATGAATTTTGTCGTCACTAGCGATTTTATTTCTCAAAAGCTTTTTTCTTTTTTTCTGCTGCATAATAAGTAATATAAAGTGCACTCAATTTAATACAATACGAATACAATACTGCTCGGTAAATATAATCATATTAAAATAATTGATTTCTTTGGCGATATTTTATGACTTAAGAATTGGAACTGAATTGATATAGGGTTTATTTTGGATATATTTAAGGATATCAAGATGCACTGATGTGGTCATGAATATTTATATGAATTTTTTTGTGGAAGAACTCAAATTTTACAAAAACTGCTAGCTACACACGATTTTGACATGCGACATGTGTCTTTTTTAAAATAATTGTTCAAAACCGTATGCTACACACGACTTTGAACCAACACATAGCAAAGCTCAAATATTTATTATCATCTAATCAAAACCGCGCACAGAGCACGACTTTGAAACAACAAAATTTTTCGGCCTGTTTCACTAAGGTGGATTATCCACTTTTTCAATCCGAGGATAATCCATAAATTTTTTTACTTCGTTAAACTGCACGGTGAATCAGAAAAAATGGATTTAAAGAAAATAATTTTTTGACGATGGATTTCACAAAAAAAGATTATCCACTTTTTCAATCTGAGGATAATCCATAAATTTTTTTACTTCGTTAAACTGCACGGTGAATCAGAAAAAATGGATTTAAAGAAAATAATTTTTTGACGATGGATTTCACAAAAAAAGATTATCCACTTTTTCAATCTGAGGATAATCCATAAATTTTTTTACTTCGTTAAACTGCACGGTGAATCAGAAAAAATGGATTTAAAGAAAATAATTTTTTGACGATGGATTTCACAAAAAAAAGATTATCCTGAGATTATCCTAGGATTATCCACATAATTAATCTAAAATGTTAAAACTGGGTCCCACCAAGATTGAAAATTCGGATAATCTTCAGGATTATCCAAGGATAATCTAAGGATAATCCATATACTAAAATTATTTTTTCGCGATATTCACTATACAAGAAAAATGATTTTTCTCAAACTAGCTTGATTATTATTTACCAATTAATTCTACATCAGAAAGAAATTATTTGGATTTTCCTTGCATCGAAGAAATGCCTTGCATCCTTAAATGAGGATAATTCACCTTAGTGAAACAGGCCGTTTGTGATAGTATGATTAGATATGTTTCATTTGGCCACATCAATGCAACGTACAAGGAATACATATATTTAATCCATAAGCAAAAAGGAATTAAGGAGATTACAAATTAGTTTCCGTTCGAATCGGTAAAATTTTAAGATCACACATTTCATTAAAACTGAGATCACGATATACCGACCATTCATTTTGTTTAAGCAGGAATTGCTTAACATTATATTCCATTTGATGAATATTCATGCCTTCCTTAGTATATAATTCAGGACTTGTCTCGGAATGTGAGCTCATATTGCTATCATTTGACTTATGATTGTCATTGAAATCAGAACTAGATTCTAATGCATTCATATTGTCTGACTGGATAGGAGCATTAATGCTGCTATTTATCCACTCAGTTATTCTCTGATGCTTCATGACTGCATTTTCATTTGGCGATTGATTCTGCTCGAAATTCGGTTCACTTGTTGAATATCCATGAGCATTCGATAGACTTTTAATCTCATTAAATTTCTCCGAATCTGTCTTATTGACTGAAAATATTTCATCGTCGACATGCTCATCGATAGTTGATGCGATGGATGAGATAATCAGAGGTGAAATACTCTCATACTTATCGAATGCATCAAAGTCGATTAACGACTTCTTTCTCATAAATATTTCATTATGTGTACTGTCTATGCAAATTCCATCGTCTTGAATTCGTAATGCACATATGCGAGGTCCATTTTTCTTTATGTTCTTATTCTGCAAATAGATGAGCATAAATTTTATAGCATTTAATGGATATAAATTTCATAGACATGATCAGCATACCTTAATGTACTCGAGTAAATTTTTATTGTAGTCTTCGAATGTTTTTGTGCCATTTTCAGCACGAGCATTACTCTTTTTCGGTACTTTATTATCCGATTTGTTATCTTTTGCCGCATTTTCAATGCTCTGCTTCTTCACGACTACTTCTCTCCTACATTCATTCGGGACATTCTTCTTTTGAGCTGACATATCATTATTATTAGTATTATTTTGGCAATTTCCAGCCACACGTTCACACATCTTATGATGAACGAAATTTTGATTATTTAAAATTGCATTTTTTTGCTTCTGCGGATCAATGACTTGCGAATTAAAGCTTGACGGTGAACTTAACTTTCTATCAAATTGCACATAATCATATTTATTACTTTTCTGCGACATGCCAATATTTTTACGAGACACTGATGCACAACAACAAGTCTCACAATGCTTCACTTCGCTGATTTCGTCTTCTAGAAATTTACTGATAGCTATCGGAGATACGTTGAATTCTTTATCAGGTGATTCAAAGTCATTTGAGGACATGTACTCATTAGTTGGAATGCTTTGATACTTTCCTTTAAATACTGTTGATGATGATTCTTCTGTGTCTAAAGGTGGATTGACTTTGACATATTTTGAGATTTTTGTTTGTAAATCTGCCGGGAACTAAAGAGATTGATTAAGTAAGTTTATTTCAGGAATGAACAACAACTTACTGATTTAATGCTAGGCGACATGAATCCTTTTGGATTACATCTCAGTAAGTGAATAGCTAAAGCGATATCCCTCTTATAGCGTTCCTATAAGAAAATTTACGACATAATCATAAGAAACTTATGAGAACAACATTGAAACATACAATTTCCCTCTGCAAGTGCAAAATCGTAAAGTTTGCCTGATTCATGCGGATATTCATGTTTGCACTATTGCGTGTTGACTTTGCTCTGTCACTAGCATTTTTGTCAACTAGCTTTAATAATTTTTCTTCCAAATTTTGATTGACGCTTTGGACTTTTTTGTGTGATTCATAAAGTCGTTGAAACTTTTCTTGCCATGCAACTAACGACTCTTCTAGTTCTATTTTTCTGTCAAAAAACATAAGATTTTCCTCTTCCTTTTTAGCCAGTGCCCTTTTCAGCAACTCAATCTCAACGCTCAAGTTCTGTGAATGAAAAATTTTCTGACATAAACTTTTATATGAAAATTCTGAAAACTTGAAGGAATTTTCATCGAATTATGCTGACAAGCATGCACAAAACTGTTTATAATCACAATTCTACTCACTTTATCGCTGATTCCCGACATTATGCAATTTGTTCACATTAAAACTCTTTTTTCCTCTTCATATACACAAAAAAAATTCGCGAAAAAAAAAAATATCGCCATCTGTTGGCCAATCTTGCAAGGAAAAAGGCACACAACTACAGCGATAGTCCGCTTTTACAATTAAATTGCGAGTAGTGAGACCATAAAAAATCATTTATTTCAATTTAGAATTTTTTTATTTCGTAAATTGCTTTAATTCTAATACAAAAATCGCGAATAAACAAAAATATGCGTCGGGTTCATCAAGTACATTAAGTATAATATGAAATTTGGGTGAAATCAATTGATTGATATGAATGAAAAAAAAAAGTGTGAAATGAAAAAATGATGCATTGTCAAGCCAAAGAGGTTTCAGTCTGAAAATTCAGCTTATCTTTTAGTGCAATTGTTACAAATTTATTTTTTTGTTATTCTCTTTCCATTCAACTTCGAATAAATAATATAAAATCGTGGATGTGAATTTAAATGTGTAAAACAGAGGGAAAAAAATTATAATATATAGAATCGATAATAGAAGAGTTTTATTTTATGAAATATATATATATACATATATAATATATATATGTGTATATTTTAAAATCTTCTAATTTCATAAAAAAATTTTCATTTTTTTCCCGTTCTCAAAATAGCTAGTGATTTTCTTGCAACACATTTGCGATGATCATGGTGTGACTAAACTATGTGTAAAATATATGTAGACAAAATATTTTATTTATACCAAAGTGATTTTTACGAAGTATTTGGAATGTGAGAGTTTGTAAGTTCAAAACAAATTCATGAGACATTTCTTTTTTCTGAATGAAAATGATATCGAATATGAGATTTAATTGATAAATAATGTCTAATGACTGAATGTCTGTGTCATCTTAAATAATTCAAAAACTCACATAGATACCAGACAGTAAACAAGTTCAAAGTGTAACAAACGTCTCACACTGACTCTCTCTCTCTCTGTCCCTCTTTCTTTCATTCTTGTGCTCCTTTACTATATTTTTATACATACATATCTATAGACATATGAACATCATCAGCGGCAGCATCTATATAAATGAAAAATGTGAAAAGATATAAAAAATAATTTAAATAATATTGCCTTATTGCAATTTTGTTTTTAAACAACAACTGCGAAACTTTCAATTGAAAAAAAGTTCACAAATTTTTTTTGTTCATAAAAAAAAATTTTCAATTCATTTAAATTTTATTTTAATTTAATTTTTTTGGTGTCTGTAAATGAGACATTTGTAGTGAATTTTATGTATCTCCGCTTTGACATTTAAATCTATGAAATATTATTGTTTTTAGCACCTTTCTCAGCATGTGTTCCACATTTTGTCTTTTCGGGTGCGAAAATATTGATCTGTCTAGTCGATATGTCTACTACAAGTGTGCAGTGAAAACAGCCGGAATGACTCATGGAATTTTGTTTTGCGGATTCAATTCATTTTCTTTTTATTTTAAAATCAAACGAAAAACTTACATCCTAAATACGCTCTAGCTCCCACTTGAACATCATCAAACTTGTCACACTTTATATTTAGTCTAGCCTGTAACATTTACAACACTTGTAGCATCTATATCAACGTTATAAGTACAATTAAAGTTTGATCGCTTTTAAAACACAATCATTTGTTAATCTCAAAGGATTCTAAAAATATTTTGCAGCCAACTCATGTTGATTATAAAATATACGCATAAATTAGATTTCATTTGGACGTTAAGAATATTTGAACGGCTAAATCTTTAAGATCGTTCACTTATGACGTCCAAAATCAACGGTCACTTCTCAAAAAAGAACAATGGATTTCCAGGAATTTCTTTTTTCTTTTTTTTTCTTGATGGCCCCCCCCCCCCCCCCCTGGACATCATAAGTGAACTGCCTGTTATCTTAAAAGGTTTTCAGTTCCTCGTCCTTATTTGAATTGTTTTGATTTTTAATCCCACTTGACTGATCATGCAATAAACACTGGGACTTACAACAATTGATAATTTCTTTTATTTCACTAGACAGACACAAAAATATTTTAAAATTCAAAATCTTGACGCGAAAACATCAATTTTTATAGCAATTCATTAAAAGAAAACATTTCCCATTTAAAATAGAAGGTAAACAAGTCATTCATATTTAAACATCAGAACTGGATTTGCAAAAAATTCACTGCAAATGTCTCGAACATATTAAGAAAATGCATAGCAAAATAATACTTATAAGAAAAGTGTAATATCGTGTAAATTGCTACAGGAGAATAAATCTACACAAAAGAGATTTTGCTTCTGTCAAAGAAATCTCTGTTAATTGTAATGATGCAACTTGGCAAATTTTTTGACAGAATTAATAATAATAATAATAATAATAATGAATATGTTTATGGTGAGAATCTAACAATTGACAATAAATTATCACTGAGAATGAAAAATGAAGAACACTTTGATAAAATCGACACTAATTATCATGTGAAATACAAAAATATATCTGTTTATGATAATGAAATTAATATTATTAAGACGACTAAAAAGCAAAATAAGGTGCAACAAAAGTTAATGAAAAACAATAGAACAACAATCATTGAGACATCCACAATTATTCCAAGACAAGACTTTGAATCGTTAGTATCGTATGGAAATTTTAATACATCTATAAACAGTGAGAAAGAGTCTCCACTTGATACTTCCATACATTCGAGTTCGAATGGTAAGTTCAATATAATACATTAAGTGCATTGCATTGCATTGCATTGCTTTTGTAAGGTAGACGACCCTTTAGCAAAAGAATGCAATGAAATTTCTTGACTTTATATGCTCCTCTTTTTCTTTTCTTTACTTAATAGAATTTTTGATAATTAAAAGATTGTATTGAAAGATAAAATAATGCAAAAATTTTCTCTCTGTCTGACTTCTTCTTACTATGTATGTGAATGTGCAGTAAAAAATGTATATTCAGACCTGCAATAAATTTTGAGACATGCATAAAAAAAGATTATTGTGCATATTGGAAAATATTTCATTTCTGCAGACAATTTTTTAAAGTACTTTATTAATAAATTTCCAGACGTTAAGATAATTTAAGAGTTTGTTGGGTAACCTCGTTAAACTGGGCATATGAGGATAATTAATTAAATTCTCCATATAACCTACCCCAATAGAAATTTTTTTTACATGGCGGTTATATGGCGACATTGTGGCACCAATCAAGTAGAGTACTGTGCTTTCGCCAAGTGGATAAAGCTCTCCTAGTCTATCTATCTTTCTCTCTTACTCTGTCTGCATGTTCTGTTGGCTAGCTTATGATAAAAAAAAATAGCTAGACAGAAAAATCTCTTACATTATTTTATAATCCTCTTCTGAAATTTCTTGAAAAAGTAAATTAATTAAGATTAATTTTCAACATTGCTGGATGTTTGACTCTGTTTGACTAGAAAGTCAATACACCTCCTTACAGTAGCTAGCTACCTAAAATAATCTTTATAATGCCATTAAACATTTACAAACGTTACATTGCCTTTTAAACTTAAAATGCAAGCAGAGCAAAAATTAATTGACATTTATGTGTCTGCAACTACTGTATTTTATTGTAATCTACCACTTAGTAATAGCTTCTTTGTTGCTTCAAGAACCTCACACCGCTATAGTCGGCACAGTGTTTATTTAACTTTAAATAGTAGATGGAAACAAGTGTCGCATACCAAATTTTTTTTAAACAACAGTTACATTAAGGTAATTCTTATGTGCAGAAAGACAAAAGACAATGATTATGATTAATCACTTGCTAATTTGTGGTTCCTTTCTTTATGACTTTCTGCTTTCAAAAACAAACCTTAGTTGATGACAAGAAGAAGGAATCACACAATGACTTTCTAACTTTCTTCTAATTGCTGCAAAGCTCATATTTCATTCTCAATTAAGGTCAAATGTTGCTCAAAAATTAATCAAAATTTAATTTAAATTACATATAAAAATAAATTATAAGCAAAAGGACACGAAATAGACAGACTGTGAACGCTACAATGTTTGCATAAAGAAAAATGTACGAAGACACTTTACGAGACGGAAGGTTGAAAATGTTTACAAAAGTCAAATGAATATTCAATTGATGAAATAAAGCGCATTTGATAATATAATTACCTAGTGACACAGAAGTTAAATAGAAGTCATTCAGGAGCTGATATATAAGCTTTATCACTTTAAATTATTTTGTTTTCAGTCGGTTAAGCATTGAAAGATAAGACGCTCGTCATATGACACTTGAATTTTTTTTTTATTAGAATGAGAATTGGGAGGTCACTGAACTTGTCAAATAAACAATTCTGGTTAGTTTTAATCAAAATATATTATTCATTGTTCGTAGTCTGGGGGTAAACTCAGTAATATTTTAGTTTCTCAGAGGTTCTAGAATCATGAGTGTCAAGTAAAGCTTCATCGATAGGATTATTGGAGTGCAAAAAAGTCTAGCATTTGATCATATAATATAGAAATCATAAATGTCTAATTGGTAAAAACACGAGCTGGAATTTTCAGACGTAGGTTTGAATCCCACTCTAGTTCTGTTCCATGGAAATAACCAACCGTTTCTTCTATAAAGCTCAATTAGAAGCCATATATCAGATACTTACCTTGAACAATTGAATAGAGACGTTCTGCTTAACTGATTTTTAATGCTCGCAAAACGGAAAACTTTGAAGCTTTTCTCGAACTACAGGAAGGAATTAAAAAATGTTCCCATGATACCACGTGCCTAATAATATTCCAAGAATTTAATGAATGCATACTCATCATTCAAGCATCTGTGGCCTGATTTTATTCAAAAGAAGCTTTATAAGATCGAAAAAGGTCCTTGACAATGTCTGAGTCTCGTAAGCTAAAAGGTTTTCTCAGAAAAAGAAGATTGTGCACAATATCAATCATAACTCAAGTGCCTAAAATTTTCTCCGAGTCAATCCTTCAATCGAGACTGATAATAACCATGAACATAAACTCTAAATTAAACCAGTAAAAACTCCCACTATCAGTAGTAAGCACAAGCTATTTATAAAACAAAAAAAAAATTATCAACAAGTCTTTTACACATTCCTTTTTAAATTGTCCTTAATTAAAGCGGCTTGCAGCTCCCTCTCGCGACACCCATAAAGAGAGCGAGCATGTACATAAAAAGTGCAGCAGCCTTAAAAAGATCGCGATAATGAGACAACAAATGAATGAAGGATTCCTTTTGTCAATTTGTAATGATGTCACTCACATTCATGTTAAATTGATAAAATTGTTACATTGTTGTATGCTACACAGAACACAGAGAGTATGAACAGCAACAAAAAAAAAAGAATATATATGCGAATTTACTTCTAAAGTCTGTGTATTTTATTTTTTTGTGTTCATATTTATTTCTGAAATTGGATCGATGCTAGACAATGCATTTTTTAGGTATTTTATTTCCATTTTATATATTCAATTTTTCAGAACGAGGGAGCAAGCCAGTTAGTAAGTGAAGAGAAAGAGATAGTCGAGGCGCGCAGGGGGGGAAAGAGAGGGTTATGGAGATGATAGAGAGAGCAAAATGTAATTATAAATTGCAACAGTAATGCATATTACAAAGTAAATAATGTAATGACAATGAATTTATGTTTGAGAGCAGTCATGCGCTTTCATGACTGATAAGATCTCAGAGAATGAGAGAATTTTTGCACGCGACTATTATATAGAAGTACATATATGTTCTTCTCTCATGTCTCTATATATCTTCTAAAACCGAACGAACATTTTTATTTTCTTCATGTATGAAGCTGTCTTTGGAATTTCTTTCTTTCTTTCTTTCCTTCTTTCTTTTCCACCATTTGGGAGAAAAGAAATGAAGAAAAATAAAGAAAATAAGAAAAGAAAAGAACATAAAGACAGTTCGCGAAAATAAACTACAGCAGTAGTTGAGTATATTTTATTTTATATGTCAAACACTGAGAAGAGAACGGGAGAACGAGAAGGAAACAGAACAGAAAGAAAAACGACGAAAGAAAAAAAAAAGACTTGTCTCGCATTGAATGTATGAGTGTAATCAAGCCTGCCAGTTTGAATATCATTATATTCACGTACATACATACATACACATATACCCGAGACTGTACACAGACTGTGTGTATGAATGAATAAATGAACAATGTGTGCGCGATAGACTGACTGAACTCAAACCCTTAAATATAACGTGATAATTTTGCACATACATAAGTCTGGCTGTTATGTTATGAACTAAAGAAAAATTCTCTCTGTCTATGTAGTGGTACGAGACAGTTTTCACATTGAGTGAATAATAAAAATATCAAGAAAATTATTTGAAAAAAAAAGTTAAAAACGCGACAAAGCGCAGTCTAGCCGTTTCGTCAGATTGTGTGACTTCAGTAGTCTAATAAGAATCATACGAAAATGGTTAAAAATGCATAAGTCGCGTTGTTAATATTATTATTTTTTCGTCATAGACATTTTTTACTTAAATAATTATATTTTTTTTAAAAACAACCAGCTCCAATATTATAAAATAAAAGAAAAAAATTAAGTTGTCGATCATTTATGCTTTAAAAAAAATTATATATCTGTGTGACATAGTTGCAGAATAAAATGAAAATAAATGGAAGAAAAAAAAAGTTTTATTTAAATTGCATTTAGAAGCCAATTAATACTACTATTAAAAGAAGAAGTAAATACTCCTACAAGTGTTTCCTTAAGCTATAAAAAAATTAACGAGAAAAAATAAGTCTAAGCTGAAAAAAAAATTAAATTAATTAAATTATTATACCTACTATCAATCCACAATCTAAATATTAATATAAAGAATAAAATAATAATAATCAGTATCTTGGAAGCGTGAAAAAAAGTCATTGTTACATAGAGGAGCAGAACAGACAGAGAGAGAAAAATTACATATAGACTGTAAGTTCCTTTCTTTTACATAAATTCAGAGTTGCTAGCTTGTCGCGGTGTCTCTTCTGATAACAGGAAAACATTCTATTTTAGAATAGTCACGAAAATTTTGTGGAATTTGACAAATTCATCACAAGTCAGTGGCTAAAAAGTGTCTGGGAAGTGTTAAAAGTTTTTCTATTATCAGTGATATAATTGGAAAAGGGATGTTCCTTCCAATAAAAAAAAAAAAACATCTTGTTCCTTCTGTGATGTTTACACGAGAAAAAAAATGTCAAGAGGTGAAATAAAAATTCATGACAGTCGACCCGAACGACACAAGCTTTTAATAGCAGACAAGTGGCAGACAAAAGTGTGAAGTCATTCATTGTCTGATGAGTCATAAGTGTGACTTTGAGAATCATACTGCATTCGATGCTATTAACAGCTTTCATTAGTCTCATTAAAAACTGTTTCGTGTCTAAAGTGATGTTCGGGTATGAATGCCTACATGTGACTCTCCAAAATTTAATATAATTATTGCATTCCCTTTGCATAAGTGATTCCTATCTACAGGTAGAACCGAGCGACACAAAGGTCGAATGACTATCAAGAGAACCCCCTTTTTCTGTCTGCACCTTTCTGCTTCTAATTTGTCTCCCTTCCCAAAAAAAAAAAAAACTTTTTTTCAATCAAAAAAAAACCACAAATTTTTTTTGTACTCCTCGGGTTTCCCTCGGACACTGTCTGCGAAAAAAGAGTAAATTATTACGTCTAGACAGAAGCATTTGTAGTCAGCTGAGAAAACTTTGTTTAGTTCATAAAATTCCAATCAAATTCGCTGATTTTGTGAAAATTGCATCAGACGATTTTTGAAATGTAATTTTAATTTAATTAAAAAACTGTGGTTGACTCATGACTGAAGACACTGTGGTGTAAATTTTCAACCCATATATCATATTTCTGACTGATTGTGTCATTTTTGGTGATTACTGTATGATTTAAGTCGTAGAAATCAATATCGAAATTGAAATGTCTGGCGTGATTAGATTCGTGAATTTTTTGTAGGTGAATTTTTTTTTTTGTGGATGTTGTTGCTTAATGGTTTTTGCGTGTCAAGCAGCTCAATTTAAAGTGATAGCATTCTAAAAATAAAATTTCGATTACTCCGTAAAATTATCAGGACATTATAAAATAATTGTAAATAAAACAAACTTTTCATTCATAAATGTATCTATTGGAACTAAACCTTAAAATATCGCTATCAATAAACTATTGCGACTTTACTTTCTGCTAAGCACTCCATTAATAATCCAGGATCATAAATTACACATTTATGTAAGAATTCGTTTGATGATAATGACATCAAAACGAAGTTGGATGATTTGAAGCTGAAGGTTATCTGTTAATGAACTTAGCTCATCATGAGTCATAAGATTGTTTTGCGAATGTACTTTGAAACGTTTGAATAAAAAATTTAAAAGGACATCAGCACATAAAGTTCAAGCAACTTGCTTGTGAGTTGATTGAAATGATATTATCAGTTGTGGTTTTTGACTCTCTGGGATAATGCATTGACTGTGCAATGCACTTGCAGTTTATAGATAACTTTTTCATTCTATCTTCTGAGTTGGTGCTGATAACTTCGTTGGAGAGTAAAAATAAAATATTGAGAGTAATGGTAAGGATTCCATCTGTATAGCCATTCTCAAGGTAATAACGTCTGGTTTATTGAGAAAGGCAATGGAAATTCCTCGTACGGTTCTGTTAGATCAGGCCGAAAGAAATTTAATATCTGTTTAAACAAAAGCCAGACACTTGTTGTGTATTTTTTTTTATCGTATTTATCAACGTCTGGGTGCAATAAATGACAAAGTAAGAAAAAAAATTGTTAACTCAGCTTAGATATTTGTGCTTGCATAGCCTTGTTGTCTAACTATCAAAAGTTTATTCAAAGGGAATCCCCTAGGAATTTGAGGATAGAGTCTAGACAATCGAGCACGAGTTCTTTTATCGACGATGCCCTTGAGACAGCTCTGAATTACGTCGAAACAATTTTTTTCCTCCAAATTCTTCTGCTTATCATAAAAAAAAAGTCTGCGAAAAAATGATTAATACACATTAAAAATTTATTTTTTTCTTCTGATTGTGTCTCGTTTCAGGTTTCTTTAAATTAATATTTTTCATATCAATAATTTTCATAATACTTCTACTAATCGCAAGTATTATTTACATTTGGGCGATAAAGAGATATTCAACAAATTTGGAACACATTAATAGAAGATTGCCAGAAGTTGATCACAATCTTCTAAACCATTCAATATTAGATCTTGAAGCACTAGTGAGTATACATTGATTTTTAATGGAAATATGTCGACACGTTTGTAAAAAATTTTTGGACTTTACTTAAATGTGTGGAATTTCGTAAACAAAAATGATTAATTCTGTGCTTTATATTCTAATGAATAGTCAGAACACTGTTTTTTTGACTGATACTTTAAATTCCAGAGTTGAGAGTCTATCATGTTTAAAGCTCAATTTGCTTTATAAAGAAGATTATTACATAACTTATTGTTCAAATTATTTCTTTATCTCAAAAAGTTACTGATAATGATGAATTTCAATTGTCATTTGTAATTGTATTTGTAAATAAAGCTGGTTCAAAAATCGAATTAAATTTTTTTGAGTTTCCAAATTATTCAAAATTGACCACATCAATGTCCATTATACTACAAAATTTACTAATTTTCATTTCTCTCCCTTCAGATGCTATCTGTGCAGAATTTGGGGTGTGCTGGAATGGAAAGACTCGGGAATCCGCCCAGCAGTAACTCAATGTTAGCGAGTCTTCCATCTCAGCGAGATAACAGGTTGGTATTTAATTTTAAAAAAATATTTGTCTTGCTTCTTTATTCTTTATCAAATCAAATTTCATTGAGTAATAAAAATCATTTCTTCTTTTATTATTTTTTTGTTTTTTCATTCTCATTTTAGAAGTATTCGACATTCTTCAATTCCAGTAATGCAACATGATCTCATAAACTCAACAAATGGAGAATCACAGAGTTTTTTTAAAGAATCAAAATCACAACAACTCACTTCAGGGATCAAATATTCAAGTCATAATAACTGTTATACGAATTGTATAGTCAGAAGTAATTGTCAAATGCCACATATTCCACGGCCTGATGGAGATTTTGGTCGCGATACGCTTTCAAATCATCAGGTAAATATTGATTCTCCTTAAGTTCCTAGACATAACAAATACTCATTAGCTGAATGCATGATTTGCACATCTAACGAGTATTTTCCATTCACTATGTTTGTTTAAAACAATTGATTGACGGATAGGCTGACCTGCGAACTATCTTTATATATAAAAAAAAAACTAGATGGTGAAATTGATGACTATTTTTCATTAACAGGCTTATTCAATTAAATGACTTATTATCTAATATTTGTGAGCTGGCTGCTTTGTTAACAGACTGGCTAGAAGATTGAAGAATTGTTTAACTAAGATGGGAATTTCTTGACTGATTTTTAGTTGAGTAATAAATGAAATAGGGGCTCGGTATTCAAATAGGTACTAGACAATTTGACTAGTAAGTCGTTGGGTTAATTGACTCAACTCTACATTTATAAGCGTGTCTAGTTTAGTTCTAGACCCCATGTCCAAATGTTTGACTTTATGATTATTCACCCGCCACAATCCAAATTCCCTCAAGTCTCATTTCATTTCTATAATTGTCGACTGTCTGCACTATCAGTAACCCTTTTTCTTCCAATGAAATCCTTGAGTATGTATAAACAATACGTGTGTACAATACATTTGCATTGATTGCCTTTTTGCATTGCTGTCGTCGTCGTCGTCATCGTCATACTGTGTACATTTCCAATTATAAAAGTCTCAAGTCTCTCACTCTCCCCTATGAAGTCAATTCATTCATTCGTCTTATCAATAATATCGATGAAGTGTTAATTCCTTTCGGTTAAGCTTAAATAATAATTCAAATTAAAAAAAAAGTTCTTCGACTTGTCAGGAATGGTGACAAAAAAACATTCATGAATGGATTCATTAATGAAAATATTTATGTTTATTTATTTTTAGTATCATGCTGAAACCACGAGAAGTTACATTCAAGCACCTCCGAATAAGTCAATAGAGGATGTACCGGATGCATCGATGACATCGCATCAATTAAAATCTATGAAAAATTGTACGAAATCTTCCTTAAAAGGTAGTGATAGTAAAAGAGTAGCGGAGAAGTTTAAAGGATTTTTTAAGACAATTAGCGGAGGCACAAATTCAAATTCGAATCCACTGAAATCAGGAACTGATTTAAAGACAAACAGCAATGTATTTACTGGAGCAATGTGTTTATCGTCGTCAAAGTCAAGCAACAATTTTCCAAGTGCGTCGACAACGTCATCGTTAAGAGGAACGACACAGCATCTGCATCATCATCATCATCATCAGCAGCAGCAGCATATAGGAACTTCACACGATAAAATGACTGAAATACTAAAATCCAATGATGCAAGTAGTACAAATAAAATGCAAACATCTAATTGTATTAACAGTAAAGAAGTTGAAGAAAAATCAATATCGGGAACCTCATCAATTCAATCATCGTCATCCACAACACACATAGACTACAGTTCTCTTTGACATAAAGTTTAAACAGCAAACATTATAAATAATATAATTAATTAATGCAACACACACACACACACACACACAACTATAGAAATAGTAAAAATGAATAAAAATTTAAATGAATTATTAAAATAATTATAATAAATAAAAAAAATATAAATAATAACTATTAGTAAGAATAATAAATAAAATAATAACTTATATTAATTATTAAAGCGCGTCCAATTAAAGTTATTTAAAAAATTGAATCTACATTTAATTTTCTTTTCTTTCTGGCATAGTTCAAAATGAAATTTTTGATGAAATAACGGAAAGAAAGAAGGTGTAAAATTATAGTAGTATAATCTTCACAATGTCAAAATGCGATTTATATAGTCAGTAAATAAAAGAAAAATGAAAATTGTGAAAAAAATTATGAAAGAAAAAATTTATATGAAGATAATTATTAGTTTAAAAAAAATTCTTTTCATTGCACATTCATCTGGGAAGAAGAAAAATAGGAAATTGAGTCTCAAAGACATTGCTTTTTATTAACTTTCATTTCAACTGTCATAAACTTTCTTGTTGACTTTTATTATTTTTTTTTGGTGCAATCTTTTATTTTTTAAGTTTAAATGTAGGCAAATTTTACGTAAATTGATTCGACTAGCAAACGTGGAGATTTTGTGAATTATGTGCAATTTGCATGATTTTGTTTTTTGTTTTTGCAAACATTCTAGAACAATTTTATGTAGTAAACGAATTGTTTGAACTTGATTGCATGCATTATTTTTTTGTAGTTCTAGTAAATCTTCCAAAAATTTATCGCAGGTTCTCAATACTAGCTACAATTCTTCAAAATCTTAAATTTTTAAATTTCAAATACCATAAAATTCAAAGCCTTATTTATAAACGAAAATTTCACAATTGTTCACACCTTAATTTTTCTGAAAAATGTAAACTTTTATGTCAACATTCTTATCAGAGTTGTTGCCAAGGTCGTATTTACTAACCTTAATTTCTAAAGTGGCCATGAAAAAGAAAATATTTTTTGCAAATAATCACATATGAACAAATCTCTTTTACGTGAATCAACAGAAGGTGCTTAAGTTGGATTTTTTATTATTATAAAGTAATGCACATCTTGATTTAGATAAAAAGTTATACAGATTGAGCAGAAAATATTTTGCTTAGACACTGAGATTTTATGGAAAATTAAAAAAACCTAGGAATTATTATGTATTATCCTAGCTTATTGAAAGAGCCATCAAACAAGGTATTGGCAAGTTTAGACTAATTTGTTTCATTCAAGCCAAAAAAATCCTTAAATCGCCTTTTTTTTACAAACCAAATAATCAAGACGAGAGAGCACTGAATAATAAAACAACATTGATTCGCATTTTTCTGCTCCATAAGAATCTCAAAAAAAACATCAATACTCCAAAAAATAAAATAATCTTCAAATAAAAAAAATATAATTAAATTTCCTAAACAATAAAATTTTCAAAAAATTTAAAAAATGACAGTTGAAATCCTCAATGTATCCCAATTTACTAAATGTTACTCATTCTCTACAATAAACAAAAAAAAATAATAACAATAACACAAAACGAATTCTTATCGGACTGATTTAGTCAGCTACATACGCACAAGACACAAAAGGCATTATATCTTGCCGACTGATTAATTTGATAAGCTTTTGGCACAAAAATACAACAAAAACTTTATCTCAAAGAAGAAAAAAAAAACAAAAAAAAGAAAAAGAAAAGAAAAAAAACTTAAAAAATTTATTTATTATTAAACAACTCAGTCAGGTTTAAATTTAAATTCCTTGCAACATTTTTATTATTTCTCATGAATTATTTTGTCTTGAGTTGAGCTACAGTTGAAATGATGTTGGATTGTTGCATAATGTTAAAATGACATTTTAATTAAAATTAGAAGAAAATTAATTGTTTACAATTTTTTTTATTATATATTTTCATTTTCGCATGAAAACAACAAAAAAAATTGTTTTTTGTTTCCCGTAAGATAGAAGAAGTGACAAATTATTAAATCCAAAACTTGATGTTTTTTTTTAAGAACTAGGAAGAAATGATGACAAGAAATGAGGAAGAAGGAATGAAAACAAAAAACAGTTTGTAGAATAAAAATTTTAGGTGATGATAAATAGCTATCTAAAATATAAGTTCTATAGGTATTTAGCAAAATAATAAAAGAATTAAATAGAATAAAAACATGCATTGATTTCTTGTTAGCTTCAATATCCGTATGCAATACAAAAAAAAAATGAAATGAAATAAAATGAATATAATGCAATGAATCGCAAAAAAAATGAGAATCAACTTTACTTACTAACATAAAATGTTTTGTAATAAAATAAAAAATGAAAATATTAAAGAGAAAGAAAAATAAAAACAATAAATTCCAAAATTTTATCATACACACATTTTTTCAGAAAAACTTTAATTCTTTAGCATTAATTTTCAGACTCACGCAGACAGAGCACTGTGGATGACGCACTTTTCTCTTTCAGTGACCAACTGTCGGAATCTTTGTTGTTTATTTTTAAAGGACAACTTAGTACTGGGGGTCCTCGATTTGAGTAGTTGTTTTGTTCCAAAAAATTTCTACTCAAATCGAATCTATTCAAATCGAGGCAAAGAATCCATACAAAATTACATGTTTTGTTCCAGAGTCCAAAAAATGAATCAAAACAATGAAAATTTTGATCATTTTTTGCACATTTTACCTCGTTTCTTAACTTTTCCTTTGTGTTTTAGATAACTTAATTTATTTCAACGCATATTCATATTGTTTTTAAACGGAAATTCACAAAAAAAATGTTTTTGAAACAAAACAAAAATATGAGAACCTTGCAAATGTTATTTCACTGAACAATTTGTAAGGTTTTTGAATTTGAACTTTTTAAAATCGTTGATTTTATATCGATTTTTTAAATTTTTACTTTAATTTTGTAACTTTAATATTGATTTTTCTATCAACATGATAAGTTCACGCTTATCGCAGTAAAATTTATGTTTTAAAATTATTTTCTGAAATGTTTTTATCAAAAATATTTGTTTTGTAAACAATTCAAATCGAAGAAAACAGAAAGAAATCTACTCAAATCGAATATTTTGGTGGGTAATAAATTTTCTGTTCAAATCGAATCTACTCAAATAGAATCTACTCAAATCGAGGACCCCCAGTAAGTTCTTAACATTCAATGAGCAATTAACCTTTGAAGTTTTCTAATTGTACAATATATTGTTTTTATGTCTAGAAAGTTGCAGTTACAGACAACTTGAGATTAAACATTAATTGGAACAAATCGGAACTTTAAATTCTTCATTGTTCTTAAGGATGGAACAGACATTATAGGTTTTTGTGATCTTTAAAAAAAAACCTTGCGATGATAGCTGTGATTCAAAAAGAGAGAATATTAAGAATAAAAAGAATCATTGATTTCTGGTTTGTTATGTTGATACTCGGCTGTAAAGGCCGAAGTCTTTACACTAGTGACGAAGTCACTATATAGTTCGTCACAAATGGTTTAAAAGCTTAGCTCCACCCTGTTCCAAAACCACAGATCTATATCAATCCCTTGAGTACAAACTTAATATATTTCCATAAAATGCGTTCCATCTCCATCTACAGCATTACCATCTCAACGCATTTCAATGTCTGCCAAAAGAAATGCGCTCAATTTAACGATTTTGCGAAATAACTTGGGTGCTCGTGTTCATGTATTAGTATTTGTGGCAATTTCGTTATATTCTTGTTCTCGGTCGCTCATTCGTTCTCTTTCTCACTCACTCATTTTCAACATTTCTTCTTTTTTGAAAATGCACTCAAACTAATGTTTGTGTATGTTCAACATTGAGTACTCATTCGCCGTCATATCATCCATCCAACCCCCCATGACCTTGAGACAGACAGAAAATAATAAGAATTACATAGACGTAATGTATCTTCTTCTTTTGAATATTAATTTAAGGACTGATGTTCGGGGTTTTCTTTGCATTGCTTCTTTCTTTCTGACGTCTCTCTCTTTTTATATTTTATTTTTTTTTTAAATGTGCACGAAATTATTATTGAAATGCGATACGCAATTAAGGAATATTTTAAAATAATTACAAGAAAACTTCTTTCTTAGTCTTAGCTGAAATTAATTTTTTTTCCACGAGACATTAAATAAGAAGAAGACAAATAATGGTAAAGATATGAAAAAGGTCGATACTTTTTCCTTCAAGATGCATCACTTAACGATATGAATACGGCAACAACAGAAGCGATTGTTTGATTGTACAATTGACTTTGCGGATAATATTTCAGTACGAGTATTCTTAAGGAATCTTGCTTGCGTCTAGACAGAGTTGGCGTATTAATGCAATTACTTTACGATCTTAATATATCCTATGTCTTGATATGAACGAGGGTTTGTCTTATCTAGGCTAATCCATTGATCATGAAATGATTTTTGTCATCTGCCCTTAAAACATTTATAAAGGATTGGAATGCATTCATGAGACCAAGATACCAAAAAGGCACAGATAGCAACGCTGCTTTTTAATAAGAATGTTTCTACAGACGTAAACTTGATTAAAGAGTTAAAACTGGAATTGATACTGCAGTTTCCCTCCAGACATACACGACTACATTTATCATCAGCAAGTAAACCTTCAATTGTATCATTATCATTCAGTTCCCCAACTTTTAGATAATGTAAAAATGGTATCCTTTATTTTAATCCTTCCGTTCTCAAATCCAGGTGGTTGCCTCATATATATCTCCTCCTTGATATCACCATTCAAGAAAGCTATCTTCATGTCAAATTGTTTAACATGATAATTATTGATACCAGCAACTGACATGAGAATCCTAAATGTTGCTGATCGAGCTACTGGAGCAAACACCTCATCATAGTCTTCTCCGTACTTTTGGGAAAATCCTTGAGCAACTAGTCTTGCCTTGTAAGAACACACCTGGCCATTCTCATCTCGTTTAAGCTTATAAACCCATTTACAGCCAATGGCACGTTTATTTTTAGGCAACATCGTAAGATCACAAGTTTTGTTCTGATTAATTGACTTAATCTCTTCTTCCATAGCTATCTTCCACTTACTGGCATCAAAACAATTCATAGCTTGTTTGAATGTCTTAGACTCAAAATCAATTCTTGAAGAATATGTGACAAAATCACCAAAATGGTCAGGTTTTTGTCCTTTGTTTCTTCTGCTCGATGTTCTAACTTCACTATCTTGTTCATTCTCCTCCTGAACCGACACATTCTGATCACTTATTAAATTATGATCAAAATATCTTCTCTTTGATCTTCCTCAAAAACGTCATGTTCATTTTGTTCTTGATCTATATCTTCATCATCTAAATGATCTTCTACCTCATATTCTTCATGTTAGTCCTCAGCATCAAAGAACAATTCAGAATTATTTAGACTTTGAACATCATTCCTTACATCAGTTGACAATGGAAACGGTACCAAATCACTGCTGCTATTGTTCATTTCATGAGATGAATTCTGACTTATCCTCAAGAACTTTTCTTTCAAAAACACAACATCACGTGACACAATTATCTTCCGCTGTTTCACATTTGCAAGTCGATACCCTTTCGACCATCCGTCATATCCAACAAATGCCAACTTTTCTGCCTTGTGGTCTAGCTTCTTTCTCTTTTGATGAGGAATCATCACATAAGCACTAACTCCAAATTCTTTAAATTTTGAAAAATCTGGCTTCTTGTCAAAGAACTTCTCATATGGAGACTTTGGATCATCTTTGCTCACAACACAATTCAATGAGAAATTGGCATTCATTATAGCTTCGTCCCAGTACTCTTGTGACATTCCTGACTCAGTAAGCATCGTCCTACATGCCTCAACTAAAGTCTTATTCTTTCTCTCAGAAATACTATTTTGCTCTGCTGAGTAAGCCACAGTACACTGAAATCGAATACCCTCTGAACGTTCATACTCTACTTCAAAATACTCTATGACTTTAGACTGTACTTCACTCTTTGCTTTCAAAAGATATATTTCCGTACATTTCGAATAAACATCTGTGAATGTTGCAAAATATCGAAATCCTCCAACTGAGGTAGTTGGCATAGGGCCATAAATATCACTTACTACACAGTCAAAAGTATTTTCAACAGGTGTTGCCTTCTTTGGAAACGGATTTCTAGAAATCTTCTCTACAATGCATGATTTACACACATTTGTGCAATCACAATCGGCTATGTTCAAACCTTTATCCCCCATCGCGAGTATATCATGCAAATTTCTATGAGCTAGTTTTCGATGCCATTCATATACACAGCATCTATCCACTCTGTCGTTAACAAAACATGATCTTTCGACTTCAGTTCTTACAACATACATATCGCCTGATTTCTCAGCAATCTGCAATTGTTCCACACCTTCTACTTTAAGGTAACAACCAGCTGAATCAAAAACAGTTTTATAGCCCTTATTACAGAGCTTTGAGACAGAAATCAAATTAATGTCAATGCATGGTACCAGAAGTACATCAGTCAAATCTACACTAAAACTTTCGTTTCGTACAAATACGTTCAAACGGACATTTCCTCTCCCTATGTACTCAACCTTCTCAACATTAGCAACAGTAACTGTTCCCTTAACACTTTCATCAAAAGTAATGAAAAACTACTTACTGTATGTCATGTGAGACGAAGCCCCTGCGTCGATACACCACTGAGAGTTTCTCGGATCATAAGAACTTCTGTGTCCTCCTCTAAATCTTGCCATTTTGACAGTCTCATTCTTGCTTTCTTCCTTTTCTTCAATATTCAACATTGGACAATTTCGCTTGATATGTCCTTCTTGCTTGCATTTAAAGCACATGATGTGTTTTTTTCATATCAATTTCAGTACTTTTGATACAATAAACATCAAATCTTTTGCTTGCATTTTCACTTCGCCTTTCCCATTCATCGATAAGTTTCAGCTTAACATTATGCACAGTTATCTCCTTCTCTTTCCATGATTCTAATCCAGTCACTAAATTATCATATTCAGCATGTAGACTTGACAGAATTGCATTCACAACCATTTTGTCTTCAAGCTCATCACCACAATCCTTGATCTTTTGAACGATTTCTAACAATTTTTGCAAATGTTTCTGCATGTCACCGCCATTGCTTGTAAAGCCTCACCTTATGTCCAACTGAGTCATTATGGATGGTGAAAACTCTTCAATGAATCCCATGCTTCTTTGCCATCTTTTGCTTCCGAAACATGTACCAGTTGATCATTATCAATCATCAATACAATGTGCGCCAATGCTTTCAAGCTTCTTACTGCATCCTCTGGTTTTGAGCTTCCTGGTTCGTCGACATCCCATAGATCTTCCCTGATCAAAATCATCTTCATTCGAAACGCCCAAACACTATAATTTCCACAGTTCAACAGCTCGTATATGACAAATTACTTTTCTAACAGCTTCATTGCGTTAAGGCCCATAACCTCTTAGATATAGAAATGGTATACTTTATTTTAATCCTTCCAAATAACAAAATGTAATTTAATTTGAAATAATCCTTTTTCTCAATAATAACTTTTCAATAATAATCAGATTCCTACGATCAATATCAATGTAACATAATAATTCAACACCAACCCTGCATTATTCTTCAATATTCTTGCTTCAATCTTGCTTGAAAAAGAAATAATGCTTGCCATTTTGGCCACACTTGTTTGTATATTTGCCACGGACTCTTTATCATTATCGTACATCAAACACAAAATATTCTTTATGCAGAATAAGTCTCACTGTCAATGTGTCTCTGGAAAAAAGAAGAATAAAGAGACACAAGAAATAAAAATTTGAATTTTGTTTAGGGATTGAAAAAAGTTTCATGCAACAGCTAATGTGATAAGTATACACTATTGCCATTAACTTCATGTTAATGAGATGCTTTTTTTCTCTCATATTTATTTATAAAATCGTGGGCAGTAATACAGAAATGTTTTAATCCAGACACGACGATGTCAATCTACAATTCTTGTACATATGATAAAATTTAAATGATTTCATACAATAATACTTGAATTGCTGCATGCAAAACAGCTTGAAACTTTCAGTCTCATTGCCTTTTATTCTGATTTCATTTAATGACTTTGTATCACATTGTTGCGCTTATAAATGAAAAGCAATCGTTCAGGTTTAGGCATAAATGTAATTTTGTAAGGATTCAATCAATAAAAGTGATTGGTCATGCTATCTTTTGTGATACTCCGGTGATTGATGTATGGGGTTAGTTGAAGGTAGGGGAACTTTGAAAGGGTCAAATGTGTACTTTGTATGTAGACATTGAGATGTTTTTCGTCTGCTGTGGTTTTAATTTATGATTCTTCGGATTCTTCCAAAAAAATCAACTTCTTTGAAAAATTGAGTATTTATACAGCTGGATGTAGGAATTAGGATGTATTATTATAGATACAACAACAATATTGCATGTTGTAGACTATTTCAATTTCCAATTGTTTTTCTTTCCTTCCAATGCATGTCTTTGACGAATAAAGAAACTAATGTTTTGACTATTTTTAATCACATACTTGTCTGTTCATCAACACGGAATGAATTCAAAGTAGCATTTTGAGCTGTCTTCATACAAAGTTGCCATCATGTAAATTTGTAAAAGTTGTAATTTTCCAGTCAAAGCTTACATTTAATTACGCGTTTCAATCAGGAAACTTCAAAGAATGTAAATATTTTGAGGAAAAAGTTTGTTGTGACTTAAAACTATAATTATGCTTAACTCCAACTTTGATTGATCTAGTGATCTTCAATTAAATTTTAAGCAAATCAAATTGAAAGCTATAGATTCTATTGTTCGATTTTCAATCCTGATATCTGTCAAAAAAATTATTCCTTCAGATTTTGAGATTCAGCTCTGCAAAAGCAAAACCTGATGTCATTCCTTTAAGGCTTACAGATTTTGCGATTTGCTTGTACCTTTTCAAAATTTATTATTTACGATTAAAATGATGAAAATTGAATAATTTAAAAATTCTTGACAGATTCTAAACCCTCTTTAAGACATGAAAATTCTAACCCTAAGACTCATAAAATGTTTCATCTCCAGCCAGTTTATGCTAAATAAGGTTTTGGTATTGTTTACCTTTTTTCATCAATTTCTAGAGGGGATCAAATACCATAAGTACATATGTCGAAAATCACGTGTGTTAAAATCTACAGAATAATGTCTTGAATTTCAATCATGCTGAAAATATTTAAGTAGTCACAAAAATTAAAAAGCAAGAATATTATTTAAATTTATAAAATGTAAACCTCGTTTGAAATTTATTTATTTCTTTTTTATGTTTTATTTTATGTATGAAAATTTATTTTAATGATTCGTCTTAATATCTAATCATTTCTACTTACTTACAAAATCTTAATCACAGATTTTATATTACATGAGAGTTTCGTTTTTCAAGGATTTCCAAAAAAAAATGTTTGTCTTGAATAATGATTCATTTTCTCTTTTCAAAAATTTTCGAGCATAACATTTATGTCACTTAACAAAGAAAATTAATAAAATTAATTTATATATAAAAATAAGTAGTTCAAATGCTTACAACGGGGTCATTCATAAATGATGTTCTAGTTTCAGGAGGGAAAATTGGATTAGAGCTTTATGATACTTTAAAATAAAATTCTTACAGGAGGAGAAATTGACGTCATTTTTGAATGACCCCAAAGGCAAAAATAGTAAAGATTCTTTATTGTCGTGTGGAAAGCCTACGATAATTTATCCAACAAATTTAACTTGTGCTTATTCATTTGTTTTACTTTCTAAAGTCTTAAAATTTTAACTTTTAAAATAACTTAAAATTAATTTTTTTTTCATTCGTCTTCTTAAAATTTTAAAAATTGTCGAAATAATTACACTAAAATTCTTCATAATCTAATCATGTCATTTTCTATGAATGAAATTACTTTTCTTTAAATATAAATGGCTTCAGACCCTTTATTTCCTTGATGACTGTTAGTAGATACATAATGATTCTGATTCGCCGGTGAATGTGTGTCAGACCAGTCCGATATTGAATGAGGCGATTGTGAACTTGACCAATGGCCTGGCGATTCAGGTGATGGTGTAGGATAGCTATCTAATGATTGAACCATATGCTGCGGTGTCTGATTCCCACTGTCATTGTGACTGGGTGGCGTGAGATATTGATAAAATGATGGCTTTGACGATCCAGCTGTTAATTGATTTTGTTGAATGTGATAGAAGGATTGTGTTTGATTATGTATTGGAGATTGTACATGTTGGGGAGAATGAATACTGCCTTGTGACGGTGATGTCAATGTAGATGCGGCACCTAAGAGAATTAATTTTTTTTATTATCACAGTTATCCTTAACAGAACCTTAATGATTATTTCTAGAACGAAAGCTTACCTGCCGGACTACAAAACCCAGCCAATTCTAGTCCATTTGGGTGATTGTTGTAGTCGAAATTCATTTGATGATGCGGATGCACACTCCCATTTGAGTTTCCATCAATTAAAGTACTTTGAGGAGTATGTCTCATTGCTGATGAGTTTGTTTGAGGTGAATTAGGAAGATTGTGTCGCGATGGAGAACCTAGATGTAAATTATTGTCATTAATATAGTCCAAAATTAATCAGAGAGCAAGGGTCAGACACTCCAAAAGTATTGTACAGTATTGTACAATACTTTACAATACATATGAAAGTATTGTAAGTATTGTACAATACCTACAATACTTACAATACTTGTATCGAAAGTATTGTAAGTATTGTAAGTATTGTACAATACTTACAATACTTGTATGGCAAGTATTGTAAGTATTGTAATTTTTACAGGACACTTTGAGATTTCAAAAAGAATATAAATTTGACTTTATCTAGAGATTTTTAAGTTTTTCTTGTTTTTTTCCATTTTTTGACTGTTTAAAATACAAAATTATTAATTGTTTTATTAAATATTTTCAAGTTTTACTTAGAATTGTTTATAGTCTACAAAAAAAAATCAATATTTAGGAAAATCAACCTGGGTGGATAAAAATAGAATCTGGTGTGTTTTGAAAATATGTGCACACATGAGATATGTGCGGAAATGTGTGAATATGTGCATATCCACACATATCCACACATTTTCGTATGTGCACATGTGAAATATGTTGGTAATATATTTTAACAACCCTGAATTATTTTAAAAACATTTTTTAATTTTTAAATGAACTTTGAAAACGGAAAAGGGAAAATAGAAGGAAACGTTAAATAAAAATCTTATTTTAAAACATTTTAACATGAAATCTTGATGATTAAGACTCTTATTGTTATTGCCAGGACAAAAATCAAGATGCTATAATTTGATTTAAATCTCAATGAAAAATGATTTTAAAAAGGGATTTTGGTTTAAATCATTTTACCCAAGTGATTTTTTTCTCGATTTTGATATAAATCATTTTTTCACAGGGATTTTTTTTGGGATTTTAAAATCCCTCCATATAAAATTTTTGTATGAAATTTCTCAAATTATTTTTCAAATCAACAGTTTTCAGTTGCAGTTCCTCATAAGTAAGAATGCATTTGATCCTGTTTGGGCCAGAATCTTGCAACTGGATCTTTTAGATCCAAACATTTCTTTAATAAAGGTTACAGCAACCAATGGTTCCATGCTGTTTGACTTAAACGAAATCTAATTCATGATTTTTAATCTTCTGTGCCTTGCTGCTTGCATATAAATATCTGGGCTTCATCAAGCATGTCTGGATCTTACTGCATATGTGGAACTACCTGCTTTCAATGCTTTTAAAAACTTAAATGTCTTTTATTACAGTACCGAAGTAATCTACGTTAGTTTAATGAGTCATAAGCAAGAATAGGCACTTGAACTGCATAGTTCCTTTACATCCACAAAAATTTTTTTTGTTGCTTTTTTTATCAAGCAACATTCATCTTGAAGTCGAAAAAATTTTACGGAACTGACCATTTCTTTTCGTACCCGATGAAAATTAAGTTTCGTGATTACCTAAACTGCCTCCAAACCACTAAATCATAATGATTTTAGCTTGATCAAGCTTCTAACCATATTTTGAACATAGAATTAGTTGCAATTAAGTCAATTTAAAAAACAAATTCAATGTTTACCTTTAACAAGAATTTAAATCTTCATTAATTAATTAATGTTTCCATTTAAACATTTCATTTGTGTACTCCATGAAAGACGTGAACTTTATTAGCCAATTTTAAAAAATGAGGCAAAAAAATTAAGATCTACACCAATTTCACCAGAAAATTCTAAACTTTTAATGCTAATTTCCAATAAATAGTGTAAATTTATAAATAAAATATATATTACTTTCAATATTTATCAAAAACCATGTTTTTTGCATACAAAAAATGCTCAAAACACAAAAAAATACTTAATTTCTTTAAAACTTTGCTTCCTGAATAATTAAATTTCAGTATTGTAAGAATTGTAAAGTATTGTAAATTTATATGAGAAGTATTGTAAGTATTGTACAATTCTTACAATACTTACAATACTTATATGGCAAGTATTGTAAGTATTGTAGGTATTGTACAATACTACAATACTTGTATGGAAAGTATTGTAAGTATTGTAAGTATTGTACAATACCGTACAATACTTTGGAGTGTCTGACCCTTGTCAGAGAGTCACCAAAAAACTTACTTAAATATCCTTGAGGTGACAGCACCATACTACTTTGAACGGAATATGGCGGAGATTGATTCGAGTATGGTGGTGAGAGTGAACCCTGCTCACTTGAACTTGCTACGCTTTTGGGTCCTCCATTTTGCTGGAGGAATCTGTCAGGAAAGGGATGATTCATCCCATAAACATTTTGTGCTTGCTGTGAGTTCTAAAATTATATGAGAGTAAATTAATTATACTGACTTGGTTATCAGATTATTGAGAGACTTACTTTTATAACTTCCTCATAGCTAGGTGGCTGTTTCTTCTTATTTATATTATTATTATTATTATTGTTGTTATTGTTATTATTATTTGTATTAAGGAAGTCCATATCGAAGGCTGCCATGGCATTTGAGTAGATACTTGTAGTATCATAAGGACTATTGCTAGGAATATTACCAACGGGAGATTCAACTGAGCTCAGAAGATCCTCAATTTCTTGGAGCTGATTCTCTTGCAGAACAGCAGTTTGCTCAATATTATTATTATTTTTATTATTTGTGTTTGTACTGCTCGAACGTTCAGTCATTATCGTTCGCTCAATCACATTATTCGTTGCTTCAATATTTTGCTTCTTGCTTTGCTTCTTTACGCTAGGCTTCCGCTGTTTCACAAAATGCTCACCTCCAACGGACTCGGGACTCGTTGGATTTGCTTCAATTTTCTGACGCTTTTTCGTCTGTTTAGTTTGTTTACAAGTAGGAATTACTGTGGGTTGAGAGATCAATTGATGTGATGATGGCGAATTAATTATAGCATTCGGAATGACAGTCACTAATTGTTGTGGACTTCTTGGAACATGATCGTCTAGCAATCGAATAATGTCATGATGTAATCGCTCAGCTGCTACATCTCTTGGTAATCGGTCCATGTGATCTGTTATCTCACGATTTGCAAAATTATCTAAGAGTGCTTTACAAGCTTCGAAAGATCCTTCACGTGCCGCCAAGAATAATGGTGTCTCATCCTTATCATCTTGTGCATCACGATTAGCTCCATGTAGTAATAGAATATTTACAGCTTCAACGTTATTTACAGCAGCAGCCCAGTGTAATGCTGTCTTTCCAGAATTATCGGCTGAATTAATGTCTGAATCAGCATTTATAAGATCTTCGACCATTCCTTCAATAGCTAATCGGGCAGCCAATATCAATGGTGTAGTACCGTCATGCATTCTTGCATTCAAATTTGTTGCTCTATTTCTAAGTAATATTTGGAAAACTCCCATTGCATCTGCAGCCACAGCTGCATGCAATGGTGTACGGCCAGTATTGTCTTGACTATTTGCATCAGCTCCGGCATCTAATAATCTCTTGGCAGCATCTGCTCGTGCATATCGAGCAGCTAAGTGTAATGAAGTTTCACCAGTCTTATCCATCGTTGCATTAAGTTCAGCACCTTGTGCAACTAGTTCTGAAATAATTTGTGCAGTCGTGTCATCCGTTGCATCTATGTCTTCTCCATTATCAATGCCTCCGCCTCGAATTGAAGCTACCATTAATGGTGTCATACCACAAGGTCCTCGAACATCAATTTCATTATTACCATCATGATGATTTGGTGGTGTCATCATCGCTTGTGGAACTCGAATATCAGCTGCTTCTAAATGCTGCTGAGACCAAACTCTTGCATCAGCTTCTTCATAGTCTGTAATGATTGTATGATCACTTGAATACTCGAGATCCAATGGACGCAATCTTTTCGGTTGTGGTAATTCTGATTCATCATCAGACCACTGCTGAGAATGTCCAATTTGACGATTGATATCTCCAAATGAGTTTTTGTTCAAGTTTCTCATTTCTTGTCCATCAGGTCCTCTTCGTCTTGATGTTTGTCGACGAGTATTGTTGTTGTTGCTATTATTATTATTATTTGTGAAGAATCCTTCTGGGAACCAAGTCACTCCGTGTGAACGCTTCCTTTGTGTAGTCACAAGAACTCCGAGGAATGTCCCAAAGAAAACAACGAATAAGAATCCTGACAGAACTAATGTGGTATTTGTCGGATCAGTTGGATTTGGATCAGGCGTAGCTAGACCTTTAACTGCATAAATAGGATAGTTCAATGGAAGATTATGTTTGACTGCTGTAGCTGCTAGATATTGTGCTGCATCAGATGCAGTCGAGAAACATTCAGAACCAGCCACTCCAGCGCATTTACGATTATCAATTTCTAAGTATACTTGAACTCCATTTCTTGATACTCTTTCAGTAATATGAATTCGATGTTTACGAGTAAAGTCTGAATCTTCTAAGCCTGGTACACTGCTCTTTCCTTTCCATGGGAATATCATGTCATTTCCATATCCATCTTTCTTAATTCGTACAGTTGTTCTCAATTGATGTCCCATATCTCTCAAGAATGGAATGACATTTCGCTTAAATTCTTGTATTTCCATTAAAAGTATGATGGAAATAACTCCATCTGCCAATTTTGGAGGTTCTTTTTCTTCACAATCGAGACCATCCCAGTCACATTCAGCGTTGTTACAACCATAATCACAAAAACCATTAGCGTAATGTTTTCTACAATAGGAATCAAATGCGGGATTGCAAGGCTGTAATTTTCTTTCACAATCGCGGCCATCAAAAAGACACTCTTGTGTATTACATTCTTCATTACAAACACCATCAGCGAAAACTTTCCAACAGTCAATCGGTGCTGTACAATTTTTCCATGGACTCTCACCTAATGAACAGTCATTTCCATCAAAGTCACAAGCTAGTGTATTACATTCTTCATCGCATTTTCCATTTCCTTGTTTTGATGGACAGCCACGCTTTACACATTCATCTTGTGGATAACTTACATCATTCGTATAAGAGATTTTGTTGAAATTTCTATCGAAAATTTCACATGTTTTGCCACGATATCTATTTGGGCATATACACTCAAAGTCTCCCATCTTGTTGACACATCGAGCATTTTGTTTGCATGGACTTGATAAGCATTCGTCAATTGTATCAACTTCACAATGTTTTCCATCGGTTCCATATGGACATTCACATCGATATCCACCATTATCCAATATCAAGCATTCTCCAGCATTACAAGGATTTGAATCACAATCATGTCCACTAAATTCACAATTTTTGCCATAAAATCCTTCAGCACAAGAACAATGATGTCCTGTTGATAATGGAGTACAAAAACCACCGTTTAAACATGGTGAGTTTAGGCAGAAGTTGACTTTAGTTTCACAGTGTCTTCCCATAAATCCAGGCTTACAATTACAATGGAAATCATTAACCATTTGAACACAATCAAGAGTTCCAGCATTGGAGCAAGGATTTGAAAGGCATTCATTGATATCTCCTTCACATCTGCTTCCTACAAATCCAGGTGGACAGCGACATTCAAAGCCTCCGACTTTATCAATACATGATCCATTGTTATGGCAAGCTCCAGGTTCACAATCATCTTGATTTACTTCACAAATTAATCCAACCGTACCCGGAGGACACGAACAGCTGAATGTCCCTAATCCATCATGACATGTACCACCGTTTTGACATGGATTTGGTTTACAATCATCAATATTAAGTTCACAATTTTGACCTTGAAAGCCTTTACGGCAAATACATTTATAGCCACCAACCAGATCTCGGCAGATGCCTCCATTTTGACATGGAAGTGAGGCGCATTCATCGATATCAGTTTGACAATATGAACCAGAATATCCTTGATGACAGTGGCATCTATGTGAATTTCCAATATCCTCACATGTTCCATTATTACACAATTTATTAAACTGAACACTTTTTCTTAATGATGCATCCTTGCATGACACCATTTCTACATCACACATTTTTCCAGTCCATCCAGGCGAGCAGTCACAATGAAAAACGTTCTTTTGTTGTACACAAGTTGCGCCATTCTCACATGGATTTTGTGAGCACCAATCGATAAAGTTTTGGCATTGCTTTCCTTGATATCCATAAGCACAATGACATTCATAATCGTTGTTCTGTTCAAAGCATGTTGCTCCATTCTTGCATGGACTCGAGTCGCATTTATTGATTTTGTATTGACAGTTTGATCCAGTAAATCCTGGCTTACATGAGCAGTTATAGCTGTTTATTCCATCAACACAAGTACCACCGTTTAAGCATGACGTCGTTGAACAATCTTCATCATTTGTCTGACATGCCATACCCGAAAAGCCCAAAGGACATGTACAAGTGTAAGAATTGACGTACTGCTTGCATGTTGCTCCATTTTGACATGGCTGAGACAAGCATTCATCGACATCTTCTTCGCAGTGCTTTCCTTCGAAGCCATCAATGCACATGCATGTATAATCTCCAATACCATCGAGACAAGTTCCACCATTTTGACAAGGATAAGATGCACAATCGTCTGTATTTATTGTACAATCCTTTCCTTCATAGCCTTTAGCACAAAGACATTGATATGACCCGTTAATGTTTCTACAAGTTGCTCCATTTCTGCATGGTGAGACTGATTGTTCACATTCATTGATATCTTCATCACACAAACGTCCAGTATATCCAATTGGGCATGTACAGTAAAAATCTTGATAATTTGTACTTGGTGTACATTTTGCGCCATTTTTACATCGATTTGGAGCACATGGATCCATTTGTGTTTCACAATTTCTACCAGTATATGGAATTCTGCAGACACAATTGTAGCTATTGACATGATCTATGCATGATCCACCGTTTTTACATGGATTATTGATACAATCATCAATATTTGTTTCACAATTCTTTCCAGTATATCCAGGCATACAAGTGCATGAGTAAGCATTTAATAAGTCGGTACATAATCCACCATGTTGGCATGGGTTAGAACTGCACTCGTCGATATTTGTTTCGCAACGCTTACCACCATAACCAGGCAGACAATGGCATATAAATTGATTGACACCATCTTCACATCGACCACCATTGACGCACGGATTTACAGCACATTCATCAACATCACTTAAGCATCGTGCGTCATAATAACCTCTCGGGCACTCGCACTTGAATCCATTAATAAGATCAATACAAACACCGCCATTAGCGCATGGATCTGACGCACATTCATTTATATTAACTTCACAGTGTATGCCAGTATATCCAGGAACGCATTGACAAGTGTATTTGTTAATTCCATCAATACATGTTGCACCATTTCGACATGGATTACTATGGCATTCATTTACGTTAATTTCACAGTTTGGACCTGATGTGCCTGGCAAACAACTACATCTGTATCCACCAATGAGATCATCACATTTTCCACCATGTTGACAAGGATCTGATTCGCATTCATTAATTTGAGTTTGACAAAGTGCACCAGTATAGCCCGGATTGCATTGGCATGTAAAGGAATTATCACCGTCAATACAGATACCACGATGACATGGATTTGACAGGCAGTCATTAATATTGATCTCACACGACGGACCTACATTAAAAGAGAAATTATTTAATTAAATTATGAAATCTTTAAATTTTGTGTTTATTCAACATACCCATATAACCAGGCGAACATTCACAAGAATAACCTGCAATGGCATCATGACAAGTTCCACCATTTCTACAAGGTGATGATTCACAGTCATCGATATTCGTTTGACATCGCGATCCCGAAAATCCAATAGCACACGAACATTTAAACGAATTTATATAATCATGGCAAGTTCCACCGTTAAGGCATGGCATGCTAGCGCATTCATCAATATCAATTTCGCATTGAGTTCCAGTGAATCCTAATATTAATTAAAATTAATTATTTTAAGGAATCATAAGATCATAAGAAAGAATATTTTATCTTACCTGGCATACAAACGCATCTAAATGTCCCAGGATCGTCCAAACAGCTACCTTCATTCTGACATGGATGTGACTCACATTCATTGATGTTTGTTTCGCATCGCGGACCAGTAAATCCTTGTGTGCAGTTACAACGAAATGATCCTGGTGTATTAACGCAAATTCCATTATGTTCGCACGGCGATCCAATATCACATTCATTAATATCCTCTGAACAGTTAACACCTGTGAATCCTTGAGCGCATGAACATGTAAAGGAACCATCGATCGGACTCGTTTCACATATGGCATCCTTATGACAAGGATTTGATGTGCAAGCATCATCCAAATGACATAATAATCCAGTCTTTCCTGGTGTGCATCGGCACGCAAAATTTCCAACTCCGTCAATGCATGTTGCACCATTAAAGCAAGCAGCATCAACACAATCGTCAATATTTTCACTGCAATCATCTCCCGTCCAACCATTAACACAAATACATGCATAACTACCATGAGAATTAGTACACGTTGCACCATTTTGACAAACGGGCCTGTGAAGATGTAAAAAAAAGCAAGTACGAAGGAAGGAAAGAAGAGAAGCAAAATAAAAAAGAAGTAAGTAAGAAGAATGACGAAAAGGAGAATAAAAGAAAAGAAATAAAAACTATTATGAAAAGAATTCTTTTCTACAAACACAATAATTGCAATTTTTACCTTGTGCATTCGTCAACATCAATTTCACAATAGCTTCCCGTGAAATTGGGTGGACATCGGCATCTGTAGGTGTTTACACCATCAATGCAAGTTCCTCCGTTTTGGCATAAATGACCGGGACAATCGTCAACATTCTCTTCGCAGTCTTTTCCAGTGAATCCTTAAGTAACGAAGGACGTAAAAAAATTTAAATTAAAAAAGTCGTTTAAAATTTTTCATTTCGCAAAAATTAAGAGTTGATGAAAATTTATGAAGATCGTTACACATAAATGCAGTTGATGATGATTTATCTAGTCACCATAATTGTTCACACATACATGCGCATGAAACGCAGCATTATATTTACATGCAAACATTTATATGTATGCGTATAAAGCATAAGAAAAACGAATGTAAATGTTATTACAACTACACTGTAAAACTTTCTTTTCTCAATCGTTCCCACGGTTCTACAATTGTGAATGCTTCACTGTGTATATTACATAGCTAGACTTCTCTAAAAGGAAATTTCAAGTGTTATGAGTTTTTATTATTTTTTACAGCAGCAATGTTAATATGCGTTCAGATCATGACTAATAATTCAAAATTTGTCTTGATAAAAAAAAATTTTTATATTTTTCCTCCTTTTTCCACTTGTACGCTATAGGTTGTTAGCTATATCAGAAAAATACCTAATAATTTATTATTATCAACACACTATTTAAATTTAATTTTAATTATGAATATTTTATAGCGTGTCTAGTTGATTTCATGATTTCTTTCCACATTTCGATAGTACAAATTGGCTCATTGATTTGTAAGTCGCTTAATCAAGCCTTATGTGCACGACACAAGAGTAGTTTAAGTTAATTTTATATTTCACAATGTACACATAAACTTATATTTTTTCCGTTAGAGTATATGTACCAAAAGGGAACAAATAGTCGACGATAACTTATGAAACTCGTACGAAAGGCATTGCTTATGCGATCAATTATGTTCTTTAAACGATTTTTTAATTGACAGTTACTAAATCATTGTTTAATTGATTTACTTTTGATCAAGTTTGATGATTTTTGACTTTTAAATTGTTAACGGATTTTTCAGATTTGAAAATTAATGAAAAATTTGATAAAATTTTTTCTCACTTCAAAAAGTTTTTATTAATTTTTTCCTGCTTAATCTTTCTTTTTCTTTATATCATGTGGTTATAAACGATCTTCACGATAGCAAAATTCAGTTATGAACAGCCCGATTATTCTCGAAGCGTTAAAAGCTCGACAAAGTGTATAAATGTTTACATCTCTTTATTAAAAAACACGTGTTAAAAAGAATAAGAGTAGAGAAACTTTTTTTAATGCTCAACACTTACCCGGTGGACATTTGCATTCATAATATGTTCCGAATGGTCTGCATGTACCTCCGTTTTGACAAGGTGATGGAAAACAAGGGATATATGGAGATTCACAATTTCTTCCAGTATATTTTGGCTCACATATGCATCTGAAATGGAATAAAACAGAATTGAATAAATGCTTGTGCTTAGGGAATATAAAAAATCCGTGGTCACTAATCAAATAAATTTAAAAAAAATATTCAATATCAGAATTTATATTTTTATGATAAATTTGCGATCATATTTCAAGGGGGAGTGTTTCCTATATTTCCATAATTTTCTCATTTGTTTCGTTGTTTATTGCAGTTTGTTAGTGTCAGTTAAGTCGTTCATTCAGTAGATCAGAAGAGTTAATAAAATAAAATATGAAGAAATTATTATTCATAACAATTTTCATAATTTCATTCATAAAGTTCTCAGGTAAGCTCATTTAATTGAATTTTTTTCCATTTCCATATCATACTTTAAATTGAAATTTCATACATAAAAATATAAAATAAATGTATGACTTGTAAAAAAAATAGTCTCAATCGACTGTAATGTGAACGAGGAATCAAATATGGAAAGAAAAATTAAACACAAGCTTTTCTGCAATGGCTACGATAGCACTATAAGACCTGTTCAAGACCATAAAACAACTACATCTGTCAAAGTTAAAATGATGATAAAAAGTTATGATTATGTAAGTGAATTGACTTCAACTCTTTACTTTATGAATTATTAAGAATGTTTCACATTTTACAATTAATTCTACAGAGCGATCATCATTCAACTTTAACAATCAACACATGGATGGTTAATGTAGGTTTTTTTTTCCATAAAAATTTTTATGTTAAAAGATTCTATTTTAAGCATAAGATATTTTTTACTGCCTCTTTCATAACTATATATGTAGAGATGGAAGGACGAATTTCTAAAATGGGATCCGAGGGACTATGGAAAAATTAAATCATTCGACATAAGCTCAAGCATGATCTGGAAACCAGATTTTTCCCTTTATAATGCGTAAGTTCTTCTTTATCTTCCATCCAAAAATGGCATGAATTGTCTGTAAAAGTTATTCGCAATGCTTCTGTCTTCTTGCAAACAATCTGATCATTCAATGGTAAATTTTAATTCAGAGAAAAATAAATTTAAAATTCAAACGAGTTTTTCAATTTAAATTTTTTTTATGAATTGAATTAAAATTTTGCTTTTAAACGATAAATATTTTAATTGCAAGTTTTGTTCTTTTAAAAGATAAGTTCGAAATACAAAAAAAAACTAGTTTGCATGAATTGATTTGCACAGCAAAGTGCCACAGTTCACACCAATGCAATCATACCAACACCCAATTTTATACGCTAATAAAAATCATAAAATTTTCCTTTCAAAAGCGACATTTCCTATGGAATTGGATCATGCCATGAAACAAGTTGTCTAATAGAGAATGATGGTAATGTATCGTGTATTGAGCCATGTTCATTTGTCGGACACTGCAGATCAGATTACACTCAATGGCCTTTCGATAGACAAAACTGTTCCATGATCTTTGGACCTTGGATGAATAGTCAAAATGAAGTTGACTTTATTGAAGATGACGCAGTGATTTCAAAAGTGGGAGCACAAGAGCACACACAATGGAAATTGATATCAGCAAAAGTAGTAAAGAGAGTTGTTGCATTGAGTTCGAAAGATAAGAAATATTCGGCCAAATTTCCAAATCTTTCGTACTCGTTCGTTATTGAAAGGCATTCGGGAATGATTTTTAAAATTTTAAAAGGTACGGACTACTTGTTACTTGTTTTATGGATACTTAAATAGCCATTTTAATTAATTTAATTATTTACAACACATAACAGTCTCTGCAATAACATTCATTTTATTGAATATGACTACATTGTTCATAAAGAATCGACTGAATGAAAGGCTGTCATTGCTGATAATTAACATGCTTCTGCATTTCCAAATGATACATCGAATGTCGTGGATGACTCCACATAATGGCGAACAAACACCGAAAGTTTGTAAGTCCCGATTGATTTTAGCACATTTGCAGACAAGATAAATATTAAATTAATGACTATTTGTCTGTTTCGTTTCCTTAAAGTGATATTTTTCAGAAATTCTTTAGTCATAACAACGGTCTTAGTGATTGAAACATTAATTGTTTATTCACTGCACGCATGTGAGGTCCAACCAGCAGACAAAATGAAGAATATGATTAATCATTTAAAAAGAAATCAATTGATAAGTCTCATCATGCAAAATAAATCAAATGAACATGGTGATGGAATGGCACTCGTCGAGGAAGAAGAAGAAGTAGTGAAAGCCACTTCGAATAATGAGATATGGAACTTTTTGGCGAGCTTCATTGACAAATTGATCGCAATAATAATTTTCATTATTTATGTTGTCATGAGCTTCACTCATGTACCACTTGGGTACATTTTAGCGAGCAGTATTATAAAGCAAGTTGATTAATTGAAGTTTAAATACATCATATTATGATACTCACTTGTACGAGCCAAAGCTTTCTATACAAGTTCCACTGTTCTTGCATGGATTATTAAGGCATTCTTTAACATCTTCTGTACAATTTGGCCCTTTAAAGCCTGGAGGACATGTGCATTTATATTTATTATTAAGCGTCATCGAACATCTTCCTCCATTCTTGCAAGGTGATGATGCACATAGATTAGATTTTTCACAATTTCGACCTATATTAAATTTATCAATAATTATTGTAAGAACTCAAACAAATTATATTAAGCAATAAACAAACCTGAGAATCCCTCTTGACATCTACAATCGTATTCGTCTATCGATCTCAAAACGCAATCACCACCATTTTTACATGGCGATGAACTGCATGCAGTATCTTCGCTAATTTCACATAAGCTTGCTGAAAATCCCATTGGACATTTACACTCGAACGTTGCTTGCTCGTCTTTCACTTGAAATACACAAGTTCCACCGTTCTGACATCGTGGAGCAGTCAAACAAGGATTTGTATATTGACAAAAATCACCAACATATCGAGATGTACAACTATGGGAAAGGAAGTGATAAGATTTCATTCAATTACTCGACTTCCTTATTTTTATTTTTTTATTTAAACGAAACACTTTGCATGTGTGTAATAATATACTTACTTGCAATAAGACTCATTTTTTGATTTTGCTATACACACTCCGTTATTTTTACATGGCGATGGATTACAACTAAGAAATGCTGTGAAAAGAAAAGAGAAGAGAAAAAAATTATTAAAAATTTACTTCATTTGATCGATTTTTATCATGTTTATGAAAGGTAGATGAAAGAATCTCGAAAGGTAGTCGTTATAATGCGTTGATTTATGGATCTTTCTTAATTAAAATTCATTTCAGACTTTGATTTTCTGTTTGATTTGATGAATCATCAGGTTTTTGTTAAGATTTTAATGAATTTTGAGTGGCTTAGCACAGCTTTAGTACTAGAATTTTGATAACTTAATTTTGAGAGTTTTTTGTCTTTGACTACATCCTTGCAAGCTCGAAAATTATAAAATTACAATTATTATATCAAAATTGTCTTTGCAGACATTTGTAATTTTGTCAAATCTCATAAAGAAGATCTCAGCAAAGATTCGAGAACTCAAGAAATTCTTCCAACGAAGCACTTCCAGCTGTGAGCTTTATCGAGCTATACACCCAAAATTTTAACGATCAAAACCAGTTAGAATGTCATAAACTTTCATAAAAAGATTAAATATTCAATATATTAAGCTTTCTATCTTGAATCGACAATCGAATATATTTTGCCATAAAATTATGAAAGATTTCTGTTAAGCACACACAGGCACACATCTTAAGATTCTTAAACGTAAGAAGAAACCTCGGGCGAAAGACATCATTGAAAAGATTTTAATGAACTCTAAGAACGCTGTCGAAAACAAATTAGGTTTCAATATGAACCATTAATTTGTTTTTCTTTGAATTGCTTCTCTTTGATTCCTCCATTGTTCTTCTCAATATTTCATATAAAAAAAATATAGAAATAAATAAACAATTCTAATGAATCATGAATAGCAACTTTCATATAGCTTGTTGCCACAAGCAAGCAAGCAAGCCAACAAGCCACAAGAATTCATAATTTTATAGATTTTATTTTGCGAGAAAAATATGAAATAATCTATTGGACATTTGGAAGAAATGAGCAGTCATTTAATAAAAATGTTAAATTTTAAGCCTTCGAAGATATTTTATTGGGACTCAAAAGTTAAATTGCAGAAAAATAAAAATCGAATATATTAAAGATTTACAAGTATATCTCGTACTAGAATGAATCTCCGTCTATCCTGAGTTAAATAGAAAGTGACATAAATGCTGATCAACGATCAGCAACAATCTTGTCATGTATTCAAATGAGATGTGACAGACAAGTGAGGAAATTTATACAAACAATGTCGATACACAGCGGACGATCGAAGAGAAACAAAATTTTTGGAAATAAAAAAGCAGCGGGGGAGCAACAACCCTAAAAGCCATTCGCGACAGGAAAGCTTAGGAGATAAATTAATTATTAATAAAAATTGATACAAGGCGCTAAAAACCGGAATATTTTTTCGATGTATAACTCGTTTAAAGAGAACACCAGCTCGACAGAACACAAAATTCTGTGTGGAATTATTAATGCCCAAAATAAAATATAATAAAAAATTCATATTTTTCGTCTCTATGATTTGTGATGTCTTAAATCAAGTCTTTTTATTTTCATTTTCTTCTTTTCATTCCGAAATTAGCTAATGATTGTTAACAATTCCACGTATAGTTAGATCCACACGCCTATCTCAGTAATTAATGCAAACATAGCTCTCCTCTTAATAATAATCGTATATGTATATCATATATTTATACATTTACATCTCTATACATATTTTTGCCTCTCTTTTCTTCAGTTCTTTCTTTTATTTATGAAAAAAAAATCAAACATGATGAAAAAATAAAATAAAACCAAACCAAAAAAAAAATCATTCTTTGATACACAGCATAAAGGCCATAAAAATCTTTATAATGAAAACCAATACTTTGGGGCACATTGAATATAGATATACGGATTTGTAGTATTGGTATATGATATTGTTCCTATGGATTTTAAAGCTCCTCTTACAAACATAAACGTCGTCGACGACGACGATGATTGTAAAGTAAGAAGAGAAGTGAAAGAGAAATAAAAGAATTGTAAAAGTTTCCGTAAACAAAATCTGACTTGAGCGCATTTTTTCTGTGTTGTTGAAGAAAACAATGAATCATTAAGGATTCATTTGACTGTTTTAGAGATTAGATAAATCTTTGTCTCTTATTCATGACAGATTTAAAAAGATTTATACGAAAATATTTTATGCAATGTTTTTAGCAAGACTTTATTAGAAATTGTTTTGTTTTTCTGAAAGTCAGTACTTTATAAACATTTTTTTCAGCTTATCCCTCGATTGTTTCATTCAGTTTCATTAATTAAGTCTGACGCGCGCCTGATTAAGTTATTTATAAAGATTTGCTTTTTAAAATCTCAGATAAACTGACTTTTGAAAATTGAGAGGAGTTTGCAACTGAGATTGTGAGATTTGGACTGTCTAATTAGACTGGACAATTCATTTGCTACCTTAAAATGTACCTCACAAACATAACACTCAAAAAATCAAGTGAAAGTAACAAAAAATGGAATCCCTAGTTTGCCGAATATATTCACGATGAATACAGCAACATGAAAATGAGCTATAAAGTCTATTATAGACAAGGCAAATGGACAAAATACATGTAAAAGGCCTCCTTTTATTGAGGAAAGTACTCACTACAAAACAAAATATTATTAAACGAATGAAAATAAGAAAGATAAGAACTGAAAGAAATTTCATTCATGTATGTGTGAAATACATAGAAAGATTCAAATAATAATAATAATAAATTGGCGGTTCTCACAGTTTCTTTTCTTTTCAGATTTTGTCAGCAGCAGCCAAATTGAAATGAAATGAAGGAAGAAAAAAAAGTTGTGAAGCTCACACTATATGTATGTAGCATGACTATTGAACATGATTTTTTTTTTGAATGTTTGCGTTGCTTTTACGGTTTTTTTTTACTATTTGTCAAATTGAGATATAAAGAGAAATGAAAAATAATCTAATTAATTAGATGTCCCAAAAAAAAGTCTTTTCTTTTTGCCTCACAATTATCTTCTTTTATGTCGCAAATATTTTGATTGTATTTTCCCATCATGTTCACTCACAAATATTTTACTAATTGCGATTAAATTTTTCTCTCATCTCGTCTGTTGTGGTTCGACGATAAACTTTTAGTATCGCTTACAATTGGAGTAAAAACATTTTCTTATCTTCATATTGATCACATTTTTATGTGAACTTCCTCTAATAAAAATTTTATTATTTTCTCGACTTTTTTTTTGCTTAATTTCTTGTGTTGTTGTTGAGTGATCTTTTCTGATGTTTGATTGATTTCTTTTATGTTCGCTCTTGGAATGGAATTATTGAAATGAGACAGTCTATTGGACATTCGAAATTGGGTACAGACGAGAGCGATCAATAGCTTTTTTAGCTGTGTCATTTAAAATTATCGACTAATGATTGACTTGATTTTGGGATCGATTTATATAAATTTTTTCGAATTAATTGGGCAAATTTTTATTGATCGTTAGGGAGTTGCACATGTGGATACACTTAGTTTTATGTGAGGTAATTTTGAAAGTTGAATTAATTTTGAACAGATAAAATCAAAGTTCAAATTCTTGAATTTAAAATTCACATAATTTTCTAAAGGAACTAAGCATCTCCCACAAACCTACAAAAAAAAAATTACCGGAAATATCCCGCGAATGTTCACACATCTGGATAGAAAAATTCTTATTCCTTTGAAAAAATTACTACGCAATCAGAAATCATAAATACAACCACTTAACTATCGCATGTCTAAAAATTTATCGCGCAAGACATTTTATAAGACATTCAAAATTAGTCAAAAATGATCACCAAAATATTGAAAACTCATTAAATCGCACAAATATGAAGTTTTTTATTTATTTAATTAATACTTTACATTAATTTCCATTAATTATAGATCCATAAAATAATATCATTATATTTTTAAAATAAATATTGTTAATAGTTGACACCATTCATAAGATTTGTAAATTAACATAAACCAACAAGCTAAAGTGCCTGAATTTTTTTAAAAATATAATTTCCGATAATTTAGTGTGAATTGATAATAATGAAGTGAAAATTAATGTTTCAGTCGCCGTTCGGCTCATATTTGTTTTAAGAACTTATCGCATGTAGGAAGAAGAAGAAGTAAGGAAGGAAAATGATTTTGTTTTCACGCTATGGTAATTATAAAAGTATATTTTTCTAATCTCACTGGAAGTTCAAATTTACCGCATTCGTGTGGAAATTAGTTTCTAATTTCTAGTTCTTTACGATGCTTTAATTTAAATGCTTCCTTGGATATTTTTTATGCTGCGCGTATAAATCTCTATGGCTTCGCATAACATGCTGCAAGAAATCTCACGGAAAGTGAAAATAGCATGAACATTTTTTTGAGAATCAGATGGGTGGAACAAATGTTTGATTGGAGGAGATGATGAGATTTTTTGGAACTCATTAGAAGTAAATTATACTTTTGGTATGTAAATTGTTGAATAAGACACACAAGAATCTCAAACAATATTCAATTCTTATCGATTTTTAAGCAGCACAATCAATAAAATTTGAATATTAATACGCAGCCTAATGCAGCCACGTAACATAATAGTTTAATGTCCATTCAATTGATACCTCAATGAACAAATTACAAACCAATTCATTAGGCGACATTTACCCTTGACTTCCTATTACAGATAAGATCAGTCATATATGCATAATATCCCATGAGAACCAAATAATCAACAAAATTCCTCAAAACAAAAATTTCTAAGCGATAAGATCTGAGCCAACCACAGCATCTGGTCGAATATTTTCAATATTTAAGTGCACAAAGAACTTCCTATAAATGCTCAGCATTACGTTTTTAAAGTATCAAATTAATGGTCATATATGCTGGATATAAGGTCATTTCACTCTACGTGTCATTAATTAAAGAAGTAAAATGTCACAGATCTAGTTTGAATAACGGAAAAACTTGAAACCAACCCAAAAGATTATGAAAGGAAGTTGGTGGAATTAAGTTACAAATTTATATAAATGATTTTTTTCTTGGATGAACAATAAATTTGCACAACACTTTTTATAATGCCAGTTGCACTTCAAGTCTTCGTGATCCTTGAACAATGCTGACAGCTGATACCATAAAGATATAATCAATCCCATTGAAATTGACTTTTACTGCTTAATATTCCCCAAACATGATGACTCATCCTGATGAATTACTGTTTTTTGTGAAATTCTCAGGGGAAATTCTCATGTACAGCTGTTGCTTCTTATCAGAACGGATAAGGAAAAAAAAATTCTTCTTTACTATTGACATTCAGACCGCAAAATTGGTTGAAAGATTGTGCATGTACATTTTACAGCCACATGTTTGAACATGTTTACTTTAAATCTCGGGGCATAGAAAGTACATTAATATGATGGCCAATAAGTATAGTTAATTTAAAATACATGAATCAGTTTCGAGTAGTTTAAAATCAATTCACATTCGAGATGGAACAGACTTAGAAATTGGATTTTATTGTCTAAATCCATAGAATTATTGTATGAACATCTAATTAGTACGGACGGCTATTTAGAGCCATATTCTTTAATTTTAATGATATAAAGCATCATCCATATGATATTCGAGATTGAGAGCCATAAAAATCATATTCTATCCCATAAATGAAGCATCTCCACCTAGCTATTATTATCTAATTGTCTTTCATAAATAAATGGTTTCATTTTGTTTCTTTCTTTAGTTATAGCTGAAATAGTAAAGGAAAAGGAACCTATTGTTTGTGTGTCCGAGGGTCCATCAAGATGTCATACTTGTAAAGGGGTAAATATAAAAAATAAAGGATTTTTCATCAAAAAGGATTTCAGATGGATTGTTACTATTCAAAAGTCTTATGTCTACACTTCTCGAATAAAGGAATGCGCTGTCGTCGGCCACAGGCGACTACTTCTTTATGCTTGATTTATTATTGAAGAACTTGATGTATGAAACAAATCATGCTGTACGTTATACTAATATTTATTACAATAGGAGCGATAAACTTCTTTTCATCATCAAATTCCATGAATCATGAAGCAAGAGAAGGAAAATGAAGAAAAGAATAGAATTTGATACTTTTTCATCATAACAAAATGTATCATTAAGTTCTTTCTTTTGCAAGTTCAATTTCTGTTCCATATGAAATTTTTCAGCTATTCTTCATTATTTTTTTTTTTTTGAATATAATAAATTTCTCTATGTAGATGACCTAAAATCAAAAGGACTTCATCATCATAATAAATTTTTTCAGCATGACTATGTTTCTTTTTTGATGCCATGGAATAAGAAAAAATGTGCTTAGAATTATTACCTAGAAATTGTTGGCGATAATAATCGTCTTGTCTACAAAAGACGAATATGAATACAAATGAAGCAAAACTGTGAAATGAAGCATCAAAATGCTTGAAGTGGTTTTTATGATTCTTTCTTTGCGTTTTGAAACTCTTTTCGTTTCGTTTTGAAATATAAAGTCAGATTTACTCGGTAAGGTGCGCTAATATTATGAATACTCTTGAAGATTATGATGGAAATAACTTTACTTGAACCAAGATTCAACTCATACCTATGATTTCCAGATGCAAATTTTAGCGACACATGCAGTCGTAAGGAATTAATGTATGGTAAATATGAACGATTGTGGTTATGTTGAATATGAAAGCCCTTAAAGGTAGAAGTTTTAATTTGCATAGGGATTATCCGACTTATTTCCAACAAAAGTTTAATGCAAGAGTTTGTCATCTGAAATTGCAGGATCTTTTTGAGTTTTAGTTCTTGTTGAAAAAATCAAGAATTTTAATTTGCTATCATCCAGTGAGATCCAGTAAGTAAATCAACAGTCTTGACACATTAACACAACTACATTTGTTTGAATTCCTGCTTATTCACCCAAAAAAAATGCTCATTTAAAGCATTAAAGTATGGGAGTAAGTGGTTAAAGAAATGTGTCAAATATCTTCATAGTCGGCAGTGATAATTTTTGAATGGGATATTGGAAATGAGCACTAATAGAGCGCTATTTGTTGAATGAGAAATTTGAAACCTTAAAAAATCCTTTGCTATGGAAATACAAACATGAAGCATAAGAAAAAAAGAAATCTCGAAAGAACTCAACAAGAGAAGCAGACAGAAAACAAATACAGAAGCAAACATGAACAACGCCATAGAAATTCTTGAAAATTGAGGAAAAAATGCGTTAACTTTTGAATTTAAATTTTAAGTCTTAAAATTCATGCAGGTTTCTATAAATTTAATAAAAGAAAGCAAGGCAAGGCAAGGAATAATCTAACGAAAATATATGAAATTTGATCTCTGAAAACTTTAATGTTTCACAGCATGATTTTTTTTCTTACTTTAATGAACGGGAGAAAGAAATCAGATAAAATTCATACAAAAATTTCACAAATCATCAAAATTTGCACTTTAATTGGACGTTTTTAGTGAGCCATTAAAAAATTGTCAAATAAATATTTTTTTAAAAATTTATATTCAAAAGATGCCATCTTGAGAAAGATTATAGCTGCATTAAAATAAAACGGCATATGACAGCAGCTTCAACTCTTTCTTTTAGAATTAAAGTGCCAGAAAAACTTATTAATCCATGGTTCTGAGAAAAGAATATGATCTAAAAATACCGACTGCACCGCATCAAACTAGCATTAATGACAAATAATCAGTCATATGTACATAAGTGTTTATAACAATATCCAAATAGTTTCCATCCTATCTAAAATAACAAGTACACATGTTTCACATTCAAAAAAAAATAAATGTATGGACTTCAATATTTTAACGGAAATTGAACTTTTCTTTTATAATGTGTATTAAAAAATATGTATCTTGTAGCATAAAATATATGTGAACATAACATACTGCATAAAGTATAAAAATTCACCCTCATGTTTACTAATACCATACACATCCATAATAATAAAGGAGAACGATAGATATAAGCAAACATAAAGAATAGATTAAAAAATATTTTTTCAAGTTCTCTTTTGAGCAAATTCACTTTTGAGTTTTTAAAATGAAACAATTTTTTCCATTCCTTTCCTTCTTTTCGCTCTATCTCTCTCTCTTTTTTCTTCGTACTCTTCGTCTTTCCATAGAAGAAAGAAAACGATGAGGAATTCTATCTTTGAAAAATCTTTACAGAAACAAACACAATGACATATGCAGGCATGTATGGATCATGTAGGTACGATCACACACATATACACATGCGTATCCGTTTAAAAAAAATTTCAGTTTCAGAGTGTAAAGGAGGAAAAGAAAAAAGATTTTAAACTTGTAAGTGAGGATATATGCTCATATATCGTGAAAAAAGACATCTGTTAGATTTTTAGAAATTTATCGTTGTATGTGTGCCTGTACCTCATTGTATAATATAAACTAAATTTGAAATTAAAGAACTTGCACTTTAAAATGAAAAAATAAAGAAAAATTATTACTTTCTCAGCTAGTTCATAAATATAATGAATAAATAAGTTTCTACAATTTCCTATAAACAATAAATATTTGAATGGACTCCGTCTACTAAATATTTAGAAGACGAGTCGAGTGATTGAAATAATAAACAAATGGAAAAGCAATGTATCTTGTTAATGCCTGGTTATGGGAATTTCAGTATATGTATATACATTTCTATGAACTTTCTTCATTTGATACACCCATATTTGATACAATTACGGAAATTCTTAGAAGTCGCGAGCATTGCGGCTTGCAATTTAAATTGTCTTCGAGGCAAATGCAATGAACTTTTTAATTGAAATTGGATGAAACTGCTCATTTAATTGCGACTTGGTTAAATGAACTTTGATTTGCTGAATTTGGGAAATGAAATTTAATAGGATGTAATGAGCTGGATATGGCAAAGATGATTGAAATTATACAAAGTATTCTAATCGTGCTGGATTCAGTTACAATGTTTGAGTTTTGTATTGAATTGTCCCAAACATGGCAATGCGGTCTATTTGGTCTGAATATGCTGAATTGCACTTTTTGAGCTAATATATTTTAAATATGAAATAAGCGGCAAAGACATTTAAATGCACAAAAAATTTTGTTCTTAGTTCAATAAACCAAAAGTCCGCAAAATAATCCTCAATAAAATACAATAAGAATTCATGGACTGAATTAAGCAGAAATAAGCTGAATTATGCAGAAACAGCCAGCATCCGAGACAAAAATATGCCATTAAATTATCTAAACTACTTAAAAAATATCAGAAAGAAATCCTCTTAATTCTATAAAAAATTGCCTGAACTCTCGAGAATCATGCCGTTGTATTAGTGATTCCATTCTTTCTTCATTCTCTGCGCACCATTTCTTGCATATAAGATGCAAATATATTCATCGCGAGATCGAAACAAAAGAAAATTTCCTTATCAATATTCAGCGAGTGAGCGAAAAATAAAGAAGAGAAATTGAGGTTCGTCGCTTCACATTTTCCTTCAGCCACCTGCATTAAAGTTCTTTGTTTCGGGGAAAATCCGTTAGAAAATTTTCACCATATGTCTAGTTTTAGAACAATGAGTACAAATCGTTAAGCAAAATTTACATTTTTTTGTCCTGTTTTGTTCGCAATATAGAGAGTTTCATTAATCAACGACATGTATGAAGTAATTAAATTAATAAATTTGACCGTTTATCGAAAACATTTTCAAAGTATAACGTAAATAAAAAGACATTTAATCCATAAATCATGAATTTATATTTAAGACATTTTCGAGGTATAATAATAAAGCAGTGCGGAGAAAAAAAAATCTTAAAGGTAAGGCCAAAGATATGTCTTGAGGGAACGACAAGCGAATAAGAGAGCAGAGAGAAGGAATAAAAGGCAATAATAATATAAGTTTGAGTCGCTGATCCGTATTAATGGACTTACCAAAACTTGAATTTATTAATCCAAATATAATAAATATTGCTAATGAATATGATATCCAATTAAATTCCATTGAGAATCTATGCTTCGACCACATTTTAAGACATTTAATTGCAAAATTTTTATACGATAAAAAAATTGCAATGATCAATTTTAAACTTAAGAAACGTTCATCAACACTATATCAACTACATCAAATGCATGTGTCTTAATTTACACTTTTGTTTCTTTTCTATTCTTTTATGCAATTTATGTGATTATTTATTTCTTATTTATAACATAATCAAGTTAAAATAAAAATGGCACCGAACAATATAAAACCACTTTATATAGTTTACTTTTCACTTCTTCTTTTTTTCTTTTATCCATGTCGGACATTTTTAATTTTGTGATGTTTTAGAAGGAATAAGATCCAATCCTGTTTTCACTGCATTTTTATCACTCTTTTTACTTCCGATGAATAATAATGTGCTTAAGATATGATCTTTAATTTTAAAACTAATTGTTTATTTTATTTTAATAAATTTAATTAATTTATAAAACATGTAGCGTGGTTAACTCTTCAACGTTCAATTCCTAACTGACAAAGAAATCACCAACATGTTCTAAACTCAACATGTACTAAAAACTGATATTCACCACAACGTGCATTCTTTTCATCATACTTTTATTTACCATAACTGTTGATCGCTGTATACATACACAAACATTTGTATATGCGATATATGAAAGGAATAAAAATTATATTTGATTGAATAAAAAGATGAATGGGTAAGAAGAAGACATGTCGTCATGATTTAAAATTGTGTGTTTTATTCATTTAAATTTTATATTTTTGTGTAGTTTTCATTTTTTTTTAAGGATACCAAATACTTTCTTTCCATTAATAATTATTTTTAATAATTTATTCGACCTTTCGGCTAATCCTTGGTTTTATTTTCTCTGATATTTGCCACATTACATCCTCGTCGAAGCATTCTTCAAAGTTATCAAAGAATCCTATAATTCGTTCATTCCTTTTGAATGCATAAGAACTGTTGGATGAAAAGAGAATGCAAAAAAAAGAGAAACGAGAAATCGAACTTAATTTACATAATCCTTCAAAGAATTTTTTATATCCATTCAACTTACCTATTGCGGAATCGTTTCATATTCATAACGATGTTATATTGTTGCCAACGTTTGGAGAAATTTATCGAACCGTCCTGTAAGCAATCTGGATTTCCGATATGAACAAATGTCAAATCTTGCAGCACCAATCCAATATAAGGTATGCATGGGGACGTCGTTTCACTCAATGCCTGTCGGTATGCTCGAAAACTCGAACTTGAATCAATGAGAGCACAATATTCTTTCAATCCTTCTGTAATGTTCTTCTGCCACTCTAATCTTCTTATTGGGGCTGAGTCTGCAAATTAAATTAAGCAATTAAAATCGAAGTCAAATTGGAAATGGTAATTGACACTACCTAATGCTGACAGTATAGCTAAATATGAATTATAATTATTAATTTTTCTTAAATGCTTCATAATTTTAATGAATTTCATGACATATTTCTCCCGTTCCTTTGCATCCTGTTGCTTCAATATCTGAGTTCTTGCCCTAAAAGTCCATTCATTTTCATCAAAGCCATTCAATTAACATTCAATGTGTACAATATTGCTTACCAAAAAGACAATTTATTAAAATGTGCAGTAAATAGAGTTAAATTTGGCGATTTTTCTTCGCATTGTTGTTGTGACCATAAAAGTACCTCGGGAATTTCTATTTTCTGAAACAACTCTGCATCGAGTATCGTCATTTGTTCAGCTACAAATGAGAATTGTTAAAATTACATGAACTTTTTTTTAATGAATAGTCAATAATAATATTACCAAGCTCAGTTGATTTCAAGTGAAGGAGCGTAGGTTGATTGCTAATTATTGGTAGAGACGATAAATAACTTTGTGTAGTAGAACGCTTTTGTTTAAGCATCGTGGCTTTCTCGATTATTTTAGCTCTTAACAATTTCGCCATGAGAATTTCACCAGATATAATAAGATCATGGACAAAAGTTATAAGTTTTTGCATTAGTATTACAGTTAGGTCAGGTATGCTGTAGGATGATATGGATATATTACATTTATTATTCGATTAAAATAATTGTATTATCTTACGTCAAGTCATTGACTACACGAACTAATAGAGAGAACGATTCCTTTGCTGCTTTCTGCTTTTGATCATGGTTATGGCAAATAAAAAATGAATAGCGATGAGTTAATTTTTCGACTAGATGATACGGTTCAATAAAGGTACGAAATGTGCACAAAAATGCTTCACCAAATGCTGTAAAAATATTAAAATTAGGGTATGTCAGTTTATGGCAATAAATAATTTATGACATACCTTCCGATACTTTTTGGACTTTTGTTGCATGGACAATGAGAGCATCTGCATGCCCACCTTTTATATCTGGACCATCTTCTTCCTCTTTTTTGAAGATAAGATGATCGCCTACTTCTACTTCTTCTATCAAATCAGGGGTTGTCTAAAAAGTCATAAAAAAATGGTCAGCATAAGCAATGTTGTAAAACTTAATGGAATTCCCGTTTTATGACTAATATGATAAGCATGCAGTACAAAACTTTACCTTTGATTTCCTTCGTAAAACGACTTCTTCTTTTTCTTGGTGTTTAAGTTCATTGCTAATATTGTTGATGCAAGGCTTTTGCAATTCGTTGTTTAATTCTACTTCTTCCGAATTCGTCGTTTCAATTTCTGGCACGAATTCTTCAATTTTAGGACTTAAAGGGGGAGTTGAGGGAGTTCTTGAGTTTAACCGTACTTTCTTTGGTGGGAGTGCTGGTTTTAATTCTTCTGATTCACTTGATACAGGAGGTAATCTGTCAATTTACATTATTAACTTATGATTGAAGCGTTCCTGTGCAAGATATACTTACAAAGAATTAGATTCTTCAAAGAATACTCTTTCTTGACTATTAAAGTTAGATGACTGAGCGAAAGTGTGCATTGAATGCCTCGTAATCAAAAGATTTTGGCTTGACGTGTGACTACTATGAGATGCGTTGCCAAAAATTTCCATATATGCCATGACTGTAAATTGATTAATTGATTGGTTTAAATTGATTTTAATTTCTTAAGCCTCGATGGCTATACTAATGTTCAGCATAAAATCATAAATGGCAAAAATAAAATGCAAATGTGCAACATGTGTCCTGTTTGTGTCTTTTTTCAGCTAGATCCTAATTGTATAATTAGTTTTAAAAACCAAATTCTCACAAAACTCAGAATTAATGTTCAAAAAAAGGCACTAAAAAGAAATTTTAGTAAAACTATCTTTCGTATTATAAAATAAATTTTTGTCTCTATGTAAAGCTAACACCATCGCAAATATTTCTTAATTCATCTCACCTGAATATGCAACACTTTGAAACACTAGCGTTAGCGGATAGTTTTAAATTAAGAAATTTTCAAAATTGAATACATTTTTCTCAATAAAAATTTTCTAAGTGAATAATTTACAAATTTACAGGAAATAAAATGGATATGAACAGCTTTATACTTACTATGTTTATTTTTCTTTGGCGGCAAAGGTGGTTTTTCATCAGAATTATTACCCATTAATAAGTTTCTTGGTTCAATACAGCTAATATACTTAATTTTGTTATTAAATGGATATAATTGCTCAAAGTCAAAGTTATTATTTTCATTAGACGACGTTACATTCAAAGCACTTGAATTTAAAGAAGATGATGCTAAAGATGAATTTGATGAAGATACTGTGGTTGTGACTATTGATTGATTACTTTCTGTACAATCTACATTATCATATACTGATTTATGATGATCCGAGCGTCTGGTTTTCATCTACAAAAAATCATGTTTATTCAGAAAAAAATTTGACTTATGGTCGTTCACTTATGACTTCCAGAGGAGGAGGGGGGGGGGGGGGGGGGGGGGGGTCAGCAAGAAAAGAAAATTAGAAATTCTTGGAAATCCATTGTTCTTTTCTGAAAAATGACGGTTAATTTCGGACGTCATAAGTGAACGACACCGTAGCAAATAAATTAAACTTACCGGTAAAGGAGGTGGAAGTTCACTACTAATATTAAATTTAGTTGTACTCATAAGTGAGTTACTCGACGAGTATGATTCACGTTCTTCCCGAAAACTATGCTCACTGTTTAAATCATTATCTAAATGCTCAGTTGAATTAATAATTATTTGACGTTGATGCTGCTTTATCATATTACTTTGTGAATTAATTGACATAGAACCAGAGTCACTTGACGTCCGATATGATGACTTGATTGTTGATTCTTCATTGTATTTGGTCTCGAGAGCACAACTCTCAAGTAGCATGGAACATAAGCTACTTGTACTTGAATTCTTATCAGGCGATTTATCGTTGGGCTTCAAGAAATTATCATTATCAGGGTTCAAAAATGAATTATCGACTGAATCTTTTGTTGTTACAGTTGTTAATGTTGTTAGTATGCTTCTCTTTGGCGGCAATGGTGGTGCAGAACTCAACTGTCGACTTGGTTTAGGAGGTGGAGATTCTAAAATATTTTCATTGCTTTGTGACTTTTTAACAAGATGCGAACGGTTTAATGATGAATAAAATTGTTGCTTTTCTTCCTTTGGCGTTATATCTGGTAATGAGTTTCTTTGACTTTGTCCAGCAATGTCAACATTATCAAAACTTGACTGTTGATAATTTTTAACTAAGTCTAATGATTTCTTTTCTTTTACTATATCAACGAGATTCTTTATGTATGAAACAAAAAGAGACAGAGAGAATAAGAGGGTGGAAATAACGCGCAATAACTGCAATAAACTTACATTGACACCTTCATGAAGTTGCACAACCAATTCATTTATATTTTCCTTATTTTGTGCAATAAAATCATTTTCTGTTTCACTAATGAGAGCATCATCACAAATTTTTATGATTTTCCCCAAAGACGATTGTAGTTGCTGAATCAATGAAAGTATTACACTACTTTTAGCATAAAACTTGTTACTCTTTAATGATGAATTGATGTTTGCAATAGTTTCGATCAATATTGTCCCATTTCCCGGCAACATTTCCAATTTATTTTTATTAATGACATCGTTAAAATGTGTTAATGCAGTTTTAGCCTGTCGTACGTGATACTCAAGATCATGTGAAAGTTTTGTGTCATCATAAAAAAGCTGTTGTTGTGCCTTCTTGTGTTTTGGAGAATTAGGTCTAGAGACGAAACACAAAAAACAAATTGGTAAGATTGATAAGAATCAGAAATAGTCAATAAAATAAAGATTGATAAGAATCAGAAGTAGTCAATAAAATAAAAAAAAAAAATGAAAATAATTTTTTAATACAAACCTATTAAGTGTACTGGTATTCATAGGTGTTCTCATTTGGGAAATTTTCTCTAAAAAATCGTCTTTAAAAGAACGGATTCTCGCTAATTTTGTGTGTTTCGTTGCATTTTTAGACTCAAATGATAAACGGGAGGAATTAATATCATCGTTGTGAAGAGATGATGATAACTGAACTTCATTAAAGGAATTATTAATCCTTAATTCTGTAAAAATATGACACAAAAAAAATTTCTCATTTAATATGACAACATCAATACTCATCCAGAGCGAGCAAGAGAGATAAGCAAGAAAAAAAAAATCATATTTCGCAAATAATCATCGAATGATAAAACTTTAAAGCTATGCTTCATCACCTCGTTCATTCATTGTTCACACTTTATTGTAAAACATTATTTAAAAAATATTTGAATATCTTTTAATATTAGAAAAAATTGAATTTAAAAAAGTTCAGAGTAAATTGAAATGATTTTTTTAGCACATTAGATTCATGAACGCACTCATTAGTAGTCCCAACATAGAAAATGATTCTCTCACATTCGCACTAATAAATGAGAGGCATTGAGAGGAAATATCCGATGTTTTTCATAGAGTTTGGTAGATTTTTTTAGCAGCATAAAATTGATTTTCTACAAAAATTGAAAAATAATTTTTTTACATTAAATTCATAACATTAAAGTCATTAGATTAGCTTTAAAATTATATTCATACGGATAAGTTTATGATTCGGATATTTTTATAATCATATTAAGTGATTAAAAGGTGATTATTCATAAAAACATTGTTCACGACTTTTTTTTCTTTCTTCCAAAAGTTTTTTTTTTTAATTTTTTCTTTATTTAATGTGAGGACATATAGACACGCATTCTGTGAATTTCGATACTTTTATGACTCACTGTGACATTTATAACACAATTTAATGTTAATATTGAGTCGCTCAGAATATTATCAGATAATATAGGGCGGTGCCGACTATCAAGAAAATTCCCTTTATGATACATCTTCTTTTTGTAGGGATAATTAAAAATGGCTTGGAGATTTAAGGCTTCCAAATATAAGAACTCTGTGCCAATTGTACCAAAAATAGAGGTATATAAAGCATAAATAATTTATGAATTAAAATTAATTGCATGTCCAATAACAGGAATGTGTTCGAGATATCGTGGTCGGCTCTTATCAAAACTATGGCAATAACATAACAGCTTCCGCTAAATTTATGGCATTTCCCATTGAACATTCCGGTTCAACATTGGCTGTGTTGCCAATTGACGATTCTGGTAGAAAGCCAAAAAATATGCCGGCTCTTCATGGACACACAGACACTGTAAATGATCTCGCATTCTCACCATTTCATGATAATTTACTCGCGACTGGATCTCAAGACTCATTAGTTAAAATTTGGCACATTCCCGAAGAAGGACTGAAAGAATCATTGACAAATCCTGAATGCACATTTTCACATAAACAGAAAAAGGTTGAAAATGTTGGATTCCATCCGACTGCTGATTGTCTTCTGTACTCAACAGCTGCCTCAAACGTTTCATTGTGGGACTTGACAGAAGAGAAGGAAATCTTCACTAACGGTGATCATCCTGAAATTATTCAAAGCTTAAGCTGGAAAGGTGACGGAACAGTGTTTGCCACAAACAGTAAAGATAAAATGGTTCGTATTGTGGATCCAAGAAGCAACTCTCCAATATCTATAGGCGCAAACAGCCATCAAAATATCAAGGATTCACGTGTTGTATGGTTGGGTGACCAACAAAAAATTCTTACAACTGGTTTTGATTCTAATCGATTACGCCAAGTCATGATTCGTGATCTTCGCAGTTTCTCCACACCTGAGAAAACACTCGAATTAGAGCAATCAACTGGGTAGGAATTTATAATTGATGCTTTAATTAACAACGCTGATTGATTTCTATTTTTCATCAGAATTTTGATTCCATTATATGATCCAGACACCAATATGCTCTTCCTTGCTGGAAAGGGAGACATAACAATAAACTTTTTGGAAGTTACTGACAGAGATCCATATTTAATAGAAGGCATTCGTCATACAGGTGAACAGACCAAGGGTGCCTGTTTCATTCCTAAGAGATCGTTGAGAGTAATGGAGGGCGAAGTTAATCGTGTGATGCAGGTAAGCTCCTCTAAGTCATCAAAATGGATACAGAAGCTAATTTTTTTTTTGCTTCCAGTTAACATCAAACTCAGTCATTCCAATAATGTATCAAGTTCCGCGTAAGTCTTATCGTGATTTTCACAGTGATATTTTCCCCGATACAAATGGATTCAGAAGTGAATTGAAGCCGCAAGATTGGATGAGTGGAAAGAACTATGTCTTGCCAAAAATTTCATTGGATCCCGCCAAAACAGATATTGCCGATATGGTGAAAGAAGTGAGTATAACATTGTTGACTGTTGAGCATATTCTCTCTATACTGTTGATTAGACATAAATTTCGCGTAATGCATGACGATAGACAAAATTTTAAAAAAGATCAAAATTTTATCACGACACAAATATGCTTAAAAACTATATTTCTAGATGTGTGTAGGAAATTTGGAAGAAATAAGAAAAAATTTAAATGAAATCGAAAAGCACCAAACAAATGGTCAGCAAGCAAAGCAACATGTTATAATACCGAAAAAAGAAAAGACTCAAAACTTTAATGTTGAGACAAAAAGCTCGAATAATGAAACGTCAGAATTTCTCGAAAAATTCAAGGCAGTCAGAATGCAAAAGAATCTCGATAACAAGACTGTTGAAAATGGATCAAAGGTAAAGAATGGCGATCATGATGATCATAAAGTAGATGATGATGACGACGATATAAATAAAAAGGACGTTGTTCCACCAGTTCCATTACCGCGAAAATCAATTTCGGAACAAAGTAGTTTTGAAGAAAACTCCAGTGGTGTACCGAAGCCTAAACCAAGGCAAATCGGCAATTGTACCAATTATAAGGTTTACAGTCACTCCATTACTATGTTTTCACGATTTTTCTTTTTTTTCGTTTTTTTACGTACATATTTTTTATGATTTTTAAATCATTATGTGACTCATACAACACTTTTCATTTACATAGCAGCTGCATTTTTAATTTTCATTGACTCTTTTTTATCGTTTAAGTTGTACACACTTATGACTAATGATTTTCGTTGATTTTGTTTGACATTTTTGTTTTAGTTTTTAATCGCATGTCAATATTTAAAGCTTAAATAACATTCAATTGTTGTGTATTGTTTACAGCCACGCCTTGGTCCGAAACCATTTTCACTTGACTCAACAGACAATACTTTTGATAAAGTTTTTGCTGTCCCACATGTACCCATTGTGAAAGAAGCGAAAGAGCATGAAAAGGAATTGATGAAAGAAAAGATTCAACCGGAAGCGTCCGATGATGTTGAAATTGCAAAAGTAATTGACACAATTAAACTTTTTTTTCTGTATTTTAATTAATTAACATAAATTACTTCCGATTTAGGAAAGTGATGTTGAAGATCAGAAACAAGAAGATTCGCCTCCAGTCAGTGAACGTGACAATTTCGCACGTGATGATGAACAACGTAAGAGTATTGCTGATCGTCGCAGAATATATGAAAATCGTTCACAGAGTCAAGTTGAGGAAAAGAAGCCGTCTCCAATTTTAATGAAACGCCAAGATTCTGCAAAAACAGAAAAGAAAGAATCGAAAAATGAGATTGGAATGAAGCGAACATCAACTGTATTTGGAAAAGTCTCCAAATTTAGACATCTGAAGGGAACAGCTGCACATAAATCATTCCACATTGAGAATTTGAAAAATATTAGCAGACAAATTCCTCCAGAATGTGATGTTTTTTATGGTAAATGATTATACTTAATATTCAATTTGGAATCATTATATTTTAAATTAATATTCTGATCACAGCAAATGATGAACGAGTCGCTGTCCCAATTTCCGGACAAGGTGGAAAAATTGCAGTTTTTGAATTGAGTAAAACTGGTCGCTTACCAGATGGTGTTATTCCATGTTTAGTCAATGGAAATAGCACCATGGATTACCAGTGGGATCCATTTGATAGCCGAATCCTTGCTGTAGGATGTGATGATGGTCGAGTTAAGATTTGGAATATTCCAGAGGATGGTCTAACTGAGTCCACAAATAGCCCAACACAAGAATTTGGAGCTCATGCTGAAAAGATTTCATTCATCAAGTTTCATCCATTGGCAAAGAATGTATTGCTTACAGCTAGTTATGATTTGACTTTGAAGATTTGGGATTTGAATGACTTATCCGAGAAGATTACCTTGAAGGGACATACAGACCAAATTTACTGTTTCTGTTGGAGTCCATGTGGAAAATACGGTGCAACCGTTTGCCGTGATGGAAAGATCAGAATCTATAATCCACGAAAATCAAGCAACCCCGTTCGTGAGGGTATTGGAGCTCCAATCGGTACCAGAGGCAGTCGTATCCAATATGCGCTGAATGGTGAATATTTGGTTGTGACAGGATTTGATAAGTAAGCAAAATTGATATAAATTATTTAAATAACGCAAAAAATTGGCTATTAAATCTTCCACAGAGTAAGCGAGCGTCAAGTATATGTGTTCAAAACATCAAATCTGAATGATGCTCTCGGAATGGTCTCATTGGATGTCTCACCAGCACTTTTGATTCCTTATTATGATGAGGACAGTTCGACAATATTCTTGACAGGCAAGGGTGACACAACAATCTATACTTATGAAGTAACAGAGGAGGCTCCCTATTTGTGCCCACTTTCACACCATCGTAGCCCAAGCATTCATCAAGGATTAAGCTTTTTACCAAAGAATCAATGCGATGTTGCCAGCGTAGAGTTTGCCAAGTGTTATCGCTTGACAAACAACTCTATTGAACCTTTAAGCTTTACAGTCCCAAGGATTAAGGTAGCCTTAGTTATTTCTGATAAGGTTTGATAAAGCTACAATAAATTTTTTTCGTTCACAGATTGACTACTTCCAAGATGATCTATTTCCACCAACTCGCATGGTTTGGAATCCAACAATGACATCAACAGAATGGTTTGAACAGAATGATAAACCTGCAGTCAAGGTGAGCTTAAAACCGAAAGATATGGAACCGCTATCATCGCTCTCTAGACCAAATGAGTCGAAAATCATTGATATGAAGCCAGTCGATGAAACATCATACATGAAAAATAGCAATAGCAACAATGGACAGAATTGGACAGAAGAGGAATTGAAATCTAAAACGGATGATTTAAAGAAGTCAGTTAGTGCACGAGTATCAGTAAACTATGCATTGGAACAAGACAGAATGGAAGGAGTTGATCCTGAAGAGTGGGACGAATAAGAATACAATCGATTCAAGAATTGCTTTTCCTATGTGTTTATTAGTATTCCTTCAGCTTTTCATCATTCTTATTTATGTATAAAAAACATATAAGACAGAATAGTTTACAACATTTTGATATGAACCTAATGATAGTGTAATAATCTACTTACAATAACTTTAATCAAACTTCAACTTCTCTATCTACAAACTCTCTCTCAATACTTTCTAGCTATTAGCTATCAATCAAGGAAAGTTCATCTTTCATCTTTATATCAAAAAAAAAGTAATATAATTTAACGTATGAAATGAAATTTAAATGAACTGAAATGAATGTTTGGTGTGAATTTCAATTTCAATTTCAAAAAAAAACTTAAAAATCTTGACATTCACAAATTTTGTATTAATAATTTTAATATTGACGAAAGACTTAAATTTTTTGGCTGTATCTTGCTTTCTCTTACTGATCTAATTTAAAATTTCAATGCTCAGACTTTTTTACTTGCTTGACATATAATAATGGTATCGCGTATTAAGTCGTGTGATATGAACTTATATACATCACAGATTTAAAGGGTTTTTTTTTAAATGATGCATTAAAGATTTTGGCATGACATTTCTAGTCATCAAAATATATTTCATACTTTTATAATATTTTCATGAATAAAGGAATTTTTAAATAAGTAATAACAATAAAATGAATTAACCCAAAAAAAAAGTATTTCTTTTACTTGGCTTATTTTTTGTTTAATTCTTTTGTTGCAGAAAAGTATGTCGTTTGCATCATTGCTGATTATCGTTTTTGAATCTTCCAGGAATTTTATCAAATTGATTGTCATGACATTTGTCAAAAAAATGAAAATAGAAAGAAGGACTTTTGTTTAACCATCCTTGGGTATCTATGATATGCCAAGAGACGATGTCAAAATTGATTCGAAATAAAGTTTAAACTTGTTTCGAATATTTTTTGAACAAAATTTTGCCATTTCGAAAAACATATTTGTTGCACTCATAAAAAAAAATTGATAAATTTTATTAAAAATGTATGAAAAAGTTTAATAAAAGTTTATAAAAATACATCTTGATAACTTTTACTAAAATTTGATAAGGGTTATTAAAAGTTTTGGTTTTACAAAATTGCATTCAAATTTTACAAAACTGTTAAAATTTTAATAATTTTCTTACTAAACTTTAGTAAAAAGTTATTAAGATGTATTTTTATAATTTTTATTAAATTTGTTCATGGATTTTAGTAAAAAATCATTAAAATTTCTTGGATTATTTTTTTTACAAAAACAGCTTTATAGTATAATTAATTTATAGTATGGAGCTTTTTCAAGTTTTAACTAAAATGCTTTCTCAAAGCTTAAGACTTTGCATGATTTTTGGCACTTAATGTGCCTCATAAGAAATTTATAATTTTATATGACTTTGTATGAGAACTAAGACATTCTTTTGTATAAGTCATTTCTTGGAGCGTTTGTGAAGTATATAAAATGTATGAAAACCTTACAATTTTGGAAACCTACAACAGTTTTACTACGCTGTAGAATTTTAAAAACTTTTATTAAAATTTGATAAGTTTTATTAAAAGTTTGATAAGGTTTACTAAAATTTTAATAATTCTCATTAAAAACTTTTTAATAAGATTTTAGTAACAAATTATTAAAAATATTTTTATGAGTGTGTATAATAAGAAAATCATAGTAAACATGATATATGAAAAAGGATTTAAGAAACATATCACAAAGAAATAACATAGCGCAGTTGAAAATTAGTGATTTGGTGACTCCAATCGACCTAAACACAAACTCTTTGAGTGAAGAATGGAAGAGATTTAAGAGTCAAATAAACTGTTTGTTTGAAATCAACGAAATTATCAGCAAAAACGACAAAATCAAAATTTCATATCTGGCGTTACTCATTGGAAATGATGCAGAGCTGACTTGTTTGATCATCTAGGATTGTCTGAAGAGGATAAGAACTGTTTTGAAAAAGTCATCGATGGTTACGAAAATTGCTTTAGTCTGAAAACAAGCATTTACGTGAATCGGATGAAGTTCTATCAAGCGTTCCAAGACGATGCAGAGACTTTTGTTCAGTTCGTGTCAAGAGTTCGAAAGTTGGCTACAAAGTGTGACTTCAAAAATGCAAGAAAAATTAATTGTTGAAGGAGAATTTTCATTACATGCTTTAATTGAAAAAGTGCGTTTCCATGATCTCATGATCTCATGGCAGATCGATGAACCGGCAAACTTGAAGGAAGAAAAGAATCTGAAGATCAGCAATAAAAAGCCTTCAAACAACTACAATTGTACCAAAGAGTCTTCGAAAGTCTTTAAGCCTGCAGCTAGCAAGTATATCAATGACTGTCAGCTTGAATGTAGCGAAGCAGTATGTAAAGAAGGAGGAAAGGTTAGTAGTCTGATTTGGTATAAGAATTTGAAAATTAGTGACAAGTTGGTTAAATTTAAATTAGATTCAGGAGCACAAATTAATATAGTTACTGAAGGAATTGTGAAGAGTTTTAAGCAAAATTTTGAAATCATTTCAAGTAAAGTTAAGCTTCAAGCTTACTCAGGTGGGATGATCAAGCCTATCGGCAAAGTTATATTGCCAATAGTTAGTGATAAGAATACATTCTATAAAGAATTTGAAGTTTTGAAAGGAGATTTCGAGCCATTGCTAGGATTAAAATCCTGTGTAAATATGAATTTGATTTCGCGCATTGACGCCATTAATAATGAAAAACATCTACATAATGATACAGAAATGGTTAAGTTTAAACAGCATTATAAGGATGTTTTTGAAGGTTTAGGTAAATCTAAGAAGCCTTTCAAATAATATTTACACGAAAAAGTTTTTCCATTTGCCGCGGCATCTCGTAAAATTCCATTAAAATTAAAGGATAAAGTCCAAAATAAATTGAATGAGATGGAAAATCTAGGTGTGATTGAGAAAGTGAATGAACCGCGTGAATGAATTAATAATATTGTAATTGTTGAGAAAGTTGATAAAGTAAGAATTTGTATGGATCCCAAACACTTGAATAATGCCCTTAAGAATTTTCGTTATCCAATTCCATCACTTGATGAATTGAAGCAGGATTTAAAGGATGCTCAATTCTTTTGATGGGGGGTAAAATTCCCGAAAGATATTAATTCCACGATCCTGCGGAATAATAACCCCGAAATTCACAAAATTTTAAATGTTCCCTGCGGGATAATATTCCCACTTAGAAATACACGTGGAATTATTATCCTTCCGGGAAGTGAAATTTTTGCCCTTAACAAAATTCGATTTATAAATCCAATCATAATATTTGTTTACACATTTTGCTAAGAAAAATGTAAAGATTTAACAAACAAATTTTTTTGGATATTCATCGTCCGTAGCTATTCAAAATTATCGAAAATCAGCCCTAGTCCCTCATCTAAAACTTAGCATAATTATTTCTCATTTATTAAATTGCATTTTAAAACATATCTAGATATTATAAATGATAAAGATTGCTAATATAGATATAAAATCGAGATTTTTTTTTAAATAGCCTCCTATGATCGAAACAAAAAATGCTTAAAATTGCATTTTAAAACATATCTAGGTATTATAAATGATAAAGATTGCTAATATAGATATAAAATCGAGATTTTTTTTTTAAATAGCCTACTATGATCGAAACCAAAAATGCTTTAAATTGCATTTTAGAACATATCTAGGTATTATAAATGATAAAGAATGCTTATATAGATATAAAATCGAGATTTTTTTTTTAAATAGCCTACTATGATCAAAACCAAAAATGCTTTAAATTGCATTTTAAAACATATCTAGGTATTATAAATGATAAAGAATGCTAATAAAGATATAAAATCGAGATTTTTTTTTAAATAGCCTACTATGATCGAAACAAAAAATGCTTAAAATTGCATTTTAAAACATATCTAGGTATTATAAATGATAAAGAATGCTAATAAAGATATAAAATCGAGATTTTTTTTTTAAATAGCCTACTATGATCGAAACCAAAAATGCTTTAAATTGCATTTTTAAACATATCTAGATATTATAAATGATAAAGAATGCTTATATAATTATATAAAATCGAGATTTTTTTTTTAAATAGCCTACTATGATCCAAACCAAAAATGCTTTAAATTGCATTTTTAAACATATCTAGATATTATAAATGATCAAGAATGCTTATATAATTATATAAAATCGAGATTTTTTTTTTAATAGCCTACTATGATCAAAACCAAAAATGCTTTAAATTGCATTTTTAAACATATCTAGATATTATAAATGATAAAGAATGCTTATATAATTGTATAAAATCGAGATTTTTTTTTTAAATAGCCTACTATGATCAAAACAAAAAATGCTTTAAATTGCATTTTAAAACATATCTAGATATTATAAATGATAAAGAATGCTAATATAGATATAAAATCGAGATTTTTTTTTAAATAGCCTACTATGATCGAAACCAAAAATGCTTTAAATTGCATTTTAAAACATATCTAGGTATTATAAATGATAAAGAATGCTAATAAAGATATAAAATCGAGATTTTTTTTTAAATAGCCTACTATGATCGAAACCAAAAATGCTTTAAATTGCATTTTAAATCATATCTAGATATTATAAGTAAAAAAGAATGCTAATATAGATAAAAAACCGATATTTTTTTGAAAAAAGCCTACTATGATCCAAACCAAAAATGCTTTAAATTGCATTTTTAAACATATCTAGGTATTATAAATGATAAAGAATGCTAATAAAGATATAAAATCGAGATTTTTTTTTAAATAGCCTACTATGATCGAAACAAAAAATGCTTTAAATTGCATTTTAAAACATATCTAGGTATTATAAATGATAAAGAATGCTAATATAGATATAAAATGGATTTTTTTTTTTTGAAAATAGCCTACTATGATCGAAACAAAAAATGCTTAAAATTGCATTTTAAAACATATCTAGGTATTATAAATGATAAAGAATGCTAATATAGATATAAAATCGATTTTTTTTCTGAAAATAGCCTACTATGATCGAAACAAAAAATGCTTTAAATTGCATTTTAAATCATATCTAGATATTATAAATGATAAAGAATGCTAATATAGATATAAAATCGATATTTTTTTTTAAATAGCCTCCTATGATCGAAACAAAAAATGCTTAAAATTGCATTTTAAAACATATCTAGATATTATAAGTAAAAAAGAATGCTAATATAGATAAAAAACCGATATTTTTTTGAAAAAAGCCTACTATGATCTAAACCAAAAATGCTTTAAATTGCATTTTTAAACATATCTAGGTATTATAAATGATAAAGAATGCTAATAAAGATATAAAATCGAGATTTTTTTTTAAATAGCCTACTATGATCGAAACAAAAAAATGCTTTAAATTGCATTTTAAAACATATCTAGATATTATAAATGATAAAGATTGCTAATATAGATATAAAATCGAGATTTTTTTGAAAAAAGCCTACTATGATCTAAACCAAAAATGCTTTAAATTGCATTTTTAAACATATCTAGGTATTATAAATGATAAAGAATGCTAATAAAGATATAAAATCGAGATTTTTTTTTAAATAGCCTACTATGATCGAAACAAAAAATGCTTTAAATTGCATTTTAAAACATATCTAGGTATTATAAATGATAAAGAATGCTAATATAGATATAAAATGGATTTTTTTTTTTTGAAAATAGCCTCCTATGATCGAAACAAAAAATGCTTAAAATTGCATTTTAAAACATATCTAGGTATTATAAATGATAAAGAATGCTAATATAGATATAAAATCGATTTTTTTTCTGAAAATAGCCTACTATGATCGAAACAAAAAATGCTTTAAATTGCATTTTAAATCATATCTAGATATTATAAATGATAAAGAATGCTAATAAAGATATAAAATCGAGATTTTTTTTTAAATAGCCTCCTATGATCGAAACAAAAAATGCTTTAAATTGCATTTTAAATCATATCTAGATATTATAAGTAAAAAAGAATGCTAATATAGATAAAAAACCGATATTTTTTTGAAAAAAGCCTACTATGATCCAAACCAAAAATGCTTTAAATTGCATTTTTAAACATATCTAGGTATTATAAATGATAAAGAATGCTAATAAAGATATAAAATCGAGATTTTTTTTTAAATAGCCTACTATGATCGAAACAAAAAAATGCTTTAAATTGCATTTTAAAACATATCTAGATATTATAAATGATAAAGATTGCTAATATAGATATAAAATCGAGATTTTTTTTAAATAGCCTCCTATGATCGAAACCAAAAATGCTTCAAATTGCATTTTTAAACATATCTAGATATTATAAATGATAAAGAATGCTAATAAAGATATAAAATCGATACTTTTTCTGAAAATAGCCTACTATGATCGAAACCAAAAATGCTTTAAATTGCATTTTAAAACATATCTAGGTATTATAAATGATAAAGAATGCTAATATAGATATAAAATCGATTTTTTTTCTGAAAATAGCCTACTATGATCGAAACAAAAAATGCTTTAAATTGCATTTTAAATCATATCTAGATATTATAAATGATAAAGAATGCTAATATAGATATAAAATCGATATTTTTTTTTAAATAGCCTCCTATGATCGAAACAAAAAATGCTTAAAATTGCATTTTAAAACATATCTAGGTATTATAAATGATAAAGAATGCTAATAAAGATATAAAATCGAGATTTTTTTTTAAATAGCCTACTATGATCGAAACCAAAAATGCTTTAAATTGCATTTTAAAACATATCTAGGTATTATAAATGATAAAGAATGCTAATATAGATATAAAATCGATATTTTTTTTTTAAATAGCCTCCTATGATCGAAACAAAAAATGCTTAAAATTGCATTTTAAAACATATCTAGGTATTATAAATGATAAAGAATGCTAATAAAGATATAAAATCGAGATTTTTTTTTAAATAGCCTACTATGATCGAAACCAAAAATGCTTTAAATTGCATTTTTAAACATATCTAGGTATTATAAATGATAAAGAATGCTAATAAAGATATAAAATCGAGATTTTTTTTTAAATAGCCTACTATGATCGAAACCAAAAATGCTTTAAATTGCATTTTAAAACATATCTAGGTATTATAAATGATAAAGAATGCTAATAAAGATATAAAATCGAGATTTTTTTTTAAATAGCCTACTATGATCGAAACAAAAAATGCTTAAAATTGCATTTTAAAACATATCTAGGTATTATAAATGATAAAGAATGCTAATAAAGATATAAAATCGAGATTTTTTTTTAAATAGCCTCCTATGATCGAAACCAAAAATGCTTTAAATTGCATTTTTAAACATATCTAGATATTATAAATGATCAAGAATGCTAATATAGATATAAAATCGAGATTTTTTTTTAAATAGCCTACTATGATCGAAACAAAAAATGCTTAAAATTGCATTTTAAAACATATCTAGGTATTATAAATGATAAAGAATGCTAATAAAGATATAAAATCGAGATTTTTTTTAAATAGCCTACTATGATCGAAACCAAAAATGCTTTAAATTGCATTTTAAAACATATCTAGATATTATAAATGATAAAGAATGCTTATATAATTATATAAAATCGAGATTTTTTTTTAAATAGCCTCCTATGATCGAAACCAAAAATGCTTTAAATTGCATTTTTAAACATATCTAGATATTATAAATGATAAAGAATGCTAATATAGATATAAAATCAATTTTTTTGATTTTCAAGAGGCTATAGCAAGTCATGGTATAATCAAAATATAGTCATATGATGCATTTTTGTAAAGCTCTTGCTAAAAACTAGAAGATAGAATTCAATTTAATATCCAGTTTGGAAAAAGGCCTGGTGCCGCAAGAATTTTAAGAAAATTACAATTTTTCCTAGGTTTTCCAAATTTGACAGCTTCAAAACTACTGAAAATTTGAGAATTTCGAAAAATGACTTCGATCCCCCTAATTGCTTATGTTGTGTGATCAAATGGCAAAAGAATTATTTTCCGAGACCCTTATGCTTCGGCTCTGACCCTGATCACCAAATTTGTAGTCATATCATCAAGTCCGCATTATCCAACAGTCAAATGGTTTAGCAGAAAAGGCTGTAGGAATTGTTAAAAACATGATGAAAAAGACGAAAAATAGTGACCAGTTGTGTGTAGCTCTAATGAATTACAATAACACACCTTTGGGAGATTTAGACTTGTCTCTATCACAACTGGCACAGAATCGTCGTATGAGAACAAAAGTAGTCACAAAAACCGAATCACTAGAACCACGCTTAAAAAACAATGTGGAAGAAAAGTTGAAGCATAAGAACTTAAAAGCTAGATCTTGCTTAGTAATGGTTCCATTTTTCGGAGAAAGTCAAAGTTTCTCAGGTTAAATAAAAGCAGCAATATGATTAATCTTGAGGAAAAGAATAGTATAGGCGATGATGATTCATTCATTGAAAGTTTTTTCGACTCATTGCAACCACCTCAAGTCCCACATGCAACTGCTCAACAAAACATCGTTGGCCCAGCTATCATAAATCAACCACAACTACGAAGATAATCGAGAATACCACAACCAACGAAAAGATATAGATGTATGTTGTATAATAAGAAAATCATAGTAAACATGATATATGAAAAAGGAGTTAAGAAACGTATCACAAAAATATAACAATATTTTTATGAAAATTTTAATTTTTCGCAATTTTTGACTTAATTTCCTTGTTATTTAGAAATTAAACCCTTCTACTATGTCTTTTAACACTCATTTATTCGTTTAATCGATGATAAATGCAACAAACATTAGTTTAATATGATTTTTTTCAAAAATATTCAAAAAATTTTTATTGTTGTTTACATTGAAAATTAAAATGTCATTAATTCACTTGCATTAATTGTTTAGTAAATCAGTAATGATTCATTACAGTTGAGTGGATTCTTTTAGCATTTTGATGATGAAAAACAAATATGTAAACCATTAATTAAAGAGATTAGACATTAATAATTTAACGTGAAAAAAAAATTTGAACTCATGCTCGAAAATAAGGTACAAAAAAATTCAATATCGAAAATAAGGACTCTTTTAATTCGTTATGATGATATAATCTGCAGTTTGAAAAGTAAACTAGTTGCTTGCATATTAACACTTCTAGACTGCACAAATTATCATTTGCTGGGATGTTTAAGATATCTGATGTTTAACATAGAAAGAGGAGGTTCTGAAACATTGAAGAAACAATAAAAACATTTTTACGGGAATGGGGGGGGGGGGGGGGGGGGGGGGGTAATAGATGGCTTACATTCAACTTTTCAATACAGAAATTATTTGTGAACAAACCCCTTCCATTTTAAAAGTTTGTCAAAAGTTTAGAAACAATTTGAAAATAATCGTTAATAACATCTAGAAATTTTTTCACATTTTTGCTTATAAGCAAGTTTCACTCAACACCCCTGATATAAACAAAAGAGAAAAGAGGGAATTTAGATCGTCAGAATTTTTATAAGGAAATAAAATTTAAATTTCTATGCACTTTGTGGATGATAAATAATTAACTCGTCGCTTTAAGCTGTTAATTTAATTAAAAACTCATAAGAAAAAAGTGAAATTAAGCAGAAGAAAGTGGAGAAATTGTCAAAAATAACGATTTAAATGTAGAATCGCAAAAATGGCTGACGACAATTTTAAATAAAAATGAAAATATTTTGATTTTCAAAATATAAAATCTTATAATATTAGTTCTTCTGTATTAATTTATAAAAATAACTCGCACAAAACAGTCTTCAAATATTTACTGGAGCAATGGAAACGGTAAGAAATATTCACGAAAATAAACATTTTATTTTTATCTTTTTTTTTTCTTTTTTAATCCATAAATTTTTATGATTCATAATTTATTCTTTTTAGAAAATAAACTCCAATGAATTGCTGGGAAGTGTTACACAGGATAGTGTTCGAACAAGTGCTCGTGTTATTCAATCCAAGATTATGCGAATGGATCCTGTGATAACTACGCAAACTGAAAAGAAGGAAGAAAAGCCAAATGAAATAAATACAGTAAATCAACCGAAGACACCAAGTCAATCGAAACACATTCGAATCCAGTGGACAATGAAAGAGAAGAAATGTTTCTTTGATGCACTTAATGAGCACGGACGTGATTTTGAACAAATTTCTCGATTTATTAACCTTAAGATGAAACGAAAAAATCCAACGGAATCGGATTATAAAACTAAGGAACATGTTAGACAACATTACTATCAACTTTTTCAAAAAGCATCAAAATATTTGAAATTTTCAGATGATGTCAAGAAATTGGCACAGGAACTTTATGTATTAATTAATTATGGGGAAATGAAAAAAAAGCTTATAATGTCATCTGATAAGAGTTTTCTGAAACTTAGAGATCTCGTTTATAGAGGAAGTGTGACTGTTCGTGTTAAGGGAAAGAATATTAAAATTAAAACACCATCATGTCGAGCCTTAAAGAAGCTTAATCAATTGGAGGGTAATAATATTGAGGATATCCAGTTGCCACAACGTATTGATGTCATTGTTCGTCCTTCAAATCAAGAATCATGGGCGTATGTACAACGATTAGCACAAAATCCAAGAATTAAAGTTGCACTTCCACTTCAAAAGAGAATATCATGTCTACTACAGACATTAGAGCAGAAATGGCGACCACAAGATGTAAGATTACATGAGAAGTACGTAGTAAAAATTATTCAACAGAATAGTCGTCAAAAATTAAGTGACGAGATTATTGCACAGTCCGAAGACGATGCAAAATTCTTAAAGGCTAAAGAACCTCGACTTTATTTTTATCCACCTGAAAATTGTAAAATATTTCGTCCAATGATTCAATTAAATGAATTTTTAAGCAGCTATAGTCTATGCTTAAATTCATATGAGGTGAGGATCGGTGCACGAAAACGTGGCGAGGAGATTTGCATGGAAAAAAATTCTCACCTTAAAGACATATCGAAAAATTCAGCGAAACGAATACGTAATGATAGTTTCTCGGAAAAGATTAATGCCGTGTCGGATGCTAGGAAGATGAAACCAGATGAACAAAATGTTGATGATTTGGGTATAATTTATGAGCATAAAAGTAACGATTCAAATGATTTGAACGAGATTAAAAAAAGGGAAGGAAGCAATGTTATTAAAGTAAGTGATATATCAAATGAGATTGAAAAGCATGAGCCAGTTATTGAAGATAAGAAGGATTCACCTGATATTGAAACAAATAAGGCCTTATCAACTAAAAATGAAAATTGCAATGTAGTGTCTACAAAACCCAACAAAAAATCAATGCTGTGCTCTTCAAAGAATCCTAAAGAATACTCATTTAAGCCATTAATTAACGAGGATACACTTAAGAAAATTCGTCAAGGCTGGAATGTTGACAATGCAAGTGATCTCACGATCGGTGATCTTTATTTAATGTACGGCTCAGACTCAAAATTATTTATTGAATATAAGTGGCATGATCCAGAAAATTTCTCAAACACAACTAACGGCATTTCCTCATCTGAACAAATTAAACTTGAGCCCAATCACATTGGTAGTAAATTAAAGCACTTAATGATGGTTGCGAGTTTGATTGAAAAACCAAATGGAGTTGCAATGCTCAATAATCTTAATTTAGAGAAGAATTTAGTCGACACTAAAGAATTTGGTGAAAGTAGTAATACATTTAAAACTCCGTCTTTTGATACATTTATGCGACCAAATATGAATCCACGATTAAAACCACATCAATCGAAATGGTGGCGAAATCAACATTATCGATATCGACCATTAGACAATGTAAATGGAAATTACTTTAAAAATAATAATAACAATAATAATCAAAATCATGTCGTAAGAAATTTATATCAAACGCCTACAACGCAATTAAATAGTTCGCAAACGTCAAGGACCGATGAGGAATTGAGAAGTAGTCCTGTGGATGAAGTCACTAAAATTCTAGAAGACAAAATACAATTTATGTCAACTAATCAATCGCAAGTACAAAATTTCTCGGAGAGTTCTCGATCTAGTATAAAAAGTTTATTAGAGACTTTATCAGGAAGTTCAAACAGAACAAATTATGATTATGGTAAGTATTTATTCTGTGATAATTATTTTCTGTCGCGAATCTTAACATTACTTTGTTGTTATCTATCAAGCAGATTTGAGATTTTGGGACCACGAGAATGAGAGAGGATCGGAGGATTTTGACAATATTTCTCTAAGTAGCCTTTTAGGACATCTCGATTCATTTTATGGTAACAAGAGTCAAGGTGCAACCGATACAGAAGAAAACTTGTAATTTCTTGTTAATCATTTATTGTATTTAAATAAATAATACTTAAGATATTAAAGATTTATTAAACTTATCATATTTTAATTTTTGACCAAAATACAGCACATGACACAACTTGACCATTATTTTTGGCAGTACAAAATCGACCATATTTTTCATTGAAATATTTTAAAAATTAAACTAAGATTTATATCGTGTCATAAGTTTACATGTCTTCTGTTGAGTAACGGTATGCTTCTTCTTCAAGGCTTTTCTTTGAATTGATCATTGAAAAGTATTTCTTTTCATATCCATTAGATCTATCGACACCGTCCCAACGAAAACCTGGTCTAATATTGAATCGATTATCAGGAAAATCTCCACGATATGCAGGTTTCTCAATAATTCCTTTTTTAGTGTTTTCCTCTTTTCGTTTTCGTCTTATATATTGAAGCATTGGATCATCAGCAAGTTCCTTATTCTTTAAATAATCTTGTAAATCTTTATCATCTTGATCACGAGCTAACGGTTTGCTTGCTTCATGCTCATATTCTTGTCTCCTTTTTTCAATCTGTTCCAGTTGCTTTAATCCTTTACCCCATCTATCGTATTCCTTTTTACGGATCTCTTCTTCTTTCATTTTTTTCCTCTCATTTTCTAAATCATATTCATAATCCTTATTTCTGCCTTTACGATCACGAATTGTAACATCGGCATTTTTACCAGAAAATTCTGGCTTCATTTCTTTAAATAATTTGTCTTGTCTCTGCCTTAATTGTTCATTTTCTTCCTTTAAACGCCTCGAATTCTGTAATCCTGAAGCTTTTCCATCAAGAGTTTTGGACATTTTTTGTGGATGTTGAGGCGAAGAGCTGTCTTTTTCTCTTTTTATGTTTCTCTTTATATCTTCTGGAGATTTTGAGGATCGAATATAGTAATTGGAAGGTGATGAGCTCAATCTTTCCTTCTTTATTTTGACTGGTAATTCTTTTGGAGAAACATTTCCTTTGTAGCTATCGAATCTACTCTTTCTTCTTGGAGGTGACTCGTCTGAATATCTTTTATTATTTCTTGGTGGTGATTCATCTGAATGTTTCCTATTCTTTCTAGGAGGTGACTCGTCTGAATGTCTCCTATTCTTTCTTGGTGGTGATTCATCTGAATGTCTTCTATTCTTTCTTGGTGGTGATTCATCAATAGTTTTGATTCTACTGGGAGATGAATCCTTTTTGGACCTTATTGGGATTTCATTTTTATGATTATTCAATGATTTCCACATGCCACTTTCCTCATACTCTTGTTTCATTATAACTGATGCTGATCTTTCATCAATGAAACCTACAATTTGTGGAGCTTCCTCATTTGTTGCATATAAATCTCCTTCGTCAACTTCATCATTTTTCATAAATGCCGTAGCATCGTCATCTATAATTTTTACACTAATAAACATCAGCATGATTAAACGTTTAAAATCATTAATAAATATTAAACTTACGTTTTCTTAGCAATTTTATGAGTTTTATCCTTTGATTTCTTCTTCTTCTTCTTCTCGAGCTTATCATCTGAGCATAAATAACGTTTTAAATACTCTTTTTGATCTATTTTGCTCATCTTTAATAAAGTATTTTTTTTTAAAATTGTAAATAAACAAAACTAGTTCAAATTGGTTCAAATAAAGTTCAATTTTTGAAATTGAATTTTAAAAAGCCGTTTGTGAACTGAAAATGTTTTCTAGACGGAAGGTAAAGAAGATAAATTGTGTACTTAAGATAAATGCTGAGCAGTGTTTTGATAGCTCAATTCGCGAAATATGGATCACGAAAACTATTGTTGAATTTGATAGATAGATATGCTATGATAAATAATTTACAAGCATTTTTGATGCAGTGATCAGTTTTTGATTAACAACAGAAATTAACAATTTGTAGCAATAAAGACTGAGGAAAACTCTCTGTAATCTGAAAGTTTAAGAAAAGTTCAAAAACTTAACGAAAAGTTCAAATATAAATTATAATTTTGAAAATGTAAAAGGTCGTTAAAATAAGCAATAAAATCCAGTTTTTCTGCTATCAAGAATTATCATTTTATTCCGGATAAAAATTAATTAGTACATGATTCATACGTATTTTTGTGCAAAATAATTTAAGCATATAAATTGCAATTTTCATCTAAAATCTTTTGAGACAATCTTTAATAATACTTGAAAATTTTTTAATCTAAGATTAATAAATTTCAAATGCATTTCCGTTGCTTTCTTTTTTTGAGAAAAGAAAAGAACTAGTTTTTAGTGACAGACAAAGAATTAAATGAGAATAATTTTGAGCTCAAGTTTATAAGGAAGTATAAAGCCATAAAACGTGTGTTACACGAAAATAAAAAAGAATGGTGAAATCTTATTATTAAAATAACATTACTTAGGAATTATCCGTAAACATACAAAAACAGAAGTGGTATGAGTAGTTTTAAAAGAACTGACAAAGACAGAAAAATAAAAGTTTTAAAGTCACAATATTATTTTATAGATTTTTTAGTAACAACAGTAAATTTGCAACAAGTGCTTCATATATATATTTTTTGGTCATCTAGTATCTATGGTATGAGCCTCACCAAAAATGTTTTGCTTTATATATTGACTAATATTGCTTTGGAAGAGGAAATAATGGTGGAAACTTTAAATCTCAAATGTTTGGTTCCTCGTCAGATCGTCTATCTGATTTCTTATCATCAGAATCTTCATCATCGCAGCCATCTTCATCGTGATCATGAGTTACACTTTGTGGTGTCAATGGTCTTACATGCACAAGATTGTCCGAAAACGGCTATTTAAAGAAAAAATTGTTTAAAATTACCAATCCAATTCTAGATCATTCTGTGACTACTTACTTTAAGATCAGCACCCTTTTTATGTCCAAAAACACGTCCTCTAGTCAAAACTCCTGATGTATCGTCAACCTTAAATCTTTGTTGGTGTTCAACAGTACTTTCATGTGGAAGTAGCATTGCTGGAGCTCTAAACATGTAACTGAATGGATAAAACTCTAAATTCAAGAAGGTTGCAGCATAAATATCAGCATATCGAATTAATTGAGAAGCGAAAAACGTTTGTCTAGATCCAGATCGAAATAACGAGCCAAACATTCCATAGCTCATATCCATTTCATGTGTAACTTCACGAATCTTATTTCTAAGTGTTGATATATCAGGTTTTTCCTTTGTGCTTGAATCCAAGTGTCTTTAAAAAAAACAGCAATTTATTGCATTTAATGACTGAATTTGATCAGAATTGAATAATTGGACTCACTTATAAATTTCTCCTAATTTAACATCTAATTGTTGCAACTCGTAAAATAATTGGCATTTATCTGTCCATACATGTAACTCGTCATGTAATTCAGGCACAACTAAGAACGTTCTCCATCCACGCTTCTTCTTACTCTTCAGAACATCACCAAAAATATGATCCCCAATGTATAAAATATCCTTTCCTTTAGCTCCAATAATCGACGTAAAAACATCACAAGAACCGCCTGAATAAATATGACCTTCTTGAAACCTAATGAATATAAATTGAATAAGATGATAAACAATGTGAATTATCAAAATCGGACTTTTGTCGAGTCGAGTATGGCAATTTAGCTTTTTTGGGGGGTAAAAATCTCATTACTGGACTTGATCCTATAAGCTAAGATTAAATGCACATTTTGTGAAATTTTGTAGCTTGTTCCAAAGCTTGAATTGATTCTTACCTTCCCAGATATGTACCCATTTTTAACTTTTCAGTATTCATATCGACTTGTCTAAAGATCGTTCCTTCACCGAAGAACAAAGGCTTTCTAGCATCAACAACAATAATATCAAAATAAGTTCTCCAATTTTTCCAGTCCTTCTTTGACTCGCCTAGACCAACGGGTTGTTGCTCCAAGTCAAATAAAAATGTCATAATTTTATTTGTAAAGTTATAGTCACTATTTGTCAACAGAAATACTTTGATTCCTGCTTCACGAATTCGATGCAATAATAACGGCAAGCGTGGATCTTTTTTAACGTAATGATCAAGATTCTCTACAGTCTTTGATTTTAAATCTCCATGCAAATGCACCTGTGCAATGAATAGCAATAAAAAAGATGAAAATTGGCAATTAAAGCTGTTTATTAGGCAATTAGCCGACATTATTAATTACCCAATCAACAGCACTACGAACGTCTTGGAAAATTGATCTGAAAGACATGAATAATTCGCCAATTTTGACACCTGTCTTCTCGCGTTGATATTTTGGTGAATTTGTAAAGAAATCAACAAGGCATGCAAGCAGATAAGTTTCTGGAAGATTAAATAATGTATTGAGCACATAAACGCGAGACTCATCCAGCTGAAGAAACTTGTTTGGATATAGGTCATAAATTGAATGAGGCTTAAGAAACTCAAATCCATGTACACAAACGAGTATGTTGCCATAGGCATCAACCTTCAACAAATTTCCAAAATGCGTATCTATATATATAAAAATAAGGGGATATAAAGTCAATCATAATTCAATAATATTCATGCATGCGAGTGAGAAATTACCAAACCACAGGCCACGTATAGGGAAACTATTATCATAGTCAAATTCAAGTATTTCTTCAGGATATCCAACGTCAACCAATCGTTGCTTAATTAAATTAAATCCTAACTGCTCATATTGAGGAGATTTGTAGTCTGCCAATGTATAATCCATGTCGAGCCCAATCCATTTTATCTTCTCTAAATGCAACGATCGATTGACAAAAATTCTATATGAGAAATAAAAGGAATGAGAAATATTGACATGAATGTGTAATGTTCGGATTTACGATGCTATAAAGTAATAAGAAGTGTCATTTGGGAATCTACTGACTGACACTATAAAAAGCTCGAGTTTTGATTAATTCTATTTATAGTTGACTTTTTTTTTAATCAGGTCCACTAATCTATTGAAACTCCTTTCAAGTTCAAAAGTTCAGACTTTCTCGTATCATCAAACATGACGAGTGAGTGTTTATTATTTGCTGTATTCATTTTTTTTACTATGGTATGATACGAATGTGCTGATTCAATTCACACGTTTTATTTCATTTTTATTATTTTTGTTTGTTGTAAATTTTCGAATAGAATATTTGAGGAATTACAGTTCTCGTTGAGTATATTTCCTTATCTATTTGTAACCTTTTTATTATTTTTTGGCACACTGTACATAAAAGTGGATTAATTTGTGAATAAATTATGAGGGAGCTGACTTAAAAAATGTCAAATTAGACAGCAATTTATAACGGTATGTAATAACAAATTTGTGCTTATGGATTAATCCTGGATAATAAAATGATCCTGGCTGGTATTATCTGTCAGATAAATCATCCATCCCCCCCCTCTTCGGCTAGTCTCAAATATCCCAAATAGTCAAATTCAAAGATTTTTCTATGCGCATTCCTACAACAAGAACAATCTAGAACATCTGATAGACTGTGAAGTCTGTGTAAATCTAGTTCCATCTAAAAATCTAATAAGAATCCCATGAAATTGTTCAACCGAATCCACTTTAGTGAAACAGTATCGCATAAAAATTGCATCAAATGGATGAAATTCAAGAATTCTAATTAATATTTCCCTGATTTACATTTTCACGTGAAAAAAAAGCTACAAAAATTTAGTCTATGTCCGAGAAAAGAAGACTTGTTTACTTAACGTCGCAAAAAAAAAATAATGTAATTTTGGATAGAATTTTAGGGTGTGAAATTGGATGTCCCTCGTTGTTTTGATACAAAAATTGTCTACATCTGATTATATTTTGTTTAGATGCTAAATCTATGTTTACACATCATGTCATGTAGAAGAAAAAAGAAACAAACACAGCAAATCAGCTGTGTACAAAAAAATATTTGAGTGCATTGCATTTGATACGAAAGCAAATAAAAAGAAGAAAAAAAAACATTTACAGCGACTTGCCTTAAAAGAGACAAAGGAACAACAATAAAAAATATATATATATAAGAATTTCAAGTTCGCATAAAAAATAAAATAAGAAAACAAAATCCTTATGATTATCAGGCTGTTTTGATCACTTGACAGAGATTTCCTTAAAAATATTATGATGCACATGATGACGTTTTGTTATAAAATAATAACTACAAAACTTGATTTATTTCATAATATGCAATTAATTAAAAAAATATAAACTCGATTAATACCTCTTGTTAATTTCACGTTTGGCTGGCATTTCGAGGAAAGGCATTTCATAAAAACTGTCACATGTAATGCTTATTTCACTATCATTTTGGGAAAGTGACTGAGAACTCACGAATTCATTTTTAATAGTTTTTTTGCTTTTTGTTAATTCCACTACTTGAGACATTGTTGGAAGCGAGTAAATAGTATAAAATATATTTTTTAACAGCTTAAGTTAAGGTCTACTGCATGTACAAACTAAATGTTCACTACTGATGACTGCAATTCGATTTTTGTGAAACTCAGAAAATACTGAGAAAATATCTCTTATTTATGTTTGATTTCGCTCAATATTAAGGCTTATGCTCAGCATTTTCTCAGTGAGACTTGGTACGGAGAGAATTAAATTGAAAATTATTCTTTTTGTTCGGCACTTTTGGGATCTTTTTGTACCTTTTTAATTAAAATTTATTAATTATGATGAATGGATTACTTACCGTTGATATGCTTTTCTGTAATATTTATTGTCCGGTGAAGGCAGATCCATAGCAAACGTCTAAATAAATAAGTAAACTTGAGATTAAGAAGAAAATTCTTTGTATGAAAATTATTTTCATGTTTTTCATCAAGTTTCTACACTTAATTGAATGAAATAACTATGACACTTGATTGATCTATATGCTAAATACTTTACTAAACATGCTAGCTTATTCTAAAACTTACAGTTTTATTAATTTATCAATGTTGAGCAGACAGGAAGGGCTTTTAAATGAAAATTTCTCACAAATGTGGATTTTTAAATTTTTCATCACCGTTAAAATGTTGACAAGAATAACTTGCGCAAACTGGTTTCAAGTCTCATTCAGCATAAATCCTACAATCCAGGCATTCAAATTGAAAGTAATTCTATCCATTTAAATAACTGGAATGCTTACGCATGTCAATAAATTCAATTAAATCAAATGTTGATTGAAAAACCTTAACATAGACCTGCTAATGCTTATTGCCATATTCATTTGACTACTCAAATCAAAACTATATATGAAAATGAATAGAAGACTCATGCGTCATGTTAACCGCATATCAATTGTTTATATTTTTCTACAAATCTATTATATTACTTGACAAAATGCACTTAATCTTATCTCTTTTGCGTTCCACTCTGAAACAAATTGATAAAAATCTCGAAATTGTAAGACTGAAGTACATTTTTGCTAATAAGTGTGGCTTAGTCGTTAGAAATGAAGCTTTAAATGGCTATTAAGTCGATCTTTTAAAAATTATAAACAAATGATAAGCATCATGGTCTACGGAAAATAAACTTTTCATAAAAATGTCAAAACATTATTAAAATTAAAAATCTATAAAAACACCTTCATATGTCTCGAGAAAACAAGACACGATGCTACAAACTGCTTTCCCGTGATCTTGAAAATCATCTTTATGAAGCTTAATAATCTCTGAAATTCACAATTCAATTGAAAAAATTAAATGGAAATGTATACTAAGTTTATGATACAAAATGCTTGATTCCAGCTAGTAACGCTTTTCGCTGGATGATATATGATACGCATATCTAACGATCGCATTAAATTTAATAAAATTACGCATATGTCATCGATTTATATTAGCAAAATTGTATGGATGGAGTTTGAATATGCGGAAAAATCTATTTTTAAGTCAGGTCAAATGTTTGTTTTTCGGAAGGATTTTTTGGATGTATAAGCGAATATTTTGATTGGAACCAGATATCATAAAATGAAAATGACATGTCTGCAATTAACAAACAGTAAGGGGCTGTTCACTTATTACGTAACGCGAAAAAATGACTTCCTAGACCCCCCCCCCCCTCGTAACAAAATTTGTATGAAAAAAAAATTTCCTTGTTTGAACCGTAACAAAATCTTAGACCCCCCCCCCTCCCCCTAAAAGCGTTACGTAATAAGTGAATGGCCCCTAATGGGAATTCTAATGTTCCAGTCAGAAGTTAATTTATGAGAAGTGGTGCAAAAATCTAAGTTCAACTGATGAAGCCATTCTCAATTATCATAGATCACAATAAAAATACATCAATAGCATCAATTGAGATCTCTTAGACATGATGGAGTGCAATTCAATTAAATTAATCATGATTAACATGTCACGATGCCATGAATAAAATTACAGGCCATGATTCTCGCATGAAATTGATATAAATCACCATAATGGAAAAATTATTGTCAACTCCTAAGTGCATGTTAATTAAAATAATGTAAATATTATTCAAGCAACATAGTATCGATGACGTATTAGCTATTTCTTTTTCTAATATGTAATACTGTCTGTCTACTATACATGTTCTGTTTTACCTTTTATAATTTGTTGTTACACTTTATTTCCACTTACAGACATAAAATAAAACACGCATTTGAAAGTTTAATAAAATATAAAGTTAAAAATTAATATCGTGCTACATATGTAGAGACACATATAGATTTTGTAGGTACTTTGCTCTTACGCATTGATTCAGTTCAATTTACATTTAGTGAATGTCTATAGTGTGTAGTTCAAAACGTAGCCGTGGCACAAATTCGCAAATTCTTATGCACTCATATTTGGTATATAAGTTCGATGCAGTTTGTAGTAAATCATTCAGTCTTAATATCAACGTTGATAAAGCAACTTAATTATCCTTAGAAAAAATTACAAATTATCAAAAAACCTAAAATGGCATTCAAATTGTTCGTTGTTTTGTCAGCAATCTTCGCTGTTTCACTCGCTACAATCTCTGGAGATTACGGTTCAGTCGGAGTCCAAACTGATCAAACCATCAGAGTATGATAAATTTGAGCTTATAATTTTAAAGTTTCCCAAAAATTAACCAATTTGAATTTTTTAACAGGGAGCATTGAACACAATCTCATCATACAGCAAGGCTGTCAACACTGCTCACTCACAATCATTCGTATCAAGAAGCGATTACACAAACAACCCAGGCATCATCGCTCACCCACTTGCCTCAGTAGTTGCTGGTAAGTTTGATTTAAAATCTCATGATAAAAATTTGTTAATAATTTTGAACCTATTTACAATATAGCCCCAGTTGCCGCTGTTGCCCACGCTCCATACCCATATGCTGCCGGTCCTTATGCTGCCCCATACGCAGCTCCATTAGCCTACAAGTAATTAAAAGCTTAATCTCGATCAATATCAAATTATTAATCAATATCTTTTCTTAACAGAGCTGCCGGTCCAGTCTTATATCACTAAACTCTACAATCACATCCATCAGTAGAAAGTGAAATGTAATCGATTGAAAGAACTTGATAATTGAGTTTCTGAAATAAAGCTTTTATTTGTTGAGAAAAAAATAGATCACGTGTTGTTTAATTATTTATTTTTTAACACAGAGTAATTTGTTCTTTAAATTTCAACCTTAGCTTTCGGCCATACAACTTGTTCAATCCAATCGAGATATTCTGATACTCTCGTATAAACACCTTAAAAATTAATGAATAATTAGTATCGATTCAATAACTAGTGATCAAGTCGCTATAATGCTTAATAATTATGACAGCATTAATAGTCATTTTTCAATTAAATAAGTCTGAAGCAACAAAGTTTGCGCACAATTGAATCAGCTGATAGTGACAGTTTTACAAAACTGTCTATAGCTAGTTTAAGTGCAATTACTATTTTCTTGCCATGTGCATAAAGTTGAATCACCTCGTAAAGTATAGTTCTGTAGTTATCTTATAAACTGCATAAATCTTCTGAGGCTCACTCAACAGAGTATTTATGTCAGAAACATGGAAATAGCAATAAACTGACTTGATAATTATAATTTGTAATTAAAGAAAAGCTTTTTTACTGACCTGGAATTGACGATCCACAGCTAGCACCGAATGAAGTCACACCTGTTGTTAAAAATTATTATTAAAATAATAATAAAGTTCCTAATAACACGAATAATTACCTACGACGGTGTAGAATGGATCAGCAAGAACCATTTCTTTAATTTGTAAAGGTCCACCTTTTGTAATTGATAGCTCAAAATTAATTGATGATAATTGGTACTCATTTAAAGGGTCTACAAACCTGAATCACCTGAAATCAATTGATTAGCTTAATTAGCACATGATAATGAAAAAATAATTTATATTAGACTTGCCTTGACATGCATCGATCGTGCTTCCGTCAGGCGTTGCGCCTGTTGCACACATTTGTGTTTGTCTGAGATTATCGGGTATTTTTGATAATCCTGTTGGCAAATATTTTGCACGGCATTCTTCGAGCGGAAGTTCCCTCAAAAATGCTTTCATCATCCAGGTTGATCTAGTGAAAAATTATTTATAGTGCACATGACAAAAAGAATGATTATAAGGGGATTACTCACTTTTGTCTTGTTTGTACTTCTACGATTCCAAAGCCTCTATCAAAATAAACAAAATAGATTAGCTTTTGTATTAAATTGTATGACAATGACTAGCTTACGTTATTATTGCCTGTTCATTTAATAATGTTGATTTTGTGTATAAACATGCTAGAAATTCGTTAAAAGCATTAAAATTTCTAGTAATATTGAATATTAAGGGTTGATACCTGGTCTAAGAGTTCTAGTATACTCAAATGAAGGGGGTGTATTCATCTCAATTAAAGCTATATCATTGTATTTTTGTCGTGATGTGTAACTTGGATGTAAGATGACGTCCTAAAGTAATTGATTCCGAGTATATTCGCATAATATCCAAAAATAAATCCTACCTTAACAGGAATTACAGTTGGGTCAAGATCATCTGCATTGTCAAGTGAGGTTTTTCCGAGAAGAATCTAAAACACTTAATTAATTTAAGGAATTGACCAAATTTCAATATCCAATAGATCTTACAACTTTCGGTTGTCGCTGCTTACTATTGGCACAATGAGCTTAATAAATAATCAGAGGAGATAAATAGTTATTGGAAAAACCCGTGATAATAATAATGTATACATGTTACCCGCTGTCAATACGAAATTCTAAAAAAATCAAGTTTTTTTTATCATTGGAGGTAAAAAATTAAAGCATCTTTATTACTCACTCTGCTGATCAAGCTACCACCACAATCCCATGAAGGACCTTTAGTAGAGTCAACTTCATCCAAATATCCCAAAACAACTTGATGTGGAAATTCACCAACTTCTGTTCGATTACCATTTAGGATGTGAAAATCGATGCCTAGTAAATTAATTTTCTTGATTTTGTCACATGCTTGCAGTGCTTTTCTTGGCACTTTTGGTATTGACTGTAAATCATCATCACTGTAAATAAAGTTAATAGTTAAGTATCACATTTCACTTGTTGTATTCTATGAAACTACTCAGTGTACACAATATCCCCTGCTTCATGCTTCCTTGTTGTAGTTTGAAAATTTATTTCATCAGGTCGTGGAGGAATATCTTCTTTGCAGCATATTATAACATTCCTATTTTGAAACCCACATTGCACTAACTGTCGCACTGTAAATTGCTTATTCTTTAAGCCGTCTAAAGCCCACTTGCATTTACTATAAATAGATATTCATAACTTTTCATGCTATTTTTTTGACAGTCAATTCTCGACTTACGTCTGTACCCTACATATTCCAGTAGATCCATCAAAATTCGGACATTGACTTCCCTCTAGAATAAAATAGTAAACAAGTTCGGTTTTATTTGCTTTATTGTCTTCCGGATGACTCATCTTACCTTCATGGGAATTAATTAAGACTACGTTAAAAAAAATTACAAAAATAAGACTTAAAAACGTTGTCATTTTTTGTATGTCTGATTAGGCAGATTAGCAGACTAGAATTGATAGACGTAGTCAAAAAAATATGGAAATTTCCCAAAGAGATTCTGTGATTTATGAGAATAACATTAAATCCTCTACTAACACACTTGATAATTTCTTTTTGACAAAAATATGACTTCAAGTTTAATTTTAACTTTCTGTGGATTTTTTTAAAACTTGTTTTTTTTCTTCACTCCTGAACTTGATATTTTGGTTTAAATAGGGTTTAAATATATTTAAATTCACATTTGATATCGTAAAGATTTCAACATATTGTCAATAAATATTATTGAGGAATCATAAATCACGAAAAATTAAAACTAAACAGCTACAGAAATTGTTTTCAGTACGGGAAACAAAAATGTATTTTTACTGATAACTGCTCTTGCTCGGATGAAAGTTAAAACTGTAGTGGATGCTCCTCAAGAATCGGTGTATCATCAGTATTTAAAAGATCATTTCCCCTTGTTTTTATACTATTTAAATACACTGATTTCTGATTGTGTACGAAGTTTTTATTAGTGTTGATATGTCACATATCAAATGGCTTGAGACTGTATGGAGAATTAAAAAATTAACTAGAATTCTTCTTTAACAACAGGTGATATGCTTTAAGATCGTTATTGTTCGGAGCGCATTCGACAGCTTTATGAAAGTTTTGGCGCCAAATAGCTTAATTATGTATCTTGAAACAGCAGAATAAGTAATAGTGCAGAAATTTTTGGCACATATTACCATTTAATCAGTCTTCGACGACAATAACTGTGCATTTCCTTTGTATATCCGCTCGTTAAAAAAATCGCCTCAAACCTTTTGTTTTATTTATTCCTTTTAATTAAAGTTTTATTAATACTTTATTGCAAAATATTTTTTGTTGTTCTATTAATCAGTAAAATAATTTCAGACTTCTTTTTTGTATGGATGTGTTGTGTACGATGCAGCATATTAAAGATTTTTAGCGAGGTTTAACGATTTTGAACATCCATTGCTGAAAACTATTGTTGGGATCACAAGGCATTAAGGATAGAGAGGATGAGACTGGATGAACAGCTATGCATTTATTTTGTGTTCGATGAAATATTGATTTCGATTCTGTTTTATAGACCCATGGACCGTCTACAGTTCCTAATCGACAATAAACGAGTTTAATGCCAGTTGAGTCAGCATCTACACATCTTTCACCAATTCCTAATTGACCAGCAGCATTAAGTCTGACTAATTGATTATTTCCATAGCCATGACAGTGCTGTAATCCAACAAGACTGGGTGGTTGACGTCCCATAGCATCAAAACATTTCATATTTGCAGAATTGATAAGCTCACCCCAGAAAATATTTTCTGGCAATTGTGGATATTTATCATAAACATCATAAGCTACATTTTCCATAAACCAAGAGAAGCTTTTACATCCCAATCTCTCTTTCAATGCAAGTTGATCACTAATATCTCCCATTTCTAAGTATCTCGCACTTGGTTCACGAGTATAAAAGTATTCTTTGTGCTGATCATCCATCCATACTTCAACGACTCTCTTGTAATTTATTGTAATTAGAGGGCCTTTCTTCTTTTCAGCCAATTTGCCAAAATTGTACGGCATAAAGCCTCTATAAACATGCCCAACACGAGAACAAGGAACCCACATTATTTTTCCACCGCACTGCCAGATCTAATAAGAATTTACAGTTAGAATTTTATGTCAATTAGAATATGACACAAAGTATTTACCTTAAAACTTAGCTCAAAGTTTTCACCACCCCAAACCAAAAGTCTAGAATGATTTGATTAAAATTGGATAAGAAAAAACAAGTAAGAATCAATGATAGGAGTCATTACCCTGCATCGTAAGCGCCTAATTCCAAAAAGTACTTCCTGTTGATAGCAAATAATCCACCAGCATGAGTTGGTGAATAATAAGGCTCACTACTGTGTGCACGACGTTTCTCTTCACGTTTAGGTAATTCATTTTCTTTGTACAACAAGCCCTGCAAATAAATTGATTAATCAGCACCGCTATAAATTAATTTATTGACATAATTCACACACCCATTCAAAAATTCCCCGGAAATTATGACCTTCTCCATAAACTGGTCTGTACTCGAATGTTTTATGATCAATTCCATCAATTATTGGAACTGTCATTGTTTTCTCGTCAAATGCAATTGGTGTCAAAAGTGGAACCAGCCAATTCTTATTTACTTCACAATGTGCATCAAGAAAAACTATTACTTCAGCTGTTGCTTCTTGTGCTCCTCTAGAACGTGTTCTAATCAATCCTTCTCGTTCTTCGTTCCTTATTACCCGGACTCTTCCATCAAATCGTTCAACATATTTGTCTAATTTCTCTTTGAGATCTGTCTTATCGCTGTAATCGTCAACAAGTAGAATTTCTTTTAAAAATTGTGGTGGACTTCTATTGAGGACGCTGTGAACTGTGCGCATTAATACCGAAAAGCCTGTTGATTGGAAACAAAAATTCATAAATAATTAGGCAGATCTGAATTTAAACAATAGGAACGTAAATTACCTTCATTATGAAACACAATTATCACAGAAACTGTCGGTAAATTTTGTGGATACATCCATCTTTTACATTCTTTCGGGCGTGTATCCTTTATTGTACGATTTAGAGATATCTGATCAGATGCAAACATATTCATTCCATATTCTATTTCAGAATCATCACTGTTTACTGCTTCTGTATTAAATGCTAAACCTCCCTCACCAGGTCCATTAAAATGTTCATCGTTTTTCGGCTCATAATTTCCTAGTCCTGTGAATTGATAAATCAAACATTAGTTTATAAGTTGTTTCACATGATTGTGCGATATTTTGGCATTGGAACTAGGTCAATATACCTTCAGACAACAGATGAACATCTTCTTCTTTAATTAATTTTGATGCTAATCTTCCGTTATAAATTTTATGTAAATTCTTTCTGGATTCAGAGTAATTAATTAATAAATACAGCAATGGAATGATACAGAGTATTAAAACTATTCTAATTAATCTTCCTTTTCTCGCATAAACTTTCATGTCTATTTCCTTTCTTTCTGTTTCTATTAAAAATATCAACAATAAAATCAGAAATTTTTGCCACGTCTCTTATTTAATTAAACGTGAATGAAACTTTATATCCTTCAACTTTGTACGGTTCCTTATACAGCATAATTTCCTATTTACAGATCTCTTTATTAATCCAGTCACTAAATCTATTTAAATTTTACAATTTCTTATTTTCATTATTTTTTTCTATTTCAATTTACTTTAAAAATTTCACAACCGTTATTGTCGGTATTGTTTTTGTACTGTAATTAAGATGATATGACCTAATTTTCTGGATTATAAAAGTTAATTCAATGGGTAGTAAATAAATCTTATCAGACAAGAGATAAGGTTCATAGATAAGAAGATATTTAACAATATTAATCCCAGTTGCCCAATTTTGCTCGATTTAGCAATGTTTTTGAGAAAATTGTTGTTTTGATGCTTCTTGTTTGCCTGTCTGCTAACGGATTTAAGTCTTAAATCTGAGGCTAGTCAGATCTTTAAAGTGGACTTAAATAAGGATATAAAGCTTAAAAGATCAATTAGAAAATTTGCAAAATAATCTTGAGAAATAAGGTGTATGAATGCGCTGTGAGCAGTATAAAAATAGGCGTCATAAGCTTTCAACTTTGCTTGACAAAGCAGTGCAATTTGTACGGTTTAAATCATTAAATCAAGTTTAGTTCATCACAAGTTTATTATTTTGTTTAATATTATTTCCCATAGTTTTGTGATCAAAACCCGTTGAAAACACGATAAGTGATGTCTGAGGATCAACAAGAAAATGGAACTTCCAATGGAGAAGTTCCGGAAATTGAATTAATCATTAAAGTAAGTATAGCGTTAGATTGCACAAATTTTTTGATGTTTAAAAAGGAAAATTTATAAGTGGCGATAGATATATGTGGTACACAGCTATCCAATAGCTTTAAAGTCGATTCAAGCACTGCTTATTTTGTTTATTTGATCCAATTTGACCCATTTGGATGGAATTATGATTCGCTGTTCAAATTGAAAATGTTAAATGTACATCCATACATAACTTAGTAGCTTTTTGGACGAGAAAGAAAATCATAATTGTAAATTGTTATTATAAAATTACTTGCTTGCGCTTAAACTGTGTTTTCTTCTTACTCTTAGTCTCACAGTTTTATTAGCTTATTCATCATAAGTTTACTTTAAGTCACATGATATTTTATGAGAAAATAATTCAGCAGTGCTGTAAAGCTGACTTACAGTTAAATAATATTGATCTTGGCTACTTGAGGCTCAAGATTCGGCATATTGAAAAAAAAAATAAAGATGTTTACACATATGCATGATGAGAACAGACATCAGAAAGTTATTAGACAATTCATTTATTTTTAGCAGTCTCTGTGAATTATATCATCGTAAAAGATGATGTCCATGATCACAACACATTGTTTTTCGTGTGTATTGCCTGTACAATAAAGTTTGTACATCGCTTATCTATTCGCATTGTGATAAAAATGACTGTACTATAAAGAGAGAATGGAATTGCTGTTTAAATTATTTATCAATTAATTAGACTCTTTAAATTGTGATAAAAAAAAATGTAAAGGAATTCTTATATTGGGCGCTAAATGACTGAACTTGAACTGTGAAATCACACTATAGTGTTATGCTCCTCTATTAATTACAATGTGTACTTATGTGTGATAAATAAATAAAGGCATAGAGAGCGACATAAATGGGTGATTTGTAATTCATTTATGATTGTACCCATTGCAATTACGAGCTCTAATGATGTTTTAAAGCAGATAGGTGTGGTTCATTGAAATGCTTACACAATTTTTTTTTTTTTGTTCACCTTTTTAAGAGAAATAAGAGTCATACATTCACAAACTATGTGTGTACTTATGGAAATTATCGTACTGTTTTATTTTTTTCTCAACTAGGCTTCAACTATTGATGGCCGGCGAAAAGGTGCTTGCTTGTTTTGTCAAGAATATTTCATGGACTTGTACTTATTGGCAGAGCTGAAAACAATTAGTCTAAAGGTAAGTTGTTACTCCTTACTCATCAATTTCATTTACATACTTCTTTTTTCGCAACGATAACTAGTTATTGTGGTCACTATGGTTCCACTCGTTTGACTAGTATTGAGTTGTTAAATGACATTCCTTTGTGTTCAGTTTTAGACTTAGAAAGTCATTGTTTTATGCTACTTTGGGAATTATTTTTGTTATTTACCGTTAAATTGAATTTTTGAATTTCGTTAAAAATCGTTCAGTAAATCATTTTCATGTCAATTCGGTACAAAAGTTTCAAATATTTTGAAACCGTTAGTTTTCAAATCCAAAAATCCCATTAATTTTCATTAAATTTATTTAAGCATGTAAATTCTTATGAGATCATGAATTATGTCCGCTAGACAGCGTCTTAGTGACTCACTCATAAAACCTTTGAATCATTAAATTTTATTTCATCATACACCTTCAGTAATTGAATTAAAAGTTGTCAACATGAGAATCTACAACATTTTGTCATGTATGTTTTTATTCGCTGATTATACGTGTAGGTCACTACTGTTGACATGCAAAAACCACCACCGGACTTTCGTACAAATTTCGAGGCAACACATCCACCAATTTTGATTGATAATGGACTTGCAATTCTCGAGAATGATAAGATTGAACGCCATATTATGAAGAATATCCCAGGAGGTCATAATCTTTTTGTACAAGATAAGGAAGTTGCAACATTAATTGAAAACTTATATTCGAAATTGAAATTGGTGCTTGTGAAGAAGGATGAGCAAAAGAATAATGCATTATTGTCACACTTGAAGAAGATAAATGATCATTTAACACAACGAAACAGCCGCTTTCTCACCGGTGATACAATGTGCTGCTTTGATTGTGAACTTATGTGAGTGTCAGGAGGAAATTGAAATCAGAATATCTTGTAATTATTATGCAAATACAACATTATTTGCTTGCTTTCATTTTTTCAGGCCTCGATTGCAGCATATTCGTGTTGCTGGAAAGTACTTCAGCGATTTTGAAATTCCAGTAAGTGTAATACAACATTTTTTATGCCTGTCTACAATGATCTTATGACATTTGTATGTTAACAACTTGTAAACTTTTGTTGTAGACAAATTTAGCTGCATTATGGAAGTACATGTATCATATGTATCAACTAGATGCATTTACCCAATCATGTCCTGCAGATCAAGACATTATAAATCACTATAAACTTCAGCAGGTGAGTTAATTCATTCAGCTTTACATGCATTAATCGCATATAAACAATAGCTATAAAAATTACCTTCTTTTGTTTCTCAAATTGCTCATTGATATTGAAAAATGTTCATATATGTAGGCTAAGGGTGATCACAAGGTACGTCAACGAATCAATTGATGTGCTTCTTAATTTATTGATCAGCAATCATTTTCCATATTGTGATTATTTTAACAGTTGATTTCATTAGCATTTTTATTACTACTAAAAACTATTATTGTTGATATTTATCGATATAATTTTAATGTTTTTATCCGTTTACAAGGTTTATTGTTTTATGCCTTTGAACTTGCTATGAGCAAAGCTTTATTGGTTTTTTTAAATGGTTTGTAGTGACGTTTCCATTAAGGTGATCCTAATTAAGGGGACCCCTCCTAAATGCAGCACAAACCAGAAGAATCGAATTTGGAACAATTTGTAGTTGCTTATTTCTTGCCATCATTTTAAAACCCTTGAAACATCAGTTATAATTTCTTTTGATTTTATATGAATATCCAATAAGAATGAAGTTATTGATGATATCCCACAACTTTTCTTACTATTTCTTTCAGATGCTAAAAATGAAGAAGCATGAAGAATTGGAAACTCCAACATTTACAACTTCAATTCCAATTGACATCACAGATAACTAAGAATTTTTGAATTACTTTAGACAGAAATGAATGTACTGCTTAATAATATCAATAATTCATTAAATGCTTAATATAAAAAATACAATGATCATTGAGTAAAAATACAATTTAAACTTTTATTTAAAAAGTATGAAATCTTTATAAAATAGACACAAAAAATGAGTATTACCATTTTTATTACAATTACAATGAAACAGCTTAATTTTGGAAAGTTATTTTTTTATTCCAAAATATAATAATGAAGGATGGAACGTTATAGTAATATAAGAATAAAGAAAAGAAAAAAAAAACTTTGCGAATAGAAAGTTATGCAAAATAAAAAACAAGAAATTCTAAAATTATTTTTTTTTCAAATGTGCCTTTTTACCAAAAGTAAAAGATTTTTTTAAAATGCTTATCCAGTGGAATAAATTTCAAATTATTCATAAGCATTTGTTAGAGCAATTAAGTTAACTTTTTCATCGGGAATTTTAATTTTTCTTTAATATGGATGTGGTTACTTTCGTTTCTTCATATTTTCTTATTTTCTACTTTTTTCCATTTAAATTTACAATGTAAAAATCACTAATTACAGTTTAATTTCAATAAATATATATTGAAAAATGGATTCTATGCTTTATTAATTACATACTTAATTATTGCTTTGGGGCTGTTCACTTATTACGTAACGCGAAAAAATGATTTCTTAGACCCCCCCCCCCCCCTCGTAACAAAATTTGTATGAAAAAAAAATTTCCTTGTTTGAACCGTAACAAAATCTTAGACCCCCCCTCCCCCTAAAAGCGTTACGTAATAAGTGAATGGTCCCTTTGCAGATTTGTTTACAGTGCGGAAAACCCTACAACAGTTATTTTTATAACATCTGAAATAAAACCATGCAACAGATTCAAAATCCGGTTCAAAATATTTGAAAACCATACAAATGCTTCTTCTTCTTCTTCTTAATTAACTTTATTATGGTCCATCAGCTTATTGCTATTTAAAGACCGTTCACAATTCCAGGTAGTTTAATTTACAAATATACACAAAGAACAATCAATAAAATCCAGTCAACTCCAAATGGTTGACAGAAAACATGCCCGCGATAAGTCAAAACAACAAAAAACCATCGCTAGGCAAAAAATTCCATCTTCAGTTGTCGATGATCCAGATCCTTTGACAGTCCTTAATTCAACTTGTGATATTCCAAATAGATTCAAATTTTTGTTATGTCTCGATTGTGATCTGTCAATGTAATTAATATGTTCTGCTGTATTCCGAGATGATCGATTCTTGTTTGTCAATGTTGATTTGTTGAAATCCAGTCAGCACCAATTGATTGATAGAACTTGCCCGCGATATATGGGGAAACACACAAAACCCATCGCGAGACAAATTCTCCTCACAATTGACGATAATCCGTTTCCAACAAAATTCAATGTCTAGGTTATGGTTATGATAGAACCTTCTTGTCCACGATTGTTGGTAAACACACAAAAAACCCACGTGAAACAATTGATTCTCCTCACAACTGCCGCCGATCCTGATTTGTCAATGTAATTAAATGTTCTTTGGTATTCCGATGATGATCAATTCCGTTTTATATTTTTTGTATTGGTTATGTGCAAAAATTTGCACCTTTTTTGTTCAATTCAAAAGTTTCTCCAAATTTAACTAAATCGCGACTTTTTTGAGTTTTCTCCTTTGTTAATCTGTTCCTTAGTTATTTGTTTGCACTTTAAACTATATTTGCTGTCTGGTTCCTACGCGTAAATAATTAAATTGTGGAAAATTGACAATTCCACAACCTCGTTGTTCGGAGGTTGGGAGAAAACTCACCATACAAATGCCAAATTCAAAAATGGCACTTAATTTTTTAAATTTCGGGTACTAATGTTTAAGAAACGTCACGAGCGAATGCCCTAAACACAATTAATGTAGAAATTTATCACGTCAATAAATTCCACAGCTTAGTCATTGATTATACGAACAATTCAAAAAACACAAAACCGGCTTTAAAGTTCACCAAACCGGCTTTTTTCGTGCAAACTGCACAGAAAAACCATAAAATTTTTCATTAGTTCCAAATGATTTTTTAAACAACAAAGTTTCAACCTCCAATATTAATAAATAATGACACGAGTTGAGCATCTGCTACATCTATTTTTATTATTACAGTTTCTTTTTATTTGTTTAATTATTCATCATGAACTAGGAACAATCTTCAAAACTTTTCACTTACTCATTGACAAATGAAGAAAAGTTTTTTAATCTCCTCAAAAAAAAAAAGCCGGCTAAAAAGTCATGTTTCTTTAAATTTGTCATAAAACAACACATTCACATCACCTTTTTCAAACAATGTCGGCTTCAAAGCTGTTAATAATTATAAAACAATTAACAGTTTTATTATTGCTTTAAGTCAGACTATACACGTTTGTTAACATGCAATTATTTAATGAGTTAAATAAATGACTCATACATATCCGTTCAGATTGTGACGTAAGATTATATTCGTTAATTCAAAAACTTATTCGGATAACGAAAATTTAATTAACAATCATTTATTTTTTCAGACGTCTTATTTATCTTCCACTTCATTAGCTCATGTTTTGCGCGACTATATGCGTAATTTTAAATCATTTTTTACACGCTTTTTACACGCTTTTATTTAACTCACACTGTTTGTATGTTTCATGCGTCAAATTTTGTAATCGTTATTTTGATCACTTCTACTGCTCCAATCGAGCTCAAATTTTTTATTCACACGTATTCCCGGTGACAATACAATATTTTAATACTTTGGAAACACAAAAATGCTTAATTATAGTACAATTTAAGTAAAACTTTTTTATATGGGAAAAAATCCAATGTCACTGATATCAAATTTTGATTTGTTTAAAATATTATACTTGAAATACTCAAAAGTCATTTATATGATTCATTATAGTTTAATTAATATTACTAATTATTAATTATACTATAAATTTGAGCAGCTAAAGATATTCTGGGAGGATGAAAATATTGACAAGTAATTTTTTCATGAATATTCGTAAGTGAAAATTTGAATTTTCAAAAAAATTGTTAAGCACAAGTCCGTTACGAATTAATGCAAAATAACTATTAATATGCGATGTGCATTTAGCACACATAGTTTGAGCATAAATTTATGCTGTTTTAAATGTATTGCATTATTTATAACACTTCACCAACTTAATTAAATTGACTTTTCTTTTTATTAACGGCTTGACGTATTTTTGCATAACATATAAATGATATTCATTGAAATTAAATTTGAAAAATCCGTTATAAATACGTTACATATAGATGTGAATTGCATCTTTATGTTAAGAATCTACATGTTATGTAGTAGGAATGGTACGAATAAACACAAAATCTTTAAGATTGATTTTTAATGTACTTTACTAATTGATGTTCAGGACACTTTTAAGAGTTTAATGTGTTTCCAAGTATGAATTAAATTATATAAAACGAATGAAAAATTTTGAAAGTCTTTACTAATTACCCATTAAAAACTGGTATTCAATAAAAAGTTGAACGAAACGGAGTGAAACGAAGTGAAGTTTAGAATTTTGGAAGTTGAATCGATTTGGAAATTTCATAAGACTAAAAAGTAGAAAATAAAATACTTTAAAAAAAAAATTTTTTTAAAAAAGCACGCTTTTATTTCCGATTACAGAGCACTAAAAAGGAGAAAATAATTTTTTTTGCTAAGCTCTCAAATTTGATACAAAATTTTATGACTCAAAATAAAAGCGTGGGGCGTTCTTATAAATATCACTAAATCTTGAATTTGTATGTTTACATAAGCGGTAGGTCTTAAATGTTTATAGGTTTGTCTAAGGAGAATGATGAGCCCTTACAAATTATGGTAAATCTGAGACGGTAGACTTGATCTCCATGAGACTAATGTAGAGTTTTCTGTGCTGCACTAGATATCAAGTCTTACTCTCCTGCTAAATCTAACTAGTTCCTTTGTGTCAAAAAATAATTTGAGATCAAAACTTTAAAAGGTCTTTCGTTTTAATACAAAAGTTGAATTAAGAATTGGATAATTAAACTGAATTAAAATAAATTTTGGAAAATCAAGAGCAAGTTTAAATTTAACGCCCCACGCTTTTATTTTGAGTCATAAAATTTTGTATCAAATTTGAGAGCTTAGCAAAAAAAATTATTTTCTCCTTTTTAGTGCTCTGTAATCGGAAATAAAAGCGTGCTTTTTTAAAAAAAATTTTTTTTTAAAGTATTTTATTTTGACAGGATAATTTGCTGTGGTCTTTTGGCTGAAGTATGCAAGAAATTAAAGACAACGTTTTAGTGATGAGATTTCCTTTATGACTTATTATTATTATTAATTATTTGTCGACGTTACCGTCCGGAAGAATTAGTATTTATACATGTTTTACTTTTTACATTGATTAGTGACACATTTCATATCACTATGGGTGACCTAGAATCAAGCTTTTAATCTTCAAATCTAGGTTTCGATTAAATTCAGGATCTCGTTTCAATCTTCTGTGGGCATGACGTGATACATTTCAGGTCCGTTCTGACAATATTCCATTATAAGGTAATCTTGTAGCTCTCGTTCCTATTTCTCCCGCTACACTTCAAGTTCCTGATCCGTTCCTTAATCCAACGTTGCCCAAAATGCCCAATTATGGCTTGATCTCGTACATTAAGCAGTCGAAGTATCTAAACTTCTGAAAAAGAACAAATTTGGAAATGGCTGGATTCGAACCGACGACCTTCGAGTTGCCATACTAAATTTGAGCCAAGCGCCTTACCTATTCGACCAGCAAGGCACTTAACTGCATTAATTAATCGTGGATGTCTTTCAATTGCAGTGTTTCTTAAAGTAGTGTTCCGCTATGCCTCTAAAATCATTCAACTCATAGTACCAACTCGATTAGATCAGATTCAGGCAATTCTATGTGCTATTGCCATTTTTAAGCCCTGGAGTTCAGCAATTTTTGTAAATAAAGCAACTAGGTTTGTCAAAAAGAGAAGTAAGGTTCAATAAGGTTTGCTTAATATATTTAAAATCATCAACTGCATCATAATCGTCTGAAAAAAATGCGCACAATTAATCATCATGCAATTACCTGTGAACATGTTTCATTGCCTCAACATTTTAATTCAAATAAATCAGCAAGCAAATTACTGTCTGAAAGTTAAGAAATGAATGAACATATACTTCAATTCCCATGCGAAACATCACCTTTAAAGAAAAAGTTTTATATCATTTTCAGTGTGTACAATCTCGCAGACGTTAAGTAGGAAATACCAACAGTTACTAAACAAATCAGAAGTTAATGAATCGTGATAATCTTTTTTGGTTAAGTTGAGTTAAGAAAAGAAAGAAAAAAAAAGTTCATGAAAAATAGCTGAAAAGGAAAAATAAAAAAAAGGGGAGATAGACATAGATTCTTTTCTATTGGGATACGTGCTTACAATTGATAGAGTTTTCTTTTTTAAAGGATATTTTCCAATTGAAAAGTTATGGGGATTTGAGTGCTGATGACGTGAGGATGTAAACTTTTGAACTTTTTCATCTTCTTTTTATTGTCTTGTGACTGTTATGGCAAACATATCCAATACCCTTTTAC